CCCGACAAAAATATTGAACGGGTAAGATTTTTTTCACTTATTCTCACGTTTTGAGTAATTTTTTTGCATACTTCACAAGAACTGTCTTCCAAGTATACCGTTCATAAGTTGTTTAACTGTTTATTATATATTTATAAGTATATTTGTAAATATATTTCACATGGTAAAGCCGGTTTGTTCGTTGACAGTTTTTTTTGCGGCTAATTTGAAATTTATTTGATACTTGTGCCTAATTCGTACTCGCAGCAACTTCTTAAAACGTACGTACTCACGATTTAGGAAAACAGTGTTTAATATCACAGGAAAACAGTGTTTTTATTTAATAAAACTAAAAAAAACCTTATTTTATGCAGTAATTGTGAAGTATGGGTACATGAGCTATGTGCAAGACGAATTAAAAAAAACTAAATTTTATTACTGCGATGACTTTCAATATTTGGAAAAGACCATCCGCTGTATTAATAAGAATTAGGTAATCTAGGTACATTAAGATAAAAAAGAGTAGAAGATTATTAAGATTGTGATTTTTAAGACTGTAAAACAATGATAGGTTCTCAAAGTAAGATTTAAGGATATACTGGTACGATTTAAGATCAATGGTCTTAAATCGTACTTTTTTTAAGTTTTTGAAAATTGTTTATTTCTCAGAAGTTTATAAGATTTATGTTATATTTTATCGGAATACTAATAGAGCATTAGTTTATTTATAACTACTTAATATAAATAACTGTGTATCATTGTTCATTTTCAAAATTTTCGAGGTTCTCCTTAAGTGGTACGAATTAGGCAAGTTTACCCTACCTCTTCGTCAAGTGATTATAGTGAGACTGAGGACGAAGAACAACAAATGTAAATAATAGATAAAATAAATGTATAAACTTAAACATTGTATTTTTATTCATTATAAAACCATAGTCAACACTTTCGGTGATACATAATTAAATACCTAGTGTCCTATTTTATATTCGAATAGTGTAAAAAAGATTAGATAAATGGCAGCGTCCTCCCTGAGTAACATAATAAATTAGGTTAAAAAAAACAAAGACGAAGCCGCGGGCGGCTGCTTGTTATGTTCGCTTTTTTGCGGGCGGTACAAACACGCCAATGTGACGTCACCGCGCTCAAGTCTCAACTTATCGCGCACGGGTAGTATAGCAACACTACACAAAATATACAATAAGAAAACCGCGCACTAGAGACGGAATCGCAAATGTAGAAATAAAGATTTATATCGGGACGTCTGCAAGCCGGTAGACGTCGCCACCCTCGCCGTATCGCCTGACATTGAGCCCAAGCACAGATTCGCGGAGAATGTGGACTCAGCATTTCCTATCTAGTAGACCCGTGATATACGGGATAAGCTTAAACTGTTTATTTTATGTCGACTTCGGCCATTTTCGGCCATCTTCGGCTTTATTCAGTGGCGAATAAAATAACCAGTTGAAACCGGTTACAGCCGCTTTGTTTTGGATCTCCTTTTTTTCGTTATTTGTTTTGCGTAAAAACAAAACTGCATTTTATGTGTGGATTCTTTAGCCGAAGATGTATCAGTTTTATTCCCAAGACATTCCAACTTTTATTAGGTTCTTCAAGTTAAGGGTGTTTTGCTACGATTTCGAAGCTTTCTGAGAAAATACTGGATTCATAGTTGATTATGTAAGGCACTGTTTTTGTGGGCGATGTTGTGAATTCTTCTTACTTGCCTCCCCATGCGAATTGTGAAGTAATACAAGTTTGCGGCCGAGTTACGTGCGTAGTTGGAATAAGTTATACCTACCAAGATCATTAACAAATCAATCGTGCAAAGTAAAAAGTAAGTAAAATATAAACAGGGAAGATTTTAAACCCTAAGCTAATTTTTCCGTTTTCATAGTTTATAGCCTATTCAATTCAAACAAATAAACAATCAAATATTTTCTCTTTATATTTTACTTACTTATTAGGTACTTTGCACGATTGATTTGTTTGAATTGTTAATGATCTTGGTAGGTAAGTTCTTCTAAGTTCACCGGGGATAGTCTAATTCCCAGCAATGAAAGAATTTTCATATTAGTCAAGTAGTTTCAGAGTCTATTCAATTCAAACAAATAAACATTCAAATCTTTTCGCTTTATAATATTATTAGCGACTTATTAAGTTTTTTCCACTACATGTAGATGTGACTATACATATAAAACTTCCTATACAATCACTATATCAATTAAAAATACCGCATCAAAATCCGTTGCGTAGTTTTAAAGATTTAAGCACACATAGAGACACATAGGGACAGAGAAAGCTAGTTTGTTTTATGCTATGTAGTGATAGTATACTGTAGGATATAAAATACAATATATCCATATGTTAACTTAACTTAGTTAGCGTGATTCATATGAAAATTGTTTTATTACATTTATTTGCGGGTAACCAAAACTCCAGTACGAAATTGAAATACATTTATAATATTTTCTAGTCTGTTGAAGGCACGACCGCTCAGCAATTCGTTCATAGCGGATTATATTGAAATTAATTTATTTTGTATTAGATATGTACATTGGTACTGGTTGCAAATATATTTATTTGCAAATACTATTTATTCTACTTGCTTTGTCATCCAAATGGATAGGTAGAAGTTTCGAGGTTTGTTTATTCCTTTCTATGTTGCACATGTTTTGTATATTGAAGCTAAAATTAAGAGTTTTTACGCCGGAGCGGTTTTTATAATCTTCATACAAATAAGTTAAAAGAAAAACGTGGAAACTAGTTGACACAGTCTTGGAACTCGATCAACTTAAAATCTTAATAACTATATTACAAATTTTAATTATTTTTTAACAAACAAAACAAAAATAAAACTGCTGTTCTCGAAAATTCGCACTCATTTTTATATAAATAGATATATCTGAAACGCAACGATAAGGCCCAAATAACAATTCTTTTTTTTATTCTTTTATTTTATGTTATTTAAGTGAAGTGCAAGGAACACTATTAAGGGAACCCAATCAATCTACTTGCATAACACTCCCAATTCCTATACAAATGCCAAGACCCTTACATAAATACCATCACTGGAACTTCTTATTTGTAAGAGTAACTCCTCTACAATACCCCCCCTCCCCCCATCTCCTCCTAATTCCTTATAAAAGCTCGCTAATTGATATTTTCGTCAACATTCACGTAACTTGAATTACGTAAGAGCCTATTATCGGGCAGCCTCCTATAACTGCCGCCATTAGGCACCCGTAATACATGAGTTATGGGCCAAAATTTAACATTTATGCTTTCTTGAGAGGGAACTTATGTCTGACATTTGTCTGTGTGTCAGCAGATGCCATCTTGTTTTGATTTAGCTATAGATTTATAGTTCTATACATTACTTAGTTATCAACAGTCATTAATTCAAGCTAATTACGTAAGTATTTGTAATGTTTTCAATGAAATTTATACCCTGATTCCTGATGATATAGTCTGATTTTGAATGGTCTTATAACGCTATAAAATAATTGAGACTTTCGTGCGAACTTCACTTCTGTTCACTGTACGTAAAATGATATAATGAAGTAATATTTTAAGTATTTCCTCAATTCTACCTTTTGCCATATTATAGCCTTGTTTATTAACGGATAATAACTTTGATGTTACAACGAAATATATATATATTATTTTTAAGGGAGGTTAGAACGCAAAAAAAGTGAGTAGAGTAGAGTCAAGTTCGCCCGTCAATTGTCGCGCAATGCAATGAATATGGGCCCCTGACATACCTAGAAACCAGTCAAATTCCTCGTCATATAGAAGAGTATTTGAATGTTTGGGTTTGTAATCAAAGTACTAACTAGGTACATTAAATTAAACTTACTTTCAAAATTACGTAGGTGTAACGTATTTCAAAATTGTATAAATCATTATTTACCTAATTAAATCAAAACTTCATTAACATAGTAGATACTTAAATCTCACTCAATCTTAATTAACTTACAAGCGTTAATCTTTCACAGCTTCTTAAAATTAACAAGATTCTCTCTATTTTTAGAATTGAATACAACTCCAAAAGAAATCTCTTAATCACACGTAAATACATGTAAAAGTATTTCTTTTCATACGTATTAAATAAAGTGCTTACACAAAAATAAGTTCTTTTAAATACGCTTTTGAAATAATTTTAAAGGTATTAGCTCTGACCTTTGGTATTTCTGAACAATCTTTAGTTTTAATATATGGCTTGAATTTTACTTATTCTACGAGGGAAAATACCTAAATTTTAATAAAAGGTACTATTCATGATCATCTGCCTGTTGTCGTCCACTGCTGGACATAGGCCTCCCCAATTCACCACTGAGCTCGATGTTCAGCTCTTCTCATCCAACCACTAACCAATAGGGACTATTATGTGCTACTTACTATCCGCATAAGACTCTACCCATCTTCATCTTAGGAAATAACTGCAAGTAGTTACGTACCAAAACACATTACTTGTTAAAGTGTAGGAGGCCCTCTTAAATTTTTGGAGCCATTAATCAATGCACTTCACGATTTGCGACCTCTGTGCCTGGGCACTTGCCTAGATGGCATTAAGGACAGGGCTCTGTGACAAAAAAAACTTTGTAAAATACAGACAACTCAATCAATACTTGGACGCTTTTTATTTTAATGTAAATAAGTAATCACCATAACTTCTTCCAGACTGAAAAAGAGACTGTGAAAGAGAGAAGAGAGGACAAGGACTCTTACTGACTAAAATCAAACCCAGTTCCTTTTCCTGCTCCAGGCCAAAGCCACGTTTCATTAAATTTGCCAATACTGAAACACGTGTCTGATGTTATAATTGTATTGTTTGGTGACGGGAAAGTAGAAAATATTTGTCACCAGACTCTTCCCGTAGCTACCTTTAAAATTAATGATGGATTACTTACATGTTTGTCAGAGGCTTTTCTCCCTCTATGTAAGCATGGACATGTTGAGGATCCTGATGATATTTCTTGAATGTCAAGTGGTCTGTATTCACATGAATCGTTTGTTTCTAGTTGCAGCTACGACTACCTAGAGATCTCGGAGGTGGGAGTGGACAATAGCAGCGAACATGCGCAAGAATGGCAATTACATGACCATCATGAAGCATTCAATTCTGATACTGAGGTGAGGATTTTTTCTAAAATAAGGAGCAAATAACCAGACGGATGACCTGATGGTAAGCAATCAGCGTCACAAATAAAACTATCAGAAACCGATGTAAAATGTTTTTTTTTCTTCTTCTAGCAGTGACTGTGCTCGTGTGCCTTCAACGACCATAACTAAATAAAAACGACTAAGAACTATTGAGAACAAAGGATAACACTTAAAACCTTCTTCGTGTGTTCTCTTTATCAGATATGGGAAGAAACAGAGACTCAGCTACCAGAATCGGACGCAATCAGCGCGGGCTGGATGCGAGATGCGCACGCGACTCGCGCACGTCGACTCTGCGGTGATTGGAGCGGGAAACTCAAGTTACTGCGCTACCAATCACGGGGCAACGTGCTGCGCTTGCGCTTTAGATCCGACCACTCAAGACACTATGCCGGATTCCGAGCTAAGGTCACCGTCACTGATTGTGAGTACCTATACGTCTATACGTTTATATTTTAACATAACTGCGATAAAAGAGACAATGCTATTGACTCGCTGCGTTTAAAAAAGGGTGATTCACTGATTATAACGCCATCTAGTGATTGTGAATTTCTCTTCCTAGCACTCGTTTAGGTGAACACGTCGCGTCGTTTCATAGTGAAATTGTGTATATCATATTATTATATAGTTCCGTTAAGTCTTTAAGTGGCAAAATACTAGAAATGTATGTTTCTCGGTAAAATCATTAGTGTAATGCAAAATGAGCAAGGCCAACAAAGAACAGACTCAAAATAAAATATAGTCTAACAGTTACCCGAAATTTGGGAGTCTCTGGATTATTATTATGAAATATACTGCTTATTAAATTCCCGTAACAAGAGAAATGACCGAAGTTACCTACTTGCTACAATACGGCAATTTATTAAAATTAAACACGAGAGCTCGTCGCACCGGCATTGTTCTGTATGCAGCGCCATCTAGCTTGTACAAGTTTTTTATGTCAAACTTTGGCATAAGGTAGAAAACTTGAAATTAGCGCCTTAACAAATAGACTAGAGGCACCCAGTCCAGTGAAACTTCTTTTAAATCTAATTATCATAGTCCAATCTGAGAAGATCCGAAGAATATTCCATCAGAACTTTAGGAACTCGGTCTCGAGTCCAGCTTCGAGTAAAAAACAAAATGTCGGCGTATTTCGTTTTTCAATTTCAACTTTTCGCTCTGTTCCGTACAGACAGCGGAACGGAACGAACCGTCCATACGACAAATAAAGTTGCCAACTAACACGTATCGAGCCACCCCCGCCACCTTTAACACCTTAGCTTAAAGTTTAAATTCGTCTGACACGAAGAACAATGGCAACAAAGTTAGTGATGCAGTTAAATTAAACTTATTAGCGAGTGCATAAAGTCTATTATTGAACGGGTAGATGGTAGTGTAAGTTGGTGAAGTAGAATGGGGTAAGTTGAATAAAGCGCAGTCTAGTTTTAATTAACCACGGCTATGTAAGACTGGGCGTTCGTTTCTGTTCTGATGTTTTTTGTTCAGTTACAGTAGTTTCCCAAGGGGGGACGGTGTTGTTCAGTCGCGTGCGCCGAGCTCTAGCTTGCCACCAACTTGTTGTTTCTTGTTGACACGTACTGGCACAAGCAAATTAACTACTTGGAAATTAGCCAAGCTGATTTAAATCTATAAAGAATGAGAATTCTTTTCTCAATTTATTGTAGGTACATTCTAAATTGAACCTTTTCATAAAGATCTTTGAATGTGAATTTGAATGCACGGCTAGTGTAGTATTTCGGCAAAATGTTACTACGATCCCCTTACGGATCAACTCTATATGATCCACAAATCATTGTTCCGGGTCTGAGCGCAATTTGCATAAGAATTTGATTATTCACTTCGCTGACGCACTCGGGACACATGTAAAAATCCTAGTAAGTAGTAGTTACAAAGAAAAAAAAAGTGTGAAAAAAAAAGCTCAATTACTATTACTAATTTGGAAAGTATATACTTGGTAGAGAAAACTTGACGTATAAAAAACACACCTAAACCAAAATTTTCTTTACACTTACCGATGGGAGAATTAACTCAATTTCGAATATTCACTCTCTTATTATTCCTAGAACCATTTTGGTGAGAGCGGTTAATCCTCCAAATCCATATTTAAAATCCCTGTTACCTACTTAACTAAACATTAAACAACAACATTAAACTGTACGCGTTCCATTACTGGTTAGATATAACTAGGCGTCGAACAGTAACGAAACAACTGTTCAATGTATACGACGCATTATGTTTTGACAAATTGTGTGGGCTTAATCAGCGGTCGCGAACCACGTAATAAGCTCAAAGCCAAAATTCTGTACGATAATGGTATTAGCTGCAGGCAAAGCCGCACAAAATAAACCCAGATTATATCTGATATAAAGTCAGGTCCACACGCCACATTTGTTTAGGAACGCCAAATTTAACATTATTTTATGCCCAAAGGCGTTCACAATTAACAATTTCTTTTTATATTATAACTTCCGTGAGACATATTGAATTAATTATTGTGCTTAACGGTTTAATCACGTTAAGGTTTGAGCGGGAACTCGACTAGTTTCAAGTCACGCTAGGGGCTCATATTCATGAGCAGCAGTACGCGCGACACGCAACGTTTAGTTCCTCGTTAAACATGCAGTTACGTAAGTAAAGCCTTAAAAAGTATAATTATGTTTTTTGTGATTGGCCGGCAAACGAGCACACAACATTACCTGATGGAAAGCATTTAGGAGTAACAAGTGCTTTATCGACGTTTAGGGGATTAGGGATTTAGGGATTCGGTGATGGAAAGGATTGGGCCTCCGGTAACCTCACTCACACGGTGAAACACAACGCTGTAATGGTTTCCCGCCAGTTTTCTGTAAGGCCGTGGTATCACTCCGGTCGAGCTGACCCATTCGTGCCAAAGCATGACTCTCCCACATTTGAAACCATGTAATTTATTTCAAGCAAAAAAAAATTAACGATTAAGTTAATTTATTAATGAGACAGAAGAGAACAGATTACTTTTTAATTAAGCAACTAAATCTAAATTTATCTCGATGAAGGCGATGGAATAAATTTAACATTAATCACTTCTGTGGATATATTATTTCATTTTCTTTACTTTACTTGTACTACTTACTGGCAAAAGGTCAGCAAACATTTTAAATTTCCCCGACCTCTACGGCACAATGAAAGGTGACATTGCAAATATGTCTAGTTAGAAAAGTCGTTACATTTTTCCAAAATAAACCTTATTCAGTGGGACAAAGCCTTCGATTTAGTATAACAACATGTCTAGTTGGTGAACAAATTGCTTACTCTGACAATGCGTAAATTGACGTCACCGCGGGAAACGAAACATGTTGAAACATGTCGTTAGGTATACAGGGTGGTGCACGCTGGCACTGGGCCCGCTGCGCCGGGAGACGGTCACCCTAACATGTTCCGCTTGGGACGAACACTTGTAAACCTTGTATCGGAACTGTATGGATCTCACGTTAGAATGTTTTCTGTATAAAGCAGAAGTCTAAAGACCAATTAGAAAGGTTATGTAATGCTTTTTATTTAGGGTCTCAGGATAAGGACGCTGTATGTTTACATATGTATGTGTAGTAAGCATCGTATAAAGTAAGTGTTCCCCTCCCCCAATCCCTCCTCAATCCCCAAATCTCCAAATACCTAACCCCTAAAAGGTCGGCAATGCACTCGCAACTCCTCTGTTGCGGGTGCCCATAGGCACTGACTGCTTACCATCAGGTAATCCGAGGGCTCGTTTGCCGACCAATTACACAAAAAAAAACACAAAAATTAGTCGCTGAAAATTGAAAAGTAGGTAAGTATAACATCTTATTCTACATAAAGAAAGAAATAAATTCATAAAATTTCCCGAACTTTTGAATAACGGTGCCGGTATTCCATTCGTTCGCGAACGAATGAATGGATGAATGAAACTAGTTAACGAGCAGCATTTTTGTCGAGCCTGTTTTCTGAGAGGTGAACTGTTCATCATAATTTGATGTAACGAGCACCTTTGACACGGCAGTATGGAGATAAAAGCATATGTTGGCTCGTATGGAGAACATAAGAGTTTGCTACATTAAAATAGTCTTTGTGAAAAATTCAGTCACATATTCCTGCATTTTGCTTGCGACAATATTTTTTGTCTCTTTTTTTAATACTAATTGTGTGGTTCAAGCTTCTGCCAGCGGCTTTGCTCGCGTTACCAGGATTTAAAGCCTATGTCTAATTCCAGGCTGTAATCTTTACCTGTTCTGATTTTGACTACAATGCATTCAGAAATGGTTATGTAAAAGATTAAAAAAAATTACAAAGATTCAGAGTTATAGAAAAGTTCTTGAAATCTGGGCCTGAAATGGCAATTGCGTCATATCTTTTGAAGGACAGACGGCCGATAGATCAGGGATCAGAAAGTGTTCGAGTAGCGACCACGGACCGAAAGACGCAGCGTGGATATTAATTTAATAAAAAGAAAAACATTTTGTAAAACTAATTAACTACTAACTTAGGTATTTGTATCTGTACCACGAGTAATCTAATTGGCTACAAATCATAATTTTAACTTTCAACTGTTTTTGAATAAGTAGGTAGTGTTACTGAAATATTGTTTTGTTTTGTTACAAAACTTGAATTGGTACAAACTTTAATTAAATCTGAAGAATTGTAATCAAACTCTTGTTGAGTAACGGATATTTATTTTGGACAACGATCCATCATTCCTGGAAATGACGATCGTACTCCCTCCGTTCAACACAATTTCAACTTTATTTCAAAAGGACAAGACTTGAAATCGGATTAAACTACTGGAGTTCACACTCGCACCTATAGTAACCAGCACATCAACCTACACTTCGAATACCTTCAATAGATTTAGGACTTTAAAACAACCTACAATACAGATGAAAATAGAATACAGATTGGAGCTAGGGGACCTGCCAGCGACGAAAGTGGCAGTAAGAAAATTAATCAGTAGTGTTTCACCACAAATTCTCAATTAAATATTCAGATATCAGGAAACTTTAACATAACGAAGCTGTCTCGAGTCACTCGTCGCATTCTACCGTAGATGAAACATTTAGAGGGGCACGTGCCTATTAAAACTTTAAAAGTATATGGCAACAGAACGGTCGTGGTGGCCCGGAGGTTAAGGCGCCCGCTTCTCATGCATGAGGGTGTGGATTCGAAACCTGGCAAGTACCAATGTGACTTTTTCCGAGTTACATGTACTTTCTATGATTATTTAGACACCACTGACATACGGTGAAGGTAAACATCGTGAGGAAACCTGGACTTATAATTTCTAATTATAAGTTTGAAATCGCCAACCCGCATTGAGCAAGCGTGGTGATTAATGCTCTAACCTTCTCCGTATGAGAAGAGGCCTTTGTTCAGCAGTGGGTACTTGTAGGCTGATGATGATATGAAAACAGCAGGTCATCAAACTTCAACAGATTTTTTTATAGGATAGGTTGGCAGAAGAGCCGTTTGATTACCTGATGGTAAGCGATCGGCGCCGTCCATGGACACCCACAACATTGAGGAGTTACGAACTATTTGGCGGCCTTTTTAAAATTGTTAGATGGGCTTGGAGCTGCAGGTGTCCATGGGTGGCGCAGTTTACTTACGATCAGGGATCCGTAAGAGCGTCTGGTTCCAATGCCACAGAAAATTTGAAAAAAAGACAACAGTGTTATTTCACGCTCGTCTCTGTACGGCCGTGATATTACTACAACCGATCCGGCCCAATCATGGCTAAAATGCAAAGAAATTGCAACTTTGTAAATATTTTCAATGATTATAACGAATGATCAATTTTCTTTATAATTAAAAAGTACTAGTGTTTTTCTAAAATCGGGAGCTATTGTATTCGCTAGTCCAAGCACAATTTTGGATTCATGTAACCTCACTTTGAGTCATTTCGCTGTCTAGGTAGGTACCTACTGCAATAAATCTAGTTCACACGATTAAAGTATGCTGACAGTTGAAATTAAAAACTGTTTTCTGTGTATGCAATATAAAACTATTTTAATCTTACCTTAAAACTGCTGACCCGCAACTAAGATTTATTTCAATTTATAAAAAATTGTATACAGTGGCAATATTGAAATATCGCCAGTCACATAAATTAGTTCCTTTCAGCAATATTAGATTGCAGACCTCGAAAACAAACAAATTCATAAGTCACCAGTCAATGACCGGTGAAGTCTGGCAAGCCAGTTAACGTCCAGACTACAGAAATTAAATTATGAAGAAATCTCGAATAAATTATTTTCACTTGGCACTGTTTCACTCCTATTCCCAATTGGATATATAACTACGTCAAAAAGAATTTAACTCAACGTTTGAATACAAAAAAAATAACTACTACAATACGATACTTTTTTCTAACTAAAAAAAAAATAAGCTATTTGACGCAAAAATACAAAAAAAATCATAGAAAAGTATCGATTTTGACATTTGGATAAAAGTATTGAATTTGACTCGTTGGAAACTACCGAATTAACGTTCCATATTCAAATTTATCTACATAAATCTCCGCTATGGCTATTCAGATATTGTGAAAAAGGCCCTTTGGCCTCATTTACGGGAACGTGGCACGTTTCACGGCGCGTTTTAATATAATAATATTTATGTAACGGGATTTGCACTTCTGCAGACACCTTGCCGGTGTAAATTTTATTAAAATTTGTCCTTGATGACGTGTCGTGTTGTTCAGTCAATAAATATCCCTGAACGGCTTTATTGCCGCGTAATGAACGAAAGAATTGCGCGCGCATGTTTTAATTAACTTATAAGCGCACTCAGAATACTAATTAAGTCTCAACAGTTTATACTAGTTCTTATTCCTTTTTCATTACGAGATAAAATGCCGCCGTTTCGCGATACACTCGAAAATAAATATTTAATGAACGTATTTTTCTTTGCGAGGAGAAGTTTTTAAAGAGCGGTTTGTTCGTTTCGTTGGAAAGTTTATACAAGCTTAGCGCACTCCACACATCCGTTGCTTGAACTATATTTTGTTGGTTTTTACTATTAAAGCATTTTCCTCTGCAGCATGCCTAAAAATTTTACTCTCGTATTTTTTGGCAACTGCTAGTCATAAAGTTATTCTTTGCGAATGTTTGCGTCTGCCCCACATTTCACGGCTACAAATGCCCCAAAAATGTGGCACATTCCACCTGCCAACAAGATTACTCGGTCCATTGCGCGCCAACCAGCGGCGGGTAGCACCGATCACTAAACTTATAAATATTTCATGTCCTCCTGTACCGGCTCGTCACGAAAACATCCCAGTAATGCCGTCATTCTCCGTGTCACTTAACCTCATATTGCTTTATTAGAGGGTCCACACAAATTACGGGAACAAAGCCACTACTCAGGAAATAATGAAGCTGTTGCAAAATGAGCATTGAATTGTTAAATTAATCTCAGCAACCTAAACAAAGCGAGTGCTAACATTATTTATTTATTTTCATAAATGTACCTACGAACAATGGAAACAAAAGAAATACACAGAGGTAATGAATTTATTAAATTCAGAGTGAAAAGTTTCTTGCGAAAATGAGTAGCTTGTGGTAGCGTTTTTATTAAACCTATTACTTAATGCGGAGTTTATTCACGTGTTTCAAAATTAAATTAATTTTACATTTTGTTCCACAGCGCAATCTTGTATGGACTCGAAGCAAGTTCTGTTCAATGGGCACTGCTACCTGTTCTCCGGTTACCCGAAAGCTTCCTGGGCGACTTCAAAACAGGTAAATGGATCATTTTACTCATAATTATTACAAGAAAAATAACACCATCCACTTAGAACGAAGTGTCGTCAACAAACCGCTCTGAATGACGTCAAACGCTAGGTAAAAGCCAATACCTTCCGTAAAGCTATCGATGGCTACGGCAACAAATTGCCGCCATTCTTGTAACGGATGGCAATTACCAGTCCCAACAATGCTGGACGCACACCCGACTGGTCCATTCCCGTGTAATCCCCAATGATTTATTATCTTAATCCCCTGACCTTCAGGCTATACATACTATTGCGATGTAAAGAATCCAGTCTGTCTGTTTGTCTGTATATTTGACTCATCAAATTCGAAAATCATTTGCTTGTATAATACAAGGTTATGTTGTGGTTCTGCGGAGATGAAGGCTTCTTCTGACTCTGACTTCTCTCTTCTGATGAAGACTTCTCATGCAAAAGGGTTGGAAACCTGGCAGGTACCAATATGACAAAGTACATTTTCGTATGTAGTTTTTTAATTTATTTAGCCACCATTGGCATACAATGAAGAAAAACATCGTACGTCGTGAAGAAACCTGGACTTTTTTATTATAAGTTTGAAACTGCTAATCCGTCTTGAGCTAGCGTAGTTAGTAATGCTCAAACCTTGTCCGTGTGAGTAGAGGCATTAAGGCCCGAGACACACAGGCTTGAAGATGAAGATGATACAACTGCCTGGATTGGTCGCCTTTCGTTATATATATTAAACTTCGCCCATACCACAGAGCAGTTCCACTGAAGTTATATTGTGTCTTTTTATATTCGAAAATCTTTTTAAAATTGAAAACCTAAAAGTGCTGAAATATGGCAAGAAACATTACATAAATGTTCCTTTACTATCGAAAACCACCATTATTTATTCGGTAAAGCCTAACCTTGCCTATATATAGGTTAATAATATAAACATCTGCCAAAGATTGATTATATCTTACAAGTAATCAGTTAAACAAAGTTTAAACTTTTGTTCCATTTCTGTAACTTATTAAATTATAATTTTCTCAGAAATAATTGTTGGGTAGTCGTAATATTTTCAAGAAGTGCTTCGGTTCGACCTCGGCGCTTACAATGTCATTATGGTTTGGATTACGGCGGCTCTCGCTCGATATACCTCTTGTTTTGTTATTTACGACTCTAAATATAATTTCGTTAGATTTCATTCTACATAGCGAATGATATTGGTAGTGTCTATTTTGATCATTTGTTTTATACATGGCCTCACAGAAAACCGGCGTGAAACAACCACAGCGTTGTGATTCGCCGTGTGAGTGAGGTTACCGGAGGCGAAATCCTTCCCCACCCCCAATCCCTCCTCAATCCCTAATCCCGAAAAGGTCGGCAACGCACTCTTAACTCCTCCGCGCAGTTGCGAGTGTCCATAGGCGGCGCTGATTACTTACCATCAGGTAATCCGTCTGCACGTTTGCCGACCTATAATATAAAAAAAAATACATTCCGCTTTCTAATTTGTTCTTCTATGTCGTAGATTTACAAACATGTGTATGTTTATCACATCGAGACCCGGAACAATGAACACATAAAGTCTTGTTCCTTGCGGTAATTGAACCCACGACACGTCGAACGGCATCCAGTTGCCCACTCACCGCGACATCTGTACAGCCAATAAGTTGACCCACATTTATTTCATAATAAAGATTTCGTTGAAAGTCTCCTATGATACACTATTGAAATTTGTGATAAGTTTGTGTTTTATTGTTCCAAGGTATGTGAGGGCCTGAACATGCATCTGTCATCCGTCCATTCTGCTGATGAAGAGCGGTTCATAGTGTCAGGCATCCGACAAAGCAGCGATTACAGCGCTGGATCCGTTTACTGGTTGGGAGCCCGTCTAGACAGCGAAGAAGGGGAAGGTTTGAGCTGGATTGATGGAAGCGCTGTAGGATTCCAAGGCTGGCCGCCTTATAATGACACCGAGGAAATTGTGGACGCATGTTTGGGTGTACAGGTAATTTGTTTGCTTTTCTGTTCAAAATAAAATCATACGCATTGCGTTTTTATGTCCATGAAGGTAACAGCTGAGATGTTATGTTATGCAATAGATATTAAACTCCGTGCTTTTGTCGTGAATATATAAAAATCGAAAACCCAATGTTTTGGATGTAAAGATCCGACCTTCAAAAGTATACAATATCGAAATCTAGAACAATTAAACAAACATACAGATACATTTTAGTAAAATAATTGTAATACTCTTAATTTCAATGTGATAAAAAAGCCCACTTTTTTGTAGTGGAAGTCGTCACCAATCCCGTCTCTACCTAGTGGCTTGTTTTGGACCTTACACAAGTGTGGGATGACAGGCGGGTACGTTTGCAAACGACGGCTGAACCCAGAGCACGTAGTCAAGAACAGAACGGTTGAAGGAATTTCTGGTACGTACAACTCTGAATGTAATAAAAGAAATGATTTATTCAAAAATAAAAAGGCTTCTTTTGACGAATTTTTATAAAACCATTCACTTAAAACGAGTACTCGTACTCGTATACTTTGTCCAAGTTCAGTCCCACGTTGGGCGCCTTTATTTATAATAAGTTGGCGCCCAGCATGGGACCAGTGGTAATGTAAAACGTTTGTTTTGTTTTAGGAGTGCTAACGAGTCCCAATCACCCTGGCATGTACGACAATGACCTTGACTTCTGGGTACACGTGGTAGGCCCTGAGGATACGCGCTTAGTTTTTGTTTTTCAGAGAATCGATTTGGAATATCAAAAGGACTGTCTTTATGATTTTGTTGAGGTGAGTTCATTTTAATTTTACTTTAAATCTTACAGATATTATGTTCCTTAATGCAATAGATTCCTTATCAGCATAGAAATGAAAAGCACATTCAAAAACATTGTATCTCAAATGTAATATGTATTCAAATCACTAAGTTACCGAAACCCGCCTTAAATGCCATAAAATATTTATGAAATTTAAAAATTCAGAATAAAGGTAAAATATCCAATAAAAATTCCATCAGGAACAGCTATTGCGTCTTCGGCTGTAAGCTGTGTAGCGTTTGGGGAAATTAATAACTCCCGAAACATCGTACAAATTATAATTTAATTTTAATGCCGGCTGATTGTTCGCGTCGAAGGTTTGCCGGAAACAAGAAACGATCGAATTTATTATGAATTAGTTTTCTATAAATATTATTTAAGTATCTTTCTTCTATCTAAATAAGAAATTTATTTTACGAATTTATAAAATATCTGCACCAAAATGTCTTCGGTTGTTTGAGCCTACCTAAAATCAACCTTATGGTAACGTATTTTTACATACACAAATTCCGTGACTACTGGTACTGCGGTTCAAGCGGAATAATGAACCGCAGTCACATCTGAAGCAGGAGAAGGAATGGGATGTATTTTAGTAATTAAAAGTTTGACACTCTCTCTAGCTTCAGCCTGGGGTGGAATAATACTTTTGATGAGATTTTCCTCTCAAAACAGCAGATTCCCTGATATTATTAGAAATAAATTAGCCGATCTAATAATCTTCATTAAAACATCGTTACAACCTTTCAGCTACGTGACCCATGGAATATGAAGTCGTCAAGATATTGTGGTTCTGTTGGAGAAGCACGTTGGGTCGCCTCCACCAACAGAGCTGTGCTGTACTTCCATTCCGATTACAAGTGAGTAAACTACGTCACTGGAGTAACAACAACAACAAGTATCTAATAACATCATGATAATTGATTACGGAACAAATCTTGAACCCTAAAATAATTTAACAGCTTTGATAAATTTCAAACTGTAATAATTACTTTACATTTCATCATCATCATCAGCCTATAAGTGCCCACTGCTTAGCAAAGGCCTCTTCTCACAAGGAGAAGGTTGGAGCCACGCTTGCTCAAGGCGGATTGGCGATTTCAAACTTATAGTTAGAAATTATTAGTTTGTTTATGTAATTCATAATGATAGTCATAACATAGAAAGTGTTATAAAAAAAACATTTTATATAACTAAAATACAATTATTAATTTAACCCACAGCACCCAAGGTTCAGGCTTCTCTGTGACATGGCGAGCAGTAGAGCTAGTCGGATGTCCATCGCAGACCATCACGTCAAAAGAGGGAGTCCTAAAAAGTCCCAACTACCCTCATTTTCTGTTACCTAACCTGGATTGCACCATCGATATTCTGGCTCCGACAGGTTTGTAACTTTCATATATCTCTTTATGTCACGGGACTACCTAGAAATTGTTTACACTAGGGAAGGGTATTTCCTATCAGAAACTACTATTCATATGTATATGTATATGTATCTTTTGGAACACTCCAAAATATGAATTTTGTTAAAATAAACATAAAATACCCCGTTAATAAAGTTGGTCGCAATTCGAAAAGCGAATATTACAAGAGTCTCAGTTAATAGCTCGCAGTCACACAACACCAAGATCGCCTGTTTAATACAAAAAATAGGCCGTCATCTCGTTGTCGACTAAAGGTAATTAACATATTTCATTTCAGGCAAACGGGTCTTCCTAAACATCAGCTTCTTCGACTTTGGCTACGGAGTGTTTGCAAAAGGCGTGCCCATCAACGTCACCGACACCATTCCAGAAGACTCCTTCATCGACGTCCAAATCGACCTTCAGAACCCTCCCATCAGGCCGTTCCTGAACCCCAACATACTGACCAATGGCCTCTTTGTGTCTCAATCTGAAATACTGCGACTGAGGATCAAAACTGGCGAGAATGTCACTGGACAAGGATTTTTGGCGTTTTATAAAACAAGTGAGTTATTCTTTTTAAAACTGGCAATTTATCTAATTTTTCTTCGAAATACATATGGAAACAAATGGCGAGTGGGATGAAAAGTCTGGTGCCAGGGCGGTCAACGGAGTGTGTGAGCGGGATGGAGTGATTGAGGAATATGATCAAAGGTGTTAGACGTAACCAGGGTGACGACGGTAACGAGCAAAATCAAATAGTATTTTTTCCTGAGCGGTTTTATTTAATTTAAAAAATGACTATGAGCTTACTATGAGCCCGTATAATTAAATGAAGTTGCAAAATTTTCTGTGTATCACATAATTTTAATGATAAAGATACCCATGACGCTTCTTCTAAGTACTTTTAAAAACACTTCTAAACTCAAATCATTAATCATATCATTCCCAGTAAGCTACCTGAACGCGTCTCACGTGTTGGAAGTAGCGTCGGGTGTGGGCGGTCGGCTGGCGGCTCCCAACTGGCCGCAGCTGGCGCCCGCGCGGGCTGCGCTGCGCACGCGTCTCGTGGCGCCGCACCAACACACGCTCACGCTGGCATTCAGCGCTACAACGCTGGTCGCTACTGGAGACGGTCTTTGGCCATGTGGAGTGGGCAGTGGGTGGATACAGGTACGTAAATGATCCAAAAATGATCAGAAAACCGTTACCCATAACGAAATGGAAAAATTCAATCCATAAAATTTTATCTTCTTAACACAGATACTTTAAGATAATACTGCTGCTGCTGAAGTAAAACCAAAATTATTAATCTTTTCATATTTATTTTCGTCATTTATTTCCAAACATCATCATCCGATCTGGAATTCATCGGAGAAGACTTTTGTTTAAGGGTTGGTTATCTAATTTCAGGTGAAAGATAGTTACACAGACAACAACGGTACAGAATGGACACTCTGCGAAGTTGACAGGAGCAAGAGAAAGCTGGAGCCACGTGCGCCGCTCGTCATCAACTCGTACCTGCACTCGCTCAGCGTGACGCAGCATGCTGGGGAGCGAGGCGTCAATATGGATGTCTCACTTATGGTGAACAAAGGTAATCATAAGACTGACATAACTGATAAGACGATTATAACATGACTATTCATTCTCATTGAATAGAACAGAACCCTAGAACCCGAAATAGTTCTAGTTACAATACCAGGACGTGTGGTGCACGCCAAGGGTATTAGAGCTTTCAGTTACTTCGAAGTGACGTATGAAGTCTCCAAGTAGGTATACATAAGCAGTTTTTATTTTAAACTGTCTACAATCAGAAACGTGGTGTTATGCTGTTTCTTCAACTTTTCCAAACAACTTATTAAAGTTTGTCACCACAAAAACGTCTATCAGTCCTTTAATATTTCTTTAATTAATTTCAGATCCAGAGTACCACAGTAAAGTGCTGCTAATTTCTGAGGAGACCAGCCTGGAGTCCTGCTACCCAAATCCATGTCTACACGACGGCAGATGTGCTACTGATGATGGAAGAAGTTACTGCCAGTGTTCTGGATACTATGCTGGTAAAAACATTTGAAAGTGGAACTAACTGTCGAGATAAATAAGCTAAAGTATTAATGTTTCTATGAACCTGCATATCCATCATAAGAATAATGTGTGTTCAGGTTTATTCTGCTTGGTGACGGCTTGCGAACGTTCGCCATGTCTATACGGGAACTGCACGCTGGTGGCCGAGGGTGCGGGGGGTGCGGCGGGCGTGGGGGGCGAGGGATATACGTGCGCATGCGCGCGCGGGTGGCGCGGGCGGCGCTGCGCCGAGCGCGTGCGGCCGTGCGCCTCCAAGCCATGCAACAACCGCGGTGCCTGCACCGAGCGGGACGGGGGCTTCCTCTGCCAGTGCAACCCCTCTTGGAAGGGCAAGAGGTACTTACAATGATTTCAATAATAATTACTATCAATACATTACCAAGGTGATAAAAAGACAACAGAAGAAATTAATTTCAACACTGCTACACCTTAAGAGCTTACAATTGTTGCTGTTGTATCCATTTTTCTTTCTACTGCGCTTTTCTGCGTAAGCCATATCCCCCAATGAAGTTTGTTACACTTCTGCAGATTATTAACATGCTGTTTGTAAAGATTATCCACTTCAATCACGCGTAATCAACTTTCTATTTTATCCAGATGTGAGATCCCAAACCCGTCTCCCAACATCATCAGCTTGGGCCAGCGCATGCTCCAGGAACCGTTCTGGCTGGGCCTGATCACAGTGTTCGTGGTCCTCGGTATGATCGGTCTTGTCTGGTGCGCCAAGCGTCACTTCCCCGAGAAGATCGAGAAGCTGCTGGCCGAGGAGGCCGACCGATGCGCTAGACGTAAGTACCACACCCACATTCATGGAGGACAAATCTTTAGGCCCAACATTTGACCCAAGAATATAATGTAAAAGACCTTTCTTTCGCACACTTCCAATATCCGTTCAGTTCGGCTTGCCACTCTCACAGTATAATACTACACGGTAACTTAGTTGGACCGTCCGACGAGAGTATATTTGTGACTCACAGTACAATAACGCTTTGTTTCAACATTTTGTCAGATTGTTTCCGCTATACTCATGTATTTTCTCAATAACCGCACTGTCTCTGGGATGGTAAGGACACGTTTTGCGTAATTTTTACTTTTCTTTGACTATCCTCTTTTCTATGTTTTATTGTTGCGGTTCCAGAAACTGAATGGCATAGATTGTATATATTTGTTGCAATGGTGCATGTATTGACTTAGTTGAGTGTCGAGATAGCTGCATTCCTCAGGTTTCTGGAGTCCGTTCACCCACGGTTCTTTTAACTTGACCCCCGCACTGCAAACAGTAAGTAACGTCTGTCTGTTTAGTTGTTTTATGTATTAGTCCTGGAACAGCCACACAGCGGATCGGAAAGTTAAAATAATCGTGTCAATAGCTGTCGAAAAGGATTGCCAGAAATTGTAAAGTAACCGGATACAAAATCAATCGGCTTTAACCGAGATATGACGTAAAGAAATCCCAGCCAGACAATGTGCCGTGTAAACCCATCATTGTGCCGTAGTGGACTCGCACTGACAGACTGACGCAGACGTAACGTTCACGCTCATCCAAATTGTGTTACCCGTGTGTGCGTATCTGGCAATCCTATGTGTGTGGGGCTAGCGCGGGCGTCCGCGGGCGGCGCGCGGGGGCGCGGGCGGCGCTACGCGGCCGTGCCCACGCGGGAGCCGTAGCGGCGGCGGGGGCGGGGGCTCGCCAGGTCGGCGGGGGCGCGCTCTGCCGGCGGCGCCAGTGACGTGCTATTGTCCACAGCGGGCGTGCTGCACGACGCGGCGCCGCATCGCACGCTGCTCACGCGGCTGGGTATCCGCAAGCCGTCGGTGTCGGGGCTCGCGCCACACCCGCGAGCCGCGCGCACCTTTAGCTTGGACGATCTGTTAAAGCCGCCGCCCGGACGTAAGGACTGGAGCGATGTGTTCCTAGGATCCGCGACCCGCGCGCTCCGCACTGCCACTGCATACTCACATCTGATCATGTAGATTGCGACTGCGTTCGATTGTAACGGTTGACTGTTAGCGATGTTACGAAACTGTTCTTCTTGATATGTTAGATGTTTGTCTGAATAGAATGCAACAACATATCTCTTAGCTGTGATGTACTAGAGTAGAGTCAGACAGTATGCATTCCTGAATAAACCGATCACAACTTCATAAGACTAATGCTTAAAGCCTTTTGTCTCAATCTGTGACCACACGACTTGCCTGATCATGCGTCATGCTGCCTTTACTGAGAGTCACAAAATGTCAATAATTAACAAAACGGAAACCGTTACTTAATGTTAGCTACCAGACACAGGGCTTTATCAACACATACATATTGTCGAACTTCATTTCGAATAGCACGTGGCGTCGCGAACATTTCAAACACTACATCCTGCGGAGCGCGTGGCGGCCGGTACGGTTAGCACTGGATGTGACCCTGCTGTGAATGAAAATTTTATGTGGAATGCAAAGACCAATGTAACATGGCCTGCTACCCTCGTTCTTACTTCTTTCGATGTCGATGTGTGCACCCCTGACAGCACAAACACAGCATCTCTATTGTAGCCGCTCCTTCCTTCGTTGACACCTTTCTAGATCGTCCAACTAACTTGGCCTCTGTTTTGTCAATAACATTGATTACTTCCCTCCTACCTACATCGATAGATTTTCTCAAAATATTTTCTAAATCAACCACATACATACACAAATCAGTATTAATGACAATTCAAAGGCCTTTCTTTTTCTATTTGAATGTTGCTAGCATGCTCTTTTACTCAGACATTGTTTTGGTTTACACAAATACTTACATTATAAATAACTTGTACTCTGTACAATTCATTAAATCTGGAAATAGTTGTAAATGTTTGCTCAAGGCAAAACACTGTCGAATAAACTCGTATTGTATAGCTATTGAAACGACTGTTGTTACTTTCTCTGTTTGTGGCTTTGTATGTCGCTTTCTCTGTTTCAATAACTTTACAACGTGACAGATCAACATCTCCATACTCATCAAGTTGCCATGAACACAACACAAAACACTCAATTATAATACAAAATATTGGCACTTGCAAAAAATTTTTGATAATTGGCACTACCCTAAAGAATTGGCTTCCTTAGTATGCACTGAGATCTAAGGCATGATGGTGATCTCGCAGACTAACTGTTGTTGTTCAATCCCCAGTTTTAAATTTATAATTATTGTGTTGCTTCTGTCATGAACATTCGATGTCGTCGCTTGTCACGAAACTTTGATCTCCAAATAATTTGGTTCAAGTTATTTTTTTGATACAGGAACACCGTCACCTCGTAAAAAACGTAACAATTCCACTCCAACTAAGAAAAACGCCGCTGAGAAGAAACAAATTTTGCAACAACTCATAAGCCCTGCAACCACCAATGACCATTCAAAGAAGATTACAATGGGAGATCTGATCCAGATGTCTGAGAAGCGGACGCTGAGCACAGTAGAAAGTGCGCCGGCATTCATGGACTATGGAAATGAAAACAAAGAAACTTCGTTTGCAAGTGAAGCTTCTACGCCGTCGACTTCGCCTTCCATGAGACACATATCAGATCCTAAATTAGAAAAGAAAGTAACGTTTGCAAGACTACTGAACAAAGTGTCCGCTGAAATGAGTTCCAGTTCTGACGTAGATATGGTGAACACTATCACCATTCCCATGGCGGTGATAGCAGATAGAGGAATGAAAGCGAAAGCGTCCAGTACTCCGCCCTCGCCGGGAGTCGAAGTGCGATCTCCTCACAGCACATCTAGCAACCAGGGAAGTGATTCAATGTCCAGTTTGGACTTGACGTTAACGCACACTGCATTGAAGAAATATTCAAGGTTGGTATTATATTATTCATAAACTACTATAAATTACTACAAATCTGCAGCATACGTTTAAATCATATATGATATTTTCTTCAGACAGCCAAAAATCTCAAGCGCTGACTCCATACTGGCAATGTTCCGAAACTTCTCGTCCTCGTCAGCTGCAATAGTGTCACGAGCGTCATCGGGAGGAGTCTCCGTGTCCAGCACGCCTTCAGCTTCATCACCCCAGGACGACACAGTGGACGCGGACGATATATCCATAGCATCTTCTCACATCCCCTCACTGGCGCCAGACTCGCCCGTCACCAGGCCGCATAACACTATCGAGATCCAGGTGAATACTCGAACAATATTTTTGTTACGTTAGAATTATTGTGAGGTGTTTTATTAGTATTTGTCTTTAAATGTTCGTCTTAGTTTTGTGGGATAGCATGTGTCATTCATTTTACTCCGCAGAGCTACTTTCAATATTAGATTCATTATCCCAAGCATCATGATGGACCTTTGTTGTATACATTGCAGGTTCTGGACCCTCTAAGTGCACACAAATCGTCATCATCAGGTAGCAACCTACTTCACCCACCGTCCATACTACTAGAAGTACCAAGTGGGATCAACAAATGTTTGTCCCCGATACGAGAACTGCCCACACCATTACCAACACCCCTCCCAACACCCCTGCCTACCCCTCTACCGTCCCCTAGACTGCCAAGAGCTAATATCGAAATGGATGTTAAGAGCGAGTCTACCGCAACTGTCATGTCACCCAGTGAAGATGAGCTCGATGAAATTAAGTGTGAAACGAAGAGTGACAGACCAACTTCTGGTTTGCGGTTGAAGGTCGGTCGAGTTCTTGTACACTTTGTACGATTAAATATTTTTATTTCTGCCATACATAATTTAAATTTATGTTTGCAGCTGCGACCGACATTGCTGAGCACGGACACGACCACTACGACACCGACACCGTCGACTCATGTGACGTCATCAGCAAGCCCCAGCTTGACCCACAGCCCGGCGTCGCCCCCCGGCGCGCTGCCAGCACTACGCGTGCCGCTACTGCAAGTGCAGCGCGCGTCGCCCGGCTCCCCGCCGCCCCGTCGTACGCCCCCGCACTTAGAGTTCCAGCCACCGCCCCTCATTACCGTCACCTACAACGCTAGCGAGGAGTCGGACGAGCCCATGTCCCCTAGACCACCCCCACCCTCTGGCAACATGTGCTACCTTAGTCCGTTCTCGATGTCTGCGAGAGGGGAGCGAGCTCCTTCAGAATCGAACTTATCCTCGTCAGGGTACAGCTCTATGGCGAGCCCTGGGCCTTCACGTTGTGGGTCTAGCAATCCCTTGTGTCCTTCAGAAATGGAAGACCCTGGCTCTGGTGGTGGCCCATCCTGTTTTCAGTCCAGGAGACGGCCGCTCATGAAGACTAACTCCAGCCCTGCAGCTTCCAATGATGACAGTAAGGAACGTAGGCGAGGACGATCTGATTCCGAGACATTATCCGACGACCCCCTGTTAGAATCCAATGACGAAGGCATAGGGACCGACGAAAGAGTTGATGACGTACCCACGAGCGCGAAACAGATGGAACTAGTCGCGCTTAAGGAAACTTTAGAAATTCCGCAAGCGACGCTGTGCTCTCCTAGCGGAGTGACCAAATGCTCAATAGTCAAATGCGTTAGTGTCGAAAGAGGACTAGACGAGAAGGCCAGTTTGAGGCCTCCCACTTTGATAACAGAAGGTAGTAGACCCCTGAGTCCAGTCAGTTCCAGGAGTGAGAGCCCGTTAAGTGACAAAACTGGTTTGGGAAGGTTTTCACCACAATTTTACGGTAGACAACTGCCGTTTACAGATTCTGATGGGTTGTACGACTTTCCTAGTTCAGAATGTGTGAAAGGTGCCAACAACAAGTTTGGCAGTAACTGTCAGAAGAAGAGTGGCAGGAAGCGAGACCGCAGGAACACGCGCACCGCCTCGCACGAAGTCACCGGCAGCACCAAGTCCACGCTGCCCCACATGCCACACTCCATGCACAACTTGTTGGAGGTCAGTCGTACATTTCTCACTCAATACTTATTTACTCGCAGACTTTGTCCTATAATCTAGAATATTCCATTCTTGTATGATTAATATCTGACTAACATAAAACAGGTGCCAGGCAGCCGTGACGGTGCGACGCGAGGACGCAAGGGCGGCAGACGACGGTCTCGTTCTCAGGCACCAGCACCAGCGTCATCATCATCATCTGAGGACTCTGTGTCCAACGCAAGCGTAGCGTCTGTGGCCTCGGCCAGGGAGCTGAGGTTGCCTGACATGGACATGCAGGTATGAAGCATCTGGTCTGATGGATAACTTGTTTCTTCCCAGTGTAGTAAAATTCAATTTACTTTTTATTTGTGTAAATTAATAAAATAATATTTTTATAAATGGCATGTTATGTCGCAGGCACTTTGCGAAACAAGTGCTTTTCAAAGTGACTCATATTTGAATAACATTTTTAAACGACGTTTTTTTTGTATTAAAATTGTTTCCTTGAATTCTACTACACGGAATATTTTTTGTTAGGTAAATATAATTTATGTGTGGATTGTTAATATTAATCGCACCAAGGTGTTGTAACTCTGTAGACTAACCTTCTAAATGTCATTATTAAATCTTTAATATATCTAAATACCTACTGCACATGAATTTAAGTAAAGCACTCAACTAAATAACGAATAAATATGCATAAACTAATCCCATACAATACCTTCTATCTCATGCACCTTCTTTACAATTTATAATTACACTGTCACTTTCAATCAAATGTTGTTAATTTCTCAATGTTTTGATAATTTTAGCTTTTTATAATTATTTGACGGTAGGTTGTAGATGTGTGTTGGATTATTTTCAGCCTTGTGAGCCGACGCGGTTGAGGAAACCGCTCAGGAGACAAAAATGCCGTAGTTCTGAGGTGATTTGTTAAGGCAGCAACTTCTTGTTCATTTTGTAGTACAGGGCTACAGTCGCCAAATATTTATGTTCCGTTTGGAGATTCCATGCCGTTACAATGTTATTTGCAGATCGCCTTCTTTGTATTTTCATTAGTTTCTGACGTGTTTTTTAAACTTTATTAACCTATGTGTTGGTGTAATCCTGTACAGAAGAATGCATTCCAAAATAAGATTGTTGTTGTTGTTGTTTTAAATAATATACTTATACAAACTTACGTTGAAACGTAGTAGACTAGTACACATCAGAATGTGTAGATACACTCATGCAACCTCTGCATTGTTACAAATTATATAGATGCATGTACTTATGTAATCTAAGTAGCTTTTAAAAATGTACTTAGTGCATGCGCATCTTTTTTATGATTATTTTAATATTTCAGGACACGTCGTCTAAAATATCTTCGAGCTTGGATCTAACTGAGGATTCCAGAAAACCACCAAAAGTCAACAAATTGCGGACAATTAGCAATCAGATAAGGTGCGTATTGACCATGATTCAGTAGGTATTTCTTCATGGCTGATTGCAATCCTCTGTACTTCCAAATACAGTTCATCTCTCAGTTCGCCGAGAATTATAAAACGTCAGTACAAGATCTTTCTGTTTTTGTTAATCAAATAGGTCATTCCAGATTTCTCCGACGGCTAGAGCGCAGCTTGAAAATGAAAGAAAGCTACCCAGCTCTTTCCGACGACGAAGGAGACGAGTCATCGAGCGTCACTTCGCCTCTACTCCAAGGTCGGAAGGAGTTAGGCCGTCTTCCAAGCCACGCGATATCAGCTCCTCTACTTAGTGCAGTTAGGCCCAAAATTACTAGACAGAGACGTTACGATAGGTCGTTAGTAAGTGAAGACACGAGGACTTTAAATACTGCCGCAGGTCAAGACAATTCTGACTGAATTAAACGATGTCTGCTGAAAAATAGTGTTATTTCATGAAACTCACAGCAATACAGTTTTAGTAGGAGTGTATGCATTTCCTAAATGATTTTTGGAAAACGGTAGTCGCTATGGTAACTGTTAAAATTTATTCATCAACGTTTTGGACATTACGAATTATCTCCATGTTCAAGAAATATCAAATCGACATGAGTATACAAGATTCTAATCTAATGTGATATATTAAACTAAGCGACACAAATACTAGAATGTTATTGTTTTGACTAGATATAATATTTAGGAGATTGGACGTTTTAATTTCCTTCAGTTCACTTTTGATGTCTCAAATTACTCGTAATTTAGCTTCGTGTTGTAAATAATTTTCTCGATAGCAATAACTTATTTGTACAAGATTTTGTAGGAAGAAATATTTTACTATAAGTAAAAGTAGTGACGTATGTAATGTAGGTAGGACAGGAGTCATCGCTACCGTTTCTACTCCTTACCTTAATAAAGTAAATAGTTATTTTAACATTAATAACGTTTTATAAAGGATTACTTTCGCTTCATTTGTAGATTCCGTTAACTATACTATGTATAAAATGCTTTTTGTAAATATATTAAACGTATTGCTCAAATGCATATTTTGTGAAATCGTTTTTTGCGCACTTTTTGCTGTTTTGTAAATATAAAACATATGTACTTAACTTATTTATTATTGTAAATATCGGATACGAGAGAAATCTTTTCATTTTTCTTGACAAAACATTACACGTATAATGTTCTAGATTGTAAGTAAAAAACAAAATGAAAGGCCCAAAAAAATCTGTATACCAATTGCACAATTACTACTTATATACAATTATATATATGAATATAAGCACTCATAATACGTTAAGCTATGTATCGATACCTTGAAGTAAGTATGTACTCGACGCACCAATAGAATAGATTGTTCCATGTATGTGTAACAATGCCACACTCTCAACTCTGTAGACCCCCTTCATAGTCCTATTGTATAGTTCCCTATTTTGTTGTTAATGTATATTTATTTTAGGTCGCTATAGAAGTTACCTATAATCAATAGACACCTAGTTTAGTTAGCTTTAACATAATGTAAAGCTTAAATAAACGTTCCATGCCTATAGGGTGTAGATAAATTATTTTAATTCGGTTACTTTGTCCTAGTCCTAATAAGTAAAAATATTCTTGTTGTTCAGTCGTCACTTCTATCGACACGCGTTTGACATTAGACGTTGTGTTTCGTCTCATTAATTTAACACTAGATTAGTGAACTAATTTAGATGCTTAGATACAGTTTCAGCAATAATTTTATGTGATTCGACTGTACAAAGACTGACAATGTTTGTGCACTAACAAAACTTGAACATCTGTGTTATGTTTCAATGTGTATCGTAAGAAGCGTGTATTTAATGTATACAGTTATCTTTTATACCTAAATAAGTCACTGTCTATGTGTTCTGTGTTTATAATTTTTATTTAAATGTTATTACATAAGAAAATATCTTGAAGCGAGACATAATTCTAAATGTCATATTTCGTATAACTTACTGCAACATCAGTTTCATATATTAAGTGGCCATTTATAAAAAAGGTAACTTTGATCAAATTTATTCAGTCAAAAGTGTATTAGATAATCATTTAGGCGTACTTAGTATGATATTTCTAACTATAACCTTTTGAACGACACTAACTAGTTACTCCTTAAAATAGTTGTACTTAATTAAATTCAGTTCGCTTTAATTTGAACCAAGGGATTTAGAAAAAAACAAAGTATAATCGAATAGAATTATTTAAATCACCATAGTAGGTAGACGTTCAAAAGGTGCAGTCAGTAGAACATTTCCAAAGTCCTTGTATTCGAAGCCTAGAACGCGTATAAATGTTAAATAGTATAACTAAAAATTATGAAAAACAATGGCCTGTTCATTGAGACTGATTTTCTAAAAACTTAACTCTTAAAACGTCGCTTATTCGTTTCTCGCTCGATCGATGTGTGTATGTGTTTTGTTTTATCTGTCTATAGTTTAATTACTTGAGATCCTGAGATCTTACGAGATCTACGTTTCCGTGCCTTCGAGTCTGTGGAAATTATGTAGATATGAACATTTGGCCGACATAGTTAGTACTTGGTAGTCTACGTCTGCAGTTCATGTAATCGTTAAGAGAAGTCTCCGCGACCAGTTAGTAGCTCGCTGATAGACTTTCGCTATAAACAATCGATGGAATTTAGTGTTTTTATAAAATGGTACTTAACTTTATTTCTTAGTATCTATCAAGACGATATAATATAGAATTTTGGAACGGGTAAAAGTGGCACATTAAATTAATAAACTACATACTATGAATTTTCTTGTTAATTTTAAATTATAAAGGTTTTTAAAATATAGATATATGCCTGGTGTTTATTTAAACTACATAATAGTAAATATTATTAATATATAATCAACATAGTAGATCAAAATTAGTATCATCGTGAGAGCACCCAATTATTGTAAGCAATACGTTACTATATAAAATTAGAATATAAAATAATTGTATAATAAAGTTCTGTGATTGAAAGCGTGCAGCTCAAGTGCAGTTTAAACGTCGTCATTTGGCAACTCAATATGTATTTATATTATGTAAAAACTTCATTTAATTAAATTCATTTAGTTACCAATAACTTATAAGGCAGCACAGACACTTTAAAGATTTATAGATATAGTATTTGACTGCAACATAACATGAAGTTTGAGTTCATATTGACATTTACTGTTAGGAAAAGTGTGAATAGTAACTACTAAACTCTAAAAATCCACAGACAGCAAAAATTTTATTCCAAAATTTAAAAATAAATCTAAGAGTTTTTTAAGTGCACTATAACTATAACTTTACAGTGGTGGTTTCTGTAAGATGGCAGTAAATAGGGTAATAAAGGTCACCGATTGTACAAGGTCTGTTACCTACCATGTGACTTAACATTAGATACACAAACAATTCAAGTACTTAAGCCAAGATCCCCCTACGCATTATAAAATACACATTAACTTATTATGATATTATCAATGAGTAGATTCAACTCATACTTTAAAGTATTTTCTTTCTGATTCGGTATGATAAAAGTCTCCCTAAAAGTTGAAGCCGCTGACGTCTTGAACCAGTGGCGCCACTGTAGCTTTAAGGCAAAAACGATTATTTATTAAACAATCATCAGTTTTTGAAAACTTATATAACTAATATGTTTGTGTCTCTAAATTTGTCAACAAAAATAATGGAGGCAACTTGATTTTTTATGCTTAAACAAATGTTTAAATGTGTCTTGTTTAAAAATTAAATTACTTATGAATTGATTAACTAATTTGTATTGTTCTCAAATGAATGAAAGTGTCTGTAGCACTAAGCGTGTAATGTAAATATATTTTACACCGTACGCGTAATAAAATAAGATGTATATTCAATATAATAACGTTTTATTCACAATGTAAAATATAAAGGTAAATAAAATTTTGCTTGTTACATCTGTGTACTTTTTAATTTCCCGCTTCTCCCAAATGTGTTTGATTAAGTATTTATAGTGAGTTCAATATACAGGTAACTAACATATTTTTAATAAGTTTTGATGACTTCTCCACCCAGTACCCATGAGGGTACTGTAAAGCGATGGGATGTAAAATATTGTTGGACAAGAAATCTGCTAAAAACAATTTTATTCGTTTATTTACATATATACCATTCGTGCCCGAAACCATAGTTTATATGATCCACAAATTTTTGTCCGGGACTGAGTGTTATTACCACGAAAATATATTAGTAAATATTCTATTATGGTGAATAGAATAGAATATAATGGATGCACCGTCATCTTCGATTTACTCATTCGGCATAATTGTTCGTGATATACATAATTACGAATTTCGTCAGTCTGTTGCCACACATCGGCCAACATTTCAGATGTTGTCATATCAGTAGTAGGAAAGTAGATGTGAACCGATAATTTTGGAAATAAAAAAAAAGTTTTTCATTAGCAATCATAATAATTTATTTATCGTACAAATATATACAAAGATTACAAACTTATAAAACAAAATCTATATTACATTGACATGTAATTCGTAATACGGAGAAATATCTAGGTACATACAAGTTGTAGGCTTACAAGAAAAAATGCTTTTCATATTTAAATATTACATCAAAAACTATATTATTATTGCTAGACTTGCTCATAATTTTGATCTTTATTGCTTATCGAAATAAAAAGAAATTCAAAGCTAAGGTACACTGGTAAAAATCTTTAGAATTTAGAGATAACTATAACTGGGTAGTTTCAAAGGAGAAAAAGTTTATTTAAAAAAAAAAAACATTTAAAAATATCACACTTTCATGTTTAAAGGACATGTTTTTCGACGTTTCGAGTATTTGGAAACAACCGAATTGTACCCAATTAATACACTCAAGTATAAAGTGGATCATAATGACAGTAAGGATGATAACAGGGTACCAACCTATACAAATTAATAGCCTATTTATTCCGGTAGTTATGTAAAGAAAATTATTTACACTTTACTTTATCATATAGGAAAACAACCCTTAAAGAAAACGAATAAAGTTCGAGTGCGGAAAATGGCTACGTCACCGCTTAATGTACAATTTACTAAACCGTGACGCCACAAGATATTTCAAATCAATGATAGCCTACAGTAGGTATTTGTTTCATTAAAGAAAAGTTATATGTTAAAACAGACATGTTTAATTAAAAAAAAAACAGCTAATCATAGACTATTTTTTGCTTCACAGTAAAATAATCTATGTAGCCTCCTAAATCCAGTTTTCTTTAGCTGCCTTACAAATAGCAAATCACTAACATATGTTAAATAGTTAATACTAATTGTTCCAAACATCCCTTTTCATTATTTATTTATATCACACAATTTGTACAATGCTTAGGCATCGTTGACGCACACTCGAGGCGTTGTGCGGTCCGTCATACATTGCTCACAATGTTCCCGCGTTGATGTTATGCCGCGGTGCACTGCAGTAATGTACGACAAATGAAGTGCCGCGCTACGTCGCGCGAGCGCGTAAACGAGGCCTTGGAGTTTAGACTAAGCAAAAAAATATATTAAATTACTTCTACAATTTTACATATTCCTACTATCATATTATTCATGTGAAAGTTTGTGAGAATATATGAATGTGTGGTTGTTATTCTTTCACGTTAAAACAGCTGAACCGTTTTGGTTGAAATTTGGCTTGTAGGTAGGTGATGATACCCTGAATTAACACATAGGCTGCTTTTTATCAACATACTACGGGCGGAAGCCAGTACATGTATGTATGTATGTATATGGTAGTCGTCGTCGTGGCCCGGTGGTTATAGCGCCCCGTCTCATGTATGACGGGGCAGGGACAAATACTAATATCTGACAACTTGTGAGTTGTATGTACCTACGATTATTCAGATATACGGTTAAAGTAAAAGACGTGAGGCAACATTGACTTATAATGTCTAATTATAAGTTTGAATTCAGAAAAATGCTTTGAGTAAGCTATTAAAATGCTCATACAAACTCCATGTGAGAAGAGGCCTTTGCTCAGCAGTGCGCACTTATATTTATAGGTTGATGGTGATAGTGTCTTTTGACAGAGACAGAATGTCTGACTTGAACAGTAAACGTTAATATTACGAATGTTAATAGGCGAGTTTGATAAATAACAAAAATAAATAAATATGGTGCCATAAGTTACACAATGCAATCAATTCAAACACAGCCAAAAAACGAGATTAATATTAGATGTATAAAACCTTTACACTATATAAATAAATTTTTGATTAGAAAATCCTTCTTATTAAAGATAATATTATTTCTACACAAAAATAAGCCTTTTTAAAAACAAATTTGAAAGGTTTGATCTTAAAAATATACAAGTTTATGAGTAAATCACAATATTTCTGACACACAGCGACCATTTGTAACATTCACACAATCTTATTATGTTCGTAGACTAGATTTTATATACAAAACTAATATGTACATTTTGTAACTAACTGACGTTCACGTGGTACAAAATATTTTCAAATGCAAACCGAGTTTGAATGTGGTGTACATACACAGTATGTACTGCAGATTGTTAGGTTCCGGCGGCTTGGGCCTAGAACATGCCGTCGTGTATGCCGATGGGCACGAGCACGGCGAGGAAGATGGCGACGTTCCGCAGCGCGCGGCGCCAGTCGTCGGGCACCGCGCGCGGCGCCACCTGCGCCGTCAGCCGCCGCAGGTCGTGCGCCGCGCACAGGAACACGTACGCCGCCACCAGCACGCTCAGCGTCGGCGCGCCCGGCAGCAGCACCAGCCGGCCCGCGCGGTCCGCCGCGCCCAGCGCGTGCGCGCCGCCCGCCGCCAGCTCCAGCGAGACGCGGCCCACCCACGCGAACAGCGCCGAGTGCCGCGCCCGCAGCGCGCCGCGCGCGTTGCGCAGCCACGCGTAGCTCAGCACGGGCAGGAACGACACGTACGACTGGATCTCGTCGCAGTCCGACGCGTTGCTGCAGAGCAGCGCGAAGGCGGCGTAGGCGGCCAGCCCCAGCAGCGCCAGCGCCGTCGCGCCGCCGCCCCACGCGCTGCCCGCGCGCTCGTCCAGCGCGCCCGCCGCCCCCGCCGCCCGCGCCGCCAGGTACGCCAGCGCGAACATTATGCCGAACGCCATCGAGTACCTGATCAGTACCCAACATACAATCCTCTATCGATAACTCATTCTTAAAATATCGGAATCTGTAACTAAAGATACAAAACGAGCCAAGCAAATCGTCGAGCACTTCCAATAATACTTATCTTAACTAAATAACCAATTAATAAAAAATAACAAATTCCTAGAGAAAAAAGAAAGAAAGAAAACTGTTTTTATTCGGACCGAGACATGAAGGCCAAGAACAAACAAAAAAAAATAAAACAATAAAAGTTTGAAGTAACAGGACAACAAAATAAAATAAAAATAAAATTAATCAAAACAATAACGTGAAAACAGCCTAACAAAGTACAACAATACAACCCTGGATTGGCGGACATGCCCAATCCGAATGGGTCGCCTACTCAGCAAAAGCTGGGCACAGAGCACCCAACACTGATTTTCAGTTGGCACCCCTGCAGTGACGCACGGACGAATGCAATACATACTATCTACTAGTTACTAGTAATTAGAGCATCTTAATCTGCATTATGACAAAATATCTTATTTTTAAGACTTGCGGGTTCTAGTGATCAGTCCAGGGGAAAAGAAAATATATATGTAGGTATTACAACACAATTTCCTCTTACTTATTCTGTAAAACAGTGACTTCACTGCGATCGAACCGTACCATTCGCTCTACAACAAATGTATTTCATTAATAATAACAACTTTCTCACTGGCCGTACCTTACCTAACAAGAGTTGCCCATAAAAACAACGTTTTCAAACAACTATTACATAAAATTACCGTGTCACAAAATAACAGATTTTACAAAAAACCCACTTTACTAAAACAGACTATCATTCTATATTGGAGCTTTAAAAGTAGGTACTGATATGGTTTAGTGGAATTTTTCGACTCGACTTTGACTAAGCTTCCACATCTAGGTATCTACAATAAACTACTCACCGATCTTGCTTCCACTGCAGCCACCACTGATGAATATCATCGTCGGAGTTCACAAACAGTGCCTTCCAGGGTCTGGTGACGAATATCTTCTGGAAGAAGACCTCACTCATGTAGAGTACGGTCACTATGACTAGCAGGCCTATCACCTTAATGGTAATGTATAGGTACTGGTAGGGCCGCGACTCCACCGTGTGACTTGAAGATGGCGTTATGTGAGGCGGGAGCGCGAAGATCACAAACATCTGTGGAAAGAACAAAATGTTTTTATTATTATTATTTGCAGATCGCCTTCTTTGTATTTTTATTAGTTTCTGACGTGTTTTTTAAACTGTATTATTGTATATGTTGGTGTAATCCTGTACAGAAGAATGCATTCCAAAATAAGATTGTTGTTGTAGTTGTTTTAAATAATATACTTATACAAACTTACATTGAAACGTAGTAGACTATATAGTACATATCAGAATGTGTAGATACACTCATGCAACCTCTGCATTGTTACAAATTATATAGATGCATGTACTTATGTAATCTAAGTAGCTTTTAAAAATGTACTTAGTGCATGCGCATCTTTTTTATGATTATTTTAATATTTCAGGACACGTCGTCTAAAATATCTTCGAGCTTGGATCTAACTGAGGATTCCAGAAAACCACCAAAAGTCAACAAATTGCGGACAATTAGCAATCAGATAAGGTGCGTTTGACCATAATTCAGTAGGTATTTCTTCACTGCTGATTGCAATCCTCTGTACTTCCAAATACAGTTCATCTCTCACTTCGCCGAGTATAAAAAAAACCTCAGTACAAGATCTTTCTGTTTTTGTTAATCAAATAGGTCATTCCAGATTTCTCCGACGGCTAGAGCGCAGCTTGAAAATGAAAGAAAGTTACCCAGCTCTTTCCGACGACGAAGGAGACGAGTCATCGAGCGTCACTTCACCTCTACTCCAAGGTCGGAAGGAGTTAGGCCGTCTTCCAAGCCACGCGATATCAGCTCCTCTACTTAGTGCAGTTAGGCCCAAAATTACTAGACAGAGACGTTACGATAGGTCGTTAGTAAGTGAAGACACGAGGACTTTAAATACTGCCGCAGGTCAAGACAATTCTGACTGAATTAAACGATGTCTGCTGAAAAATAGTGTTATTTCATGAAACTCACAGCAATACAGTTTTAGTAGGAGTGTATGCATTTCCTAAATGATTTTTGGAAAACGGTAGTCGCTATGGTAACTGTTAAAATTTATTCATCAACGTTTTGGACATTACGAATTATCTCCATGTTCAAGAAATATCAAATCGACATGAGTATACAAGATTCTAATCTAATGTGATATATTAAACTAAGCGACACAAATACTAGAATGTTATTGTTTTGACTAGATATAATATTTAGGAGATTGGACGTTTTAATTTCCTTCAGTTCACTCTTGATGTCTCAAATTACTCGTAATTTAGCTTCGTGTTGTAAATAATTTTCTCGATAGCAATAACTTATTTGTACAAGATTTTGTAGGAAGAAATATTTTACTATAAGTAAAAGTAGTGACGTATGTAATGTAGGACAGGAGTCATCGCTACCGTTTCTACTCCTTACCTTAAACTAAATAGTTATTTTAACATTAATAACGTTTTATAAAGGATTACTTTCGCTTCATTTGTAGTTTCCGTTAACTATACTATGTATAAAATGCTTTTTGTAAATATATTAAACGTATTGCTCAAATGCATATTTTGTGAAATCGTTTTTTGCGCACTTTTTGCTGTTTTGTAAATATAAAACATATGTAACTTATTTATTATTGTAAATATCGGATACGAGAGAAATCTTTTCATTTTTCTTGACAAAACATTACACGTATAATGTTCTAGATTGTAAGTAAAAAACAAAATGAAAGGCCCAAAAAAATCTGTATACCAATTGCACAATTACTACTTATATACAATTATATATATGAATATAAGCACTCATAATACGTTAAGCTATGTATCGATACCTTGAAGTAAGTATGTACTCGACGCACCAATAGAATAGATTGTTCCATGTATGTGTAACAATGCCACACTCTCAACTCTGTAGACCCCCTTCATAGTCCTATTGTATAGTTCCCTGTTTTGTTGTTAATGTATATTTATTTTAGGTCGCTATAGAAGTTACCTATAATCAATAGACACCTAGTTTAGTTAGCTTTAACATAATGTAAAGCTTAAATAAACGTTCCATGCCTATAGGGTGTAGATAAATTATTTTAATCCGGTTACTTTGTCCTAGTCCTAATAAGTAAAAATATTCTTGTTGTTCAGTCGTCACTCCTATCGACACGCGTTTGACATTAAACGTTGTGTTTCGTCTCATTAAGTTAACACTAGATTAATGAACTAATTTAGATGCCTAGATACAGTTTCAGCAATAATTTTATGTGATTCGACTGTACAAAGACTGACATTGTTTGTGCACTAACAAAACTTGAACATCTGTGTTATGTTTCAATGTGTATCGTAAGAAGCGTGTATTTAATGTATACACCTATCTTTTATACCTAAATAAGTCACTGTCTATGTGTTCTGTGTTTATAATTTTTATTTAAATGTTATTACATAAGAAAATATCTTGAAGCGAGACATAATTCTAAATGTCATATTTCGTATAACTTACTGCAACATCAGTTTCATATATTAAGTGGCCATTTATAAAAAAAGGTAACTTTGATCAAATTTATTCAGTCAAAAGTGTATTAGATAATCATTTAGGCGTACTTAGTATGATATTTCTAACTATAACCTTTTGAACGACACTAACTAGTTACTCCTTAAAATAGTTGTACTTAATTAAATTCAGTTCGCTTTAATTTGAACCAAGGGATTTAGAAAAAAACAAAGTATAATCGAATAGAATTATTTAAATCACCATAGTAGGTAGACGTTCAAAAGGTGCAGTCAGTAGAACAATTCCCCGCCCAAAGTCCTTCTATTCGAAGCCTAGAACGCGTATAAATGTAAAATAGTATAACTAAAAATTATGAAAAACAATGGCCTGTTCATTGAGACTGATTTTCTAAAAACTTAACTCTTAAAACGTCGCTTATTCGTTTCTCGCTCGATCGATGTGTGTATGTGTTTTGTTTTATCTGTCTATAGTTTAATTACTTGAGATCCTGAGATCTTACGAGATCTACGTTTCCGTGCCTTCGAGTCTGTGGAAATTATGTAGATATGAACATTTGGCCGACATAGTTAGTACTTGGTAGTCTACGTCTGCAGTTCATGTAATCGTTAAGAGAAGTCTCCGCGACCAGTTAGTAGCTCGCTGATAGACTTTCGCTATAAACAATCGATGGAATTTAGTGTTTTTATAAAATGGTACTTAACTTTATTTCTTAGTATCTATCAAGACGATATAATATAGAATTTTGGAACGGGTAAAAGTGGCACATTAAATTAATAAACTACATACTATGAATTTTCTTGTTAATTTTAAATTATAAAGGTTTTTAAAATATAGATATATGCCTGGTGTTTATTTAAACTACATAATAGTAAATATTATTAATATATAATCAACATAGTAGATCAAAATTAGTATCATCGTGAGAGCACCCAATTATTGTAAGCAATACGTTACTATATAAAATTAGAATATAAAATAATTGTATAATAAAGTTCTGTGATTGAAAGCGTGCAGCTCAAGTGCAGTTTAAACGTCGTCATTTGGCAACTCAATATGTATTTATATTATGTAAAAACTTCATTTAATTAAATTCATTTAGTTACCAATAACTTATAAGGCAGCACAGACACTTTAAAGATTTATAGATATAGTATTTGACTGCAACATAACATGAAGTTTGAGTTCATATTGACATTTACTGTTAGGAAAAGTGTGAATAGTAACTACTAAACTCTAAAAATCCACAGACAGCAAAAATTTTATTCCAAAATTTAAAAATAAATCTAAGAGTTTTTTAAGTGCACTATAACTATAACTTTACAGTGGTGGTTTCTGTAAGATGGCAGTAAATAGGGTAATAAAGGTCACCGATTGTACAAGGTCTGTTACCTACCATGTGACTTAACATTAGATACACAAACAATTCAAGTACTTAAGCCAAGATCCCCCTACGCATTATAAAATACACATTAACTTATTATGATATTATCAATGAGTAGATTCAACTCATACTTTAAAGTATTTTCTTTCTGATTCGGTATGATAAAAGTCTCCCTAAAAGTTGAAGCCGCTGACGTCTTGAACCAGTGGCGCCACTGTAGCTTTAAGGCAAAAACGATTATTTATTAAACAATCATCAGTTTTTGAAAACTTATATAACTAATATGTTTGTGTCTCTAAATTTGTCAACAAAAATAATGGAGGCAACTTGATTTTTTATGCTTAAACAAATGTTTAAATGTGTCTTGTTTAAAAATTAAATTACTTATGAATTGATTAACTAATTTGTATTGTTCTCAAATGAATGAAAGTGTCTGTAGCACTAAGCGTGTAATGTAAATATATTTTACACCGTACGCGTAATAAAATAAGATGTATATTCAATATAATAACGTTTTATTCACAATGTAAAATATAAAGGTAAATAAAATTTTGCTTGTTACATCTGTGTACTTTTTAATTTCCCGCTTCTCCCAAATGTGTTTGATTAAGTATTTATAGTGAGTTCAATATACAGGTAACTAACATATTTTTAATAAGTTTTGATGACTTCTCCACCCAGTACCCATGAGGGTACTGTAAAGCGATGGGATGTAAAATATTGTTGGACAAGAAATCTGCTAAAAACAATTTAATTCGTTTATTTACATATATACCATTCGTGCCCGAAACCATAGTTTATATGATCCACAAATTTTTGTCCGGGACTGAGTGTTATTACCACGAAAATATATTAGTAAATATTCTATTATGGTGAATAGAATAGAATATAATGGATGCACCGTCATCTTCGATTTACTCATTCGGCATAATTGTTCGTGATATACATAATTACGAATTTCGTCAGTCTGTTGCCACACATCGGCCAACATTTCAGATGTTGTCATATCAGTAGTAGGAAAGTAGATGTGAACCGATAATTTTGGAAATAAAAAAAAAGTTTTTCATTAGCAATCATAATAATTTATTTATCGTACAAATATATACAAAGATTACAAACTTATAAAACAAAATCTATATTACATTGACATGTAATTCGTAATACGGAGAAATATCTAGGTACATACAAGTTGTAGGCTTACAAGAAAAAATGCTTTTCATATTTAAATATTACATCAAAAACTATATTATTATTGCTAGACTTGCTCATAATTTTGATCTTTATTGCTTATCCAAATAAAAAGAAATTCAAAGCTAAGGTACACTGGTAGAAATCTTTAGAATTTAGAGATAACTATAACTGGGTAGTTTCAAAGGAGAAAAAGTTTATTTAAAAAAAAACATTTAAAAATATCACACTTTCATGTATAAAGGACATGTTTTAGACGTTTCGAGTATTCGGAAACTACCGAATTGTACCCAGTCAATACACTCAAGTATAAAGTGGATCATAATGACAATAAGGATGATTACAGTGTACCAACCTATACAAATTAATAGCCTATTTATTCCGGTAGTTATGTAAAGAAAATTATTTACACTTTACTTTATCTTATAGGAAAACCACCCTTAAAGAAAACGAATTAAGTTCGAATGTGGAAAATAGCCACGTCACCGCTTAATGTACAATTTACTAAACCGTGACGCCACAAGATGTTTCAAATCTAGACTGCACGGTTGGCGCGGTGGCTGGGCAACTGGCTGGCGCGCAACGTGTCGCGGGTTCGATTCCCGCACGGAACAACTCTTTGTGTGATCCACAGATAGTTGTTCCGGGTCTGGGTGTGATGTGCATGTGATATTGTATGTTTGTAAACGCACCCACGACACAGGAGAAAATCCTAGTGTGGGGCAACGTTTTTTTTAACAAGAAAAAAAAAAAAAAAAAAAAATCAATGATTATCTACAGTATTTGTTTCATTTGTTTTAGAAAAGTTACAAGTGAAAACACAGATATGTTTAATTTAAAAAAAAAACAGCTAATCATAGAATATTTTTTGCTTCATAGTTACTTAATGATAAATTATGTATAAAGAAAGTATTATGTAGGAAAGCATACTACAAACTAAATGATTATATAGAAGATAAAAATGCTTGGAGGGTGGCTGGTTTGACTGCACAGGATAAAAATTGTTAAGGTTAAGAGGAATTTTGATCTCAATTATTAAATTATTCACCATGTTGTTGATTGTTGATAAACTGGATTTTTGTAAATGTGAGAGCCCTGTAACTTATTATAATTGAGTTAGACTTATAGACTTATAGTATATTGGTACTTGTGTCAGTTGGGAGTTGTCATGCTCACTCAGGAGTCTCATTGGCGGTGGCACGGGCACTGGACCGCTCGGTTCCCTATAATATGGTTGAGTTGGGCGGTGCTGGTGTACGTGTCATGTTCGTGAACGGACGCCGCCTATTGGGACTGGTCAACTCGAGACTGTCTAAAGTTGCTGTCCCTGAGGGTTATTTCTTTTTCGGATACTTTGGTTAAACACTAGTGTTACACTGTTCTCACATAATGGAGCTATCTAAATTATGTAACAATGTATTGTAAAAAGTGATTGAAAAAGAGTAACCATGGAGTTTCTTGCTCGTTCTTCTCCATAGGAATCTACACTTTGGAACGAGCAAATAGCTTCACTAGAGGACAGACGGACAGACTGACACATAAAGTTAAACCTTATGATATCTTTTTTGCTTGACGTTCAAAAGTGCCTTTTTTGGTCTATTTGAAATAAAGAATTTGATTTGATTTGATTTGAATGAAATGTTCAAAACAAATCTAGGTAGCCTCCAGTTTTCTTTAGCTGCCTTACAAATAGCAAATCACTAACATGTGTTAAATAGTTAATACTAATTGTTCCAAACATCCCTTTTCATTATTTATTTATATCACACAATTTGTACAATACAATGCAATTAGGCATCGTTGACGCACACTCGAGGCGTTGTGCGGTCCGTCATACATTGCTCACAATATTCCCACGTTGATGTTATGCCGCGGTGCACTGCAGTAATGTACGACAAACGAAGTGCCGCGTGAAGCCGAGCGAATGCGTAAACGAGGCCTTAGAATTTAGACTTAGCAAAAAAATATATTAAATTATTTCTACTATTTTACATAATCCTACTACATATCATATTATTCACCTGAAAGTTTGTGAGAATATATGAATGTGTGGTTGTTATTCTTTCGCGTTAAAACAGCTGGGTAAGGCGAGAGAGAGTTCCTACTCTGGGCCGAGGCCGCGGTGACTCATTGCGCTTACCCCCAACCCCTGCAGGTAGGTGATACCCTGAATTTACACATAGGCTGCTTTTTATCAACATACTACGGGCGGAAGCCAGTACATGTATGTATGTATATAGTAGTCGTCGTCGTGGCCCGGTGGTTATAGCGTCCCGTCAAATGTATAAGGGGCGGGGGACAAATACTAATATCTGACATCTTGTGAGTTATATGTACTTCATATGATTATTCAGATATACGGTAAAAGTAAAAGACGTGAGGCAACATTGACTTATAATGTCTAATTATAAGTTTGAATTCAGAAAAATGCTTTGAGTAACCTATTAAAATGCTCATACAAACTCCATGTGAGAAGAGGCCTTTGCTCAGCAGTGCGCACTTATATTTATAGGTTGATGGTGATAGTGTCTTTTGACAGAGACAGAATGTCTGACTTGAACAGTAAACGTTAATATTACGAATGTTAATAGGCGAGTTTGATAAATAACAAAAATAAATAAATATAGTGCCATAAATTACACAATGCAATCAATTCAAACACAGCCAAAAAACGAGATTAATATTAGATGTATAAAACCTTTACACTATATAAATAAATTTTTGATAAGAAAATCCTTCTTATTAAAGATAATATTATTTCTACACAAAAATAAGCCTTTTTAAAAACAAATTTGCAAGGTTTGATCTTAAAAATATACAAGTTTATGAGTAAATCACAATATTTCTGACACACAGCGACCATTTGTAACATTCACACAATCTTATTATGTTCGTAGACTAGATTTTATATACAAACCTAATATGTACATTTTGTAACTAACTGACGATCACGTGGTACAAAACATTTTCAAATGCAAACCGATTTTAAATGTGGTGTACATACACAGTATGTACTGCAGATTGTTAGGTTCGGCGGCTTGGGCCTAGAACATGCCGTCGTGTATGCCGATGGGCACGAGCACGGCGAGGAAGATGGCGACGTTCCGCAGCGCGCGGCGCCAGTCGTCGGGCACCGCGCGCGGCGCCACCTGCGCCGTCAGCCGCCGCAGCTCGTGCGCCGCGCACAGGAACACGTACGCCGCCACCAGCACGCTCAGCGTCGGCGCGCCGGGCAGCAGCACCAGCCGGCCCGCGCGGTCCGCCGCGCCCAGCGCGTGCGCGCCGCCCGCCGCCAGCTCCAGCGAGACGCGGCCCACCCACGCGAACAGCGCCGAGTGCCGCGCCCGCAGCGCGCCGCGCGCGTTGCGCAGCCACGCGTAGCTCAGCACGGGCAGGAACGACACGTACGACTGGATCTCGTCACAGTCCGACGCGTTGCTGCAGAGCAGCGCGAACGCGGCGTAGGCGGCCAGCCCCAGCAGCGCCAGCGCCGTCGCGCCGCCGCCCCACGCGCTGCCCGCGCGCTCGTCCAGCGCGCCCGCCGCCCCCGCCGCCCGCGCCGCCAGGTACGCCAGCGCGAACATTATGCCGAACGCCATCGAGTACCTGATCAGTACCCAACATACAATCCTCTATCGATAACTCATTCTTAAAATATCCGAATCTGTAACTAAAGATACAAAACGAGCCAAGCAAATCGTCGAGCACTTCCAATAATACTTATCTTAACTAAATAACCAATTAATAAAAAATAACAAATTCCTAGAGAAAAAAGAAAGAAAGAAAACTGTTTTTATTCGGACCGAGACATGAAGGCCAAGAACAAACAAAAAAAATAAAACAATAAAAGTTTGAAGTAACAGGACAACAAAATAAAATAAAAATAAAATTAATCAATCCGCAAGGCAGCTTGTGGCGAGCTGTTGGGCAGTGGCGACCCCACGGACCTGACTCCCGGGAGGTGTCTTGTTCTTCTCTCTCCAGTTAGTCCTCGTGACGAGCTGGAGTGAACACTGATGAAGAACAAGCCCTCCTACCTCATTCTTGCCTTAATTGGCTGGCTTGAGTGGAGATTCGCAAGAGTAGGAGTTGAAGGAGACTCGGGGGAAGGATGTATCTCAGTAAGGTGCTGGTAGGGGTCTTGACCGTACTTCCGGGATTGCTCTGATAGCCGTGGGATGCCTCTCCTTCCCCAAGCAGCTCAACGTATGTTGCCGCCGTGTCGCTACATGCTAGCGGCCGTTTCCGGGGGCCCATTAATTGAGTTTGCCAGTCACCCCCTGCCTGTTTATCCGTATGTAGGTATCAATATTGGTCAGGGGCAGGGGCCATAGTATTTCCATAGTTTTCATCCACTAGTGCATAACAACCCATACCCATAACCCTATCAATTGTTACCACATTTTACAATAGTCCTGCATCAACCGGGGATTGTCCTTGGGTGCACTTTTATAGTGCATACAGGGATAATTGCCGGCTGATGTCCCATCACATTTAGATTAAAATTGTTCAACGGGCCTCTGCGAGTTGGCTTCGGCTCCTCGTATGCCTTCCAAAGGTCCGGGACCCTGTGGTCCCGTGAAAGGAAAGAACAAACAAAATTAATCAAAACAATAACGTGAAAACAGCCTAACAAAGTACAACAATACAACCCTGGATTGGCGGACATGCCTAATCCGAATGGGTCGCCTACTCAGCAAAAGCTGGGCACAGAGCACCCAACACTGATTTTCAGTTGGCACCCCTGCAGTGACGCACGGACGAATGCAACACATACTATCTACTAGTTACTAGTAATTAGAGCATCTTAATCTGCATTATGACAAAATATCTTATTTTTAAGACTTGCGGGTTCTAGTGATCAGTCCAGGGGAAAAAAAAATATATATGTAGGTATTACAACACAATTTCCTCTTACTTATTCTGTAAAACAGTGACTTCACTGCGATCGAACCGTACCATTCGCTCTACAACAAATGTATTTCATTAATAATAACAACTTTCTCACTGGCCGTACCTTACCTAACAAGAGTTGCCCATAAAAACAACGTTTTCAAACAACTATTACATAAAATTACCGTGTCACAAAATAACAGATTTTACAAAAAACCCACTTTACTAAAACAGACTATCATTCTATATTGGAGCTTTAAAAGTAGGTACTGATATGGTTTAGTGGAATTTTTCGACTCGACTTTGACTAAGCTTCCACATCTATCTACAATAAACTACTCACCGATCTCGCTTCCACTGCAGCCACCACTGATGAATATCATCGTCGGAGTTCACAAACAGTGCCTTCCAGGGTCTGGTGACGAATATCTTCTGGAAGAAGACCTCACTTATGTAGAGTACGGTCACTATGACTAGCAGGCCTATCACCTTAATGGTAATGTATAGGTACTGGTAGGGCCGCGACTCCACCGTGTGACTTGAAGATGGCGTTATGTGAGGCGGGAGCGCCAAGATCACAAACATCTGTGGAAAGAACAAAATGTTTTTATTATTATTATTTGCAGATCGCCTTCGATTCTTTGTATTTTTATTAGTTTCTGACGTGTTTTTTAAACTGTATTATTGTATATGTTGGTGTAATCCTGTACAGAAGAATGCATTCCAAAATAAGATTGTTGTTGTAGTTGTTTTAAATAATATACTTATACAAACTTACATTGAAACGTAGTAGACTATATAGTACATATCAGAATGTGTAGATACACTCATGCAACCTCTGCATTGTTACAAATTATATAGATGCATGTACTTATGTAATCTAAGTAGCTTTTAAAAATGTACTTAGTGCATGCGCATCTTTTTTATGATTATTTTAATATTTCAGGACACGTCGTCTAAAATATCTTCGAGCTTGGATCTAACTGAGGATTCCAGAAAACCACCAAAAGTCAACAAATTGCGGACAATTAGCAATCAGATAAGGTGCGTATTGACCATGATTCAGTAGGTATTTCTTCACTGCTGATTGCAATCCTCTGTACTTCCAAATACAGTTCATCTCTCACTTCGCCGAGAATTATAAAACGTCAGTACAAGATCTTTCTGTTTTTGTTAATCAAATAGGTCATTCCAGATTTCTCCGACGGCTAGAGCGCAGCTTGAAAATGAAAGAAAGTTACCCAGCTCTTTCCGACGACGAAGGAGACGAGTCATCGAGCGTCACTTCACCTCTACTCCAAGGTCGGAAGGAGTTAGGCCGTCTTCCAAGCCACGCGATATCAGCTCCTCTACTTAGTGCAGTTAGGCCCAAAATTACTAGACAAAGACGTTATGATAGGTCGTTAGTAAGTGAAGACACGAGGACTTTAAATACTGCCGCAGGTCAAGACAATTCTGACTGAATTAAACGATGTCTGCTGAAAAATAGTGTTATTTCATGAAACTCACAGCAATACAGTTTTAGTAGGAGTGTATGCATTTCCTAAATGATTTTTGGAAAACGGTAGTCGCTATGGTAACTGTTAAAATTTATTCATCAACGTTTTGGACATTACGAATTATCTCCATGTTCAAGAAATATCAAATCGACATGAGTATACAAGATTCTAATCTAATGTGATATATTAAACTAAGCGACACAAATACTAGAATGTTATTGTTTTGACTAGATATAATATTTAGGAGATTGGACGTTTTAATTTCCTTCAGTTCACTCTTGATGTCTCAAATTACTCGTAATTTAGCTTCGTGTTGTAAATAATTTTCTCGATAGCAATAACTTATTTGTACAAGATTTTGTAGGAAGAAATATTTTACTATAAGTAAAAGTAGTGACGTATGTAATGTAGGACAGGAGTCATCGCTACCGTTTCTACTCCTTACCTTAAACTAAATAGTTATTTTAACATTAATAACGTTTTATAAAGGATTACTTTCGCTTCATTTGTAGTTTCCGTTAACTATACTATGTATAAAATGCTTTTTGTAAATATATTAAACGTATTGCTCAAATGCATATTTTGTGAAATCGTTTTTTTGCGCACTTTTTGCTGTTTTGTAAATATAAAACATATGTAACTTATTTATTATTGTAAATATCGGATACGAGAGAAATCTTTTCATTTTTCTTGACAAAACATTACACGTATAATGTTCTAGATTGTAAGTAAAAAACAAAATGAAAGGCCCAAAAAAATCTGTATACCAATTGCACAATTACTACTTATATACAATTATATATATGAATATAAGCACTCATAATACGTTAAGCTATGTATCGATACCTTGAAGTAAGTATGTACTCGACGCACCAATAGAATAGATTGTTCCATGTATGTGTAACAATGCCACACTCTCAACTCTGTAGACCCCCTTCATAGTCCTATTGTATAGTTCCCTGTTTTGTTGTTAATGTATATTTATTTTAGGTCGCTATAGAAGTTACCTATAATCAATAGACACCTAGTTTAGTTAGCTTTAACATAATGTAAAGCTTAAATAAACGTTCCATGCCTATAGGGTGTAGATAAATTATTTTAATCCGGTTACTTTGTCCTAGTCCTAATAAGTAAAAATATTCTTGTTGTTCAGTCGTCACTCCTATCGACACGCGTTTGACATTAAACGTTGTGTTTCGTCTCATTAAGTTAACACTAGATTAATGAACTAATTTAGATGCCTAGATACAGTTTCAGCAATAATTTTATGTGATTCGACTGTACAAAGACTGACATTGTTTGTGCACTAACAAAACTTGAACATCTGTGTTATGTTTCAATGTGTATCGTAAGAAGCGTGTATTTAATGTATACACCTATCTTTTATACCTAAATAAGTCACTGTCTATGTGTTCTGTGTTTATAATTTTTATTTAAATGTTATTACATAAGAAAATATCTTGAAGCGAGACATAATTCTAAATGTCATATTTCGTATAACTTACTGCAACATCAGTTTCATATATTAAGTGGCCATTTATAAAAAAAGGTAACTTTGATCAAATTTATTCAGTCAAAAGTGTATTAGATAATCATTTAGGCGTACTTAGTATGATATTTCTAACTATAACCTTTTGAACGACACTAACTAGTTACTCCTTAAAATAGTTGTACTTAATTAAATTCAGTTCGCTTTAATTTGAACCAAGGGATTTAGAAAAAAACAAAGTATAATCGAATAGAATTATTTAAATCACCATAGTAGGTAGACGTTCAAAAGGTGCAGTCAGTAGAACAATTCCCCGCCCAAAGTCCTTCTATTCGAAGCCTAGAACGCGTATAAATGTAAAATAGTATAACTAAAAATTATGAAAAACAATGGCCTGTTCATTGAGACTGATTTTCTAAAAACTTAACTCTTAAAACGTCGCTTATTCGTTTCTCGCTCGATCGATGTGTGTATGTGTTTTGTTTTATCTGTCTATAGTTTAATTACTTGAGATCCTGAGATCTTACGAGATCTACGTTTCCGTGCCTTCGAGTCTGTGGAAATTATGTAGATATGAACATTTGGCCGACATAGTTAGTACTTGGTAGTCTACGTCTGCAGTTCATGTAATCGTTAAGAGAAGTCTCCGCGACCAGTTAGTAGCTCGCTGATAGACTTTCGCTATAAACAATCGATGGAATTTAGTGTTTTTATAAAATGGTACTTAACTTTATTTCTTAGTATCTATCAAGACGATATAATATAGAATTTTGGAACGGGTAAAAGTGGCACATTAAATTAATAAACTACATACTATGAATTTTCTTGTTAATTTTAAATTATAAAGGTTTTTAAAATATAGATATATGCCTGGTGTTTATTTAAACTACATAATAGTAAATATTATTAATATATAATCAACATAGTAGATCAAAATTAGTATCATCGTGAGAGCACCCAATTATTGTAAGCAATACGTTACTATATAAAATTAGAATATAAAATAATTGTATAATAAAGTTCTGTGATTGAAAGCGTGCAGCTCAAGTGCAGTTTAAACGTCGTCATTTGGCAACTCAATATGTATTTATATTATGTAAAAACTTCATTTAATTAAATTCATTTAGTTACCAATAACTTATAAGGCAGCACAGACACTTTAAAGATTTATAGATATAGTATTTGACTGCAACATAACATGAAGTTTGAGTTCATATTGACATTTACTGTTAGGAAAAGTGTGAATAGTAACTACTAAACTCTAAAAATCCACAGACAGCAAAAATTTTATTCCAAAATTTAAAAATAAATCTAAGAGTTTTTTAAGTGCACTATAACTATAACTTTACAGTGGTGGTTTCTGTAAGATGGCAGTAAATAGGGTAATAAAGGTCACCGATTGTACAAGGTCTGTTACCTACCATGTGACTTAACATTAGATACACAAACAATTCAAGTACTTAAGCCAAGATCCCCCTACGCATTATAAAATACACATTAACTTATTATGATATTATCAATGAGTAGATTCAACTCATACTTTAAAGTATTTTCTTTCTGATTCGGTATGATAAAAGTCTCCCTAAAAGTTGAAGCCGCTGACGTCTTGAACCAGTGGCGCCACTGTAGCTTTAAGGCAAAAACGATTATTTATTAAACAATCATCAGTTTTTGAAAACTTATATAACTAATATGTTTGTGTCTCTAAATTTGTCAACAAAAATAATGGAGGCAACTTGGTTTTTTATGCTTAAACCAATGTTTAAATGTGTCTTATTTAAAAATTAAATAACTTATGAATTAACTTATTTATATTGTTCTCAAATGAATGAAAGTGTCTGTAGCACTAAGCGTGTAATGTAAATATGTTTTACACCGTACGCGTAATAAAATAAGATGTATATTCAATATAATAACGTTTTATTCACAATGTAAAATATAAAGGTAAATAAAATTTTGCTTGTTACATCTGTGTACTTTTTTAATTTCCCGCTTCTCCCAAATGTGTTTGATTAAGTATTTATAGTGAGTTCAATATACAGGTAACTAACATTTTAGTAAGTTTTATGACTTCTCCACCCAGTACCCATGAGGGTACTGTAAAGCGATGGGATGTAAAATATTGGTGGACAAGAAATCTACTAAAAAGAAGTTAAATCGTTCATTTACATATTCGATTCGTGCCCGAAAACATATTTTGTGTGATCCACAAATTATTGTTCCGGGACTGAGACTTGTAAGCACGAAAGTTTGAGAAGGCAACCGCGACACAGGAGCATATTAAAGTAAATATTCTATTATGGTGAATAGAATAGACTGTAATGGATTAGGTGCAACGTCATCTTCAATTTACTCACTCGGCATAATTGTTCGTGCTATACACACGAATTTTGTTGCCACACATCGGCCAACATTTCAGATGTTGTCATATCAGTAGTAGGAGGGTAGATGTGAACCGATAATTTTGAAAATAAAAAACAAGTTTTTCATTAGCAATCATAATAATTTATTTATCGTACAAATATATACAAAGATTACAAACTTATAAAACAAAATCTATATTACATTGACATGTAATTCGTAATACGGAGAAATATCTACATACAAGTTGTAGGCTTACAAGAAAAATGCTTTTCATATTTAAATATTACATCAAAAACTATATTATTATTGCTAGCCTTGCTCATATATTTGATCTTTATTGCTTATCCAAATAAAAAGAAATTCAAAGCTAAGGTACACTGGTAGAAATCTTTAGAATTTAGAGATAACTATAACTGGGTAGTTTCAAAGGAGAAAAAGTTTATTAAAAAAAAAAAACATTTAAAAATATCACACTTTCATGTATAAAGGACATGTTTTAGAAGTTTCGAGTATTTGGAAACAACCGAATTGTACCCAATTAATACACTCAAGTATAAAGTGGATCATAAAGACAGTAAGGACGATGACAGGGTACCAACCTATACAAATTAATAGCCTATTTATTCCGGTAGTTATCTAAAGAAAATTATTTACACTTTACTTTATCATATAGGAAAACAACCCTTAAAGAAAACGAATAAAGTTCGAGTGCGGAAAATGGCTACGTCACCGATTAATGTACAATTTACTAAACCGTGACGCCACAAGATATTTCAAATCAATGATAGCCTACAGTAGGTATTTGTTTCATTAAAGAAAAGTTATATGTTAAAACAGACATGTTTAATTAAAAAAAAACAGCTAATCATAGACTATTTTTTGCTTCACAGTAAAATAATCTAGGTAGCCTCCTAAATTCAGTTTTCTTTAGCTGCCTTACAAATAGCAAATCACTAACATATGTTAAATAGTTAATACTAATTGTTCCAAACATCCCTTTTCATTATTTATTTATATCACACAATTTGTACAATGCTTAGGCATAGTTGATGCACACTCGGGGTGTTGTCGCGTGGTCCGTCATACATTGCTCACAATGTTCCCATGTTGATGTTATGCCGCGGTGCACTGCAGTAATGTACGACAAATGAAGCGCCGCGCTACGTCGCGCGAGTGCATAAACGAGGCCTTAGAATTTAGACTTAGCAAAAAAATATATAAAATTACTTCTACTATTTTACATATTCCTATTATCATATTATTCACCTGAAAGTTTGTGAGAATATATGAAATGTGTGGTTGTTATTCTTTCACGTTAAAACAGCTGGGTAAGGCGAGAGACAGTGTCAAACTCTTACCGAGGCCGCGGTGACTCATTGCGCTTACCCCGCAACCCCGGCAGGTAGGTGATACTCTGAATTAACACATAGGCTGCTTTTTATCAACGTACTACGGGCGGAAACGGAAGCCAGTACATGTATGTATATGGTAGTCATCGTGGTCCGGTGATTATAGCGCCCCGTCATATGTATGACGGGGCAGGGGACAAATACTCATATCTGACAACTTGTGAGTTGTATGTACCTACGATTATTCAGATATACGGTAAAAGTAAAAGACGTGAGGCAACATTGACTTATAATGTCTAATTATAAGTTTGAATTCAGAAAAATGCTTTGAGTAAGCTATTAAAATGCTCATACAAACTCCATGTGAGAAGAGGCCTTTGCTCAGCAGTGCGCACTTATATTCATAGGTTGATGGTGATAGTGTCTTTTGACAGAGACAGAATGTCTGACTTGAACAGTAAACGTTAATATTACGAATGTTAATAGGTGAGTTTGATAAATAACAAAAATAAATAAATATAGTGCCATAAGTTGCACAATGCAATCAATTCAAACACAGCCAAAAAACGAGATTAATATTAGACGTATAAAACCTTTACACTAATATATAAATAAATTTTTGATAAGAAAATCCTTCTTATTAAAGATAATATTATTTCTACACAAAAATAAGCCTTTTTAAAAACAAATTTGCAAGGTTTGATCTTAAAAATATACAAGTTTATGAGTAAATCACAATATTTCTGACACACAGCGACCATTTGTAACATTCACACAATCTTATTATGTTCGTAGACTAGATTTTATATACAAACCTAATATGTACATTTTGTAACTAACTGACGATCACGTGGTACAAAACATTTTCAAATGCAAACCGATTTTAAATGTGGTGTACATACACAGTATGTACTGCAGATTGTTAGGTTCGGCGGCTTGGGCCTAGAACATGCCGTCGTGTATGCCGATGGGCACGAGCACGGCGAGGAAGATGGCGACGTTCCGCAGCGCGCGGCGCCAGTCGTCGGGCACCGCGCGCGGCGCCACCTGCGCCGTCAGCCGCCGCAGCTCGTGCGCCGCGCACAGGAACACGTACGCCGCCACCAGCACGCTCAGCGTCGGCGCGCCGGGCAGCAGCACCAGCCGGCCCGCGCGGTCCGCCGCGCCCAGCGCGTGCGCGCCGCCCGCCGCCAGCTCCAGCGAGACGCGGCCCACCCACGCGAACAGCGCCGAGTGCCGCGCCCGCAGCGCGCCGCGCGCGTTGCGCAGCCACGCGTAGCTCAGCACGGGCAGGAACGACACGTACGACTGGATCTCGTCACAGTCCGACGCGTTGCTGCAGAGCAGCGCGAACGCGGCGTAGGCGGCCAGCCCCAGCAGCGCCAGCGCCGTCGCGCCGCCGCCCCACGCGCTGCCCGCGCGCTCGTCCAGCGCGCCCGCCGCCCCCGCCGCCCGCGCCGCCAGGTACGCCAGCGCGAACATTATGCCGAACGCCATCGAGTACCTGATCAGTACCCAACATACAATCCTCTATCGATAACTCATTCTTAAAATATCCGAATCTGTAACTAAAGATACAAAACGAGCCAAGCAAATCGTCGAGCACTTCCAATAATACTTATCTTAACTAAATAACCAATTTATAAATGATACAAAATAACAAATTCCTAAATATTCCTATAGGTCAACACAATTTCCTCCTACTCCGTTCGCCCTACAACGAATGTATTTCATTAATAACACCTTTCTCACCGGCCGTACCTTACCTAACAGGAGTTACCAACGTTTTTAAACAACCATTACATGAAATTACCGTGCCACTCACTCCACCCTTTGAGCCAGAACTTGTGCCGGAGCCACAAACAGGGAGTCAACCAGTTGTTACCTACAACGCTGGTGTGTTTACAGACTCAGTGGGTGCAGGTTTTGGGTCACTTATCGCTAATTGTCTTAAATACAGGGTAACAAATTACTGTTATCACAATATAAAATTTGGCCATATGATAGAAAAAATATCACAGAAACAATTAGCAGAAAATCAGCCAATAGTAATATTAATGGGTGATAGTACAGGGATAAACAAGCGGGATATAAGTGATGGTATCAACAACTTATTGAAATTAAATACAGGGAAGATAGTATTATGTGCATTCCCATATGCTGACACTCTGTCAAAAATGCAAAATAGTAAAATTCATAATCTAAACAATTTAATATTTTTTCTGACCTGCTGTCATACTGACAAATTATCATTTTTTGACACTAACAAATTTGTTAGTGGTTTCAAGTTGACCCGGGATTATATGTATATTCCCAGGAAATGTAAATTATTAATTGCTAGTTTGCTAGCAAATAGTATTAATTTATTAATAAGTAGTTTTAGTGACAAATCTATATTGATTAGACAATCTAACAATATAGAGATTATTTGTACATATAATAGCACGAAGGAGGCTCCACATTTAGTTATAAATATGGATAGTACTCCGGATAGTAATCTTTTAAACTGACTTCCACGACAACAGAAGATAACCAATTAAATTACTCAAAAACCCCAATCATTGAAAAGGTTTCTTCTGGCAATATTATTAAGCATAAACTTAAATTGAAAAATAAAACAGATAACCTGTTGTCATTGTATAGTCAAAATGTTCAGGGCTTAGCATCAAAAATCCTACAAATTGAATTGTTTTTAGAAAAGTTCCAATATGACATTATTTGTATAACTGAACATTGGTTAAAAGATTATCAAGTAGAATCAATTAACTTCAATAATTATTGTGTTGGCAACTATTATAGCCGCAAAGAAATGATACATGGTGGTAGCTTGATTTTAGAAAAGAATTCAATAAAATATAAAGAAAGGCAAGACATTGCACTGCTATCAATTGAGCACTCAATAGAGTTGTCCTGTGTTGAACTGGATAGACATATTGTAGTATGTGTTTATAGGCCTCCTAACATACAGAATTTAAATATATTTTGCTCAGTAATGGAAGATGTATTACAGAAAACGTGTTCTAGTAATAAGTATACAATAGTATGTGGCGATTTTAATGTTGATCTCTTAGAAAACAACTTTTATTGTACAAACTTATTAGGTCTTTTTAAATCTTTTGATCTGTCTAATATATTCCTTGAGCCTACCCGAGTAACATCCACCTCGGCAACTTGTATAGATAATATTTTTTGTAACTGTGATTATTTACATAATGAAATTGTAAACAGATTACCATCTGATCACAGTGGGCTAACAGTCAACTTTAATACTTTTAAAACTGTGGCAACTAAGGAAATTATATTCAGACAGATAACAAACAAAAAAATTGAGTCATTAAATAAAAATTTAAAACATAAATTATGCAGCCCATTACAAGACAATGAATGCCCGAGTGAGATCTATGCTAACTTATTATCCATTATAAAAATACAGTTCGACAAAATGTTCCCTTTAAAACGTAAAAATATCCAGTGTAAATTTTTATTCTGTGACTGGGCTACACCAGGCATTCGTATAAGTAGAGAAAAGTTATTTGAGCTATATGGCATGAAACCATTTAATAAAAGTGAGGCTTTTCGTAGGCATGTCTCCAAATATTCAAAAATATTTAAATTAGTTTGTAAGCATGCTAAATCGCTCTATATTAGCAGTAAAATCCGGACCGCGGAAAATAAAATAAAAGCTACCTGGAGTATAATTAATAATGAAACAGGTAGAAACAAATCTAATAAGACAGAATTTAATTTAAAAACCGAAAAGGGATTTACTAGTACAAATTCATTAGTTGCCCAGGAATTCGAAAATTTCTTTAAAAATATTCCCATCAAAACTACGGAAACGTTGCAATCATCTCCAGCACTTGCGGTCGAGCTTCTCAAAAGTAACGTCAAAGAATGTCCTGCGGACTTTAGGTTTAAACATACAAACCCCCAGGCAGTAATAAAGGCGTTTAAAGATATCAAAGTAAAGTCCAGTGAAGATCTCTGGGGAATGTCTGTTAGAGTGTGCAGGTCTTTTATAGAGACTATAGCGCCTTACTTAACTTTAATTTTTAATAAAAGTGTAGATCAAGGGGTTTTCCCGGATTTAATGAAACATAGTAAAGTAGTTCCATTACTTAAATCAGGTGATAGCACAGAACGCAATAACTATAGGCCGGTCTCTATTTTGCCAGTGCTCAGTAAAGTGTTTGGAAAGTTGATACTTACTCAAATACTGCGTCACTTTAACGCGAATTCTATTTTCCATGACCAACAATACGGGTTCACTAAGGGACGTTGCACTACGGACGCAGGAGTATCGCTTATAAAACAAGTTTTCAAATTGTGGGAAAAAGCACAGGATGCCATCGGAATATTTTGCGATCTTTCGAAGGCTTTCGACTGTGTTGAGCACGAAACACTATTACTGAAGCTGCAACACTACGGCATTCGGGGGGTATCCCTAAATTTATTAAAGTCATACCTTCTAGAAAGACTACTTACGGTACAAGTAAACAGAGTAAACTCCCAGGGTGCTAGCATATCTATGGGCGTACCGCAGGGCTCAATATTCCATTCCTATTTTTGGTTTATGTCAATGACCTGCCCCATTTATTCCAAAGTGAACCGCATATGGTATTATTCGCTGATGACACATCCTTGATTTTTAAATTAAATAGACGATCAAATAACTATGACGAAGTGAATAATGCCTTAATGAAAGTTCATAATTGGTTCACAAAAAACAACTTAGTACTTAATGATAAAAAGACGAAATGCATTAGATTTATTTTGCCAAATGTTAAAAGTAACGTATGCGATGATATATTATTAAATGGTCAGAAACTGGAATTTGTAAAGGAGACCACATTCTTGGGGATTACTGTAGACGACAAGCTGCAATGGGGGCCCCACATTAGATCTCTAGCAGTTGAGCTCGGCAGCTTATGCTGTCTGGAAGATCCGACAGCTAACCGACGTAGGCACGGCACGACTAGTGTACTTTAGCTACTTTCACAGCATCATGTCGTATGGAATTCTGTTGTGGGGACATGCATCCGACGTTGAGTCTATCTTTATCTTACAAAAGCGTGCAGTCAGAGCTATCTATAACTTAGGTCGTCGCGAATCTCTCAGAGAAAAGTTTAAGGAGATCAACATTATGACCGTACCATGTCAATATATTTATGAAAACATTATGTATGTTAGGAAAAACCTACAGCTATTTGTAAAAGTATCTGACAAGCATGACTATCTTACTAGACATAGAAATAGATTAAGTCAGCCTTTATATAGATTAGCAAAAGTGCATAAGTCGTTCATGGGATTGTGTGTTAAATGTTATAATAAAATCCCAACTGAAATACAAAATCTTAATGAAAGTAAATTTAAATTATGTATAAAGAAAGTATTATGTAGGAAAGCATACTACAAACTAAATGATTATATAGAAGATAAAAATGCTTGGCTGGTTTGACTGCACAGGATAAAAATTGTTAAGGTTAAGAGGAATTTTGATCTCAATTATTAAATTATTCACCATGTTGTTAATTGTTGATAAACTGGATTTTTGTAAATGTGAGAGCCCTGTAACTTATTATAATTGAGTTAGACTTATAGTATATTGGTACATGTGTCAGTTGGGAGTTGTCATGCTCACTCAGGAGTCTCATTGGCGGTGGCACGGGCACTGGACCGCTCGGTTCCCTATAATATGGTTGAGTTGGGCGGTGCTGGTGTACGTGTCATGTTTGTGAACGGACGCCGCCTATTGGGACTGGTCAACTCGAGACTGTCTAAAGTTGCTGTCCCTGAGGGTTATTTCTTTTTCGGATACTTTGGTTAAACACTAGTGTTACACTGTTCTCACATAATGGAACTATCTAAATTATGCATTGTAAAAAGTGATTGAAAAAGAGTAACCATGGAGTTTCTTGCTCGTTCTTCTCCATAGGAATCTACACTTTGGAACGAGCAAATAGCTTCACTAAAGGACAGACGGACAGACTGACACATAAAGTTAAACCTTATGATATCTTTTTTGCTTGACGTTCAAAAGTGCCTTTTTTGGTCTATTTGAAATAAAGAATTTGATTTGATTTGATTTGATTTGATCCACAAAATAACAGATTAAAAAAAAACACTTTACTAAAACACTTTCTAACTACCAGACTACTATTCTATTTTGGCGCTTCAAAAGTAGTTACTGATATGGTTTAGTGGAATTTTTCGACTCGACTTTGACTAAGCTTCCACATCTATCTACAATAAACTACTCACCGATCTTGCTTCCACTGCAGCCACCACTGATGAATATCATCGTCGGAGTTCACAAACAGTGCCTTCCAGGGTCTGGTGACGAATATCTTCTGGAAGAAGACCTCACTCATGTAGAGTACGGTCACTATGACTAGCAGGCCTATCACCTTAATGGTAATGTATAGGTACTGGTAGGGCCGCGACTCCACCGTGTGACTTGAAGATGGCGTTATGTGAGGCGGGAGCGCGAAGATCACAAACATCTGAGGAAAGAACAAAATGTTTTTAAATAGGAGCTTTCTGGGTCCGTCCGTCTGGGCTTTGCAAGCGTATAAATGTAATACAACCCGGGATTTTAAAAAAACAGCAGCGTTTAAAGCGTTTAGTATAATTTATAGCCTGTAGCACTCAAGAACATTGTAGCTATCTACCAGTGAAAGAATTTTAGAAATCCGACCAGTGGTTCTAAGGTTAACCGCCTACATTTACAAACTTCCAAATGTTATCCCTTTAAATTATTAGTATAGGTTGCAATTTTATTCATTAAATAGTAGGCACTTGCGCAAATTCTGCGCAAAAATTGCGCAAAATAAAAATAACTTCCATATGAAATAAAATACCTATTGCATCAAATACTTTGAAAAGGGAAATGTATGTATTAATAGAATTTTGAAATTGGTTTACCGAAAAAATGTATACAAAAAACAACTCACCAGCGTATACCAGAACGAGACGAGCGGCACGAAACTGTAGAACTGGTATGGTCTGTTCATTGTCAGGCATAGCACTACAGTCAAAAAGTTCAGTCGGAATATGACCCTCAAATATCTGACCAGGCCGGTGTCTCCTGTCTTCCACGTGTAGTAGAAGTGCCCATACCCTGTCAGGAACAGGTACGCGGAGACCAGGGTGCGGACCAGCATGTAAATAGGAAGCACCTTACTAGCCCCCGTCACTTGGTACACAAGGATAACTAGTTGCATCCAACCCTTCCACTCGTCCGTCTGCTCTCGGTGAAGGACACTAAAATAATATGTTTAATAAGTTATATGAGGACATTTGGTAAGTTTTTTTTGTTTGGTTCTTTGTTAGTAGTCTTTTAATATATTCTATCATAATAAGTGAATGGGTTTTAAATTCACCTTTTATCTACATTCCTAGCATTGAGAACTTTTTCAACATACTTCATCATAAAGTGACTCTTATCCCATGACAATAAAACACATAATACCTATAATCAATCTGTGACTTTTTATTCCTTTTTGGTTGAGTTACGTTTACACTTGCGCTAAAATAATATACGCGAAAAGCCCAAAAAATACCTCAATTTTGTCTATGGCTGATGCGCGTGCATATGAATTGTGATAAATTTTCCCGCCATTGCGAAAACAATTTCACAACTCGATTCTTTTTTGTTGATGGTTTTTTATTTAAGTATTATTTTATTCAGGAGTGTATTGAAAAACATCGTATGATACAACATGCACAAAGATATATTTGAATAACTTACGTATTAGACTTGGAGTCTTCAGTAAAGAACAATCCCAGCGCGAACACATAGCCGACAGGCAACCAGAAACTCCACTCGGAATAGTATTTATTCTCCTTCATAAAGAAGTTGGTTCTGTCGCACAAGTAGAAATAGGACATAATGAGGCCGAGCCGGGCCATGGCTGCGAGGAGCGAGGGCGAAGACCCCGAGGCGTCGGCGTCAGACGAGGGCGCAGCCCGACTGACCGGGGTGTAGCCCTGCAAGTGTGAGCGCGCTGATTCGTACGCTCCCCAAGCGCTACGAACCACCCACAGTACGCCGCTGCAATAATATTACGAGATGGATATGAATACCATATATGTAATATGAATAATCTATACTAATATCATAAATGCGAAAGTTACTCTGTCTGTCTGCCTGTCTGGTTTTCTTCACGCCTAAACTACTGAAGCGATTTCTGTGAAATTTGGTACAGACATAGTTTGGGACTCGAGAAAGGACATAGGATAGTTTTTATACCAAAAACCTGCAGGAAGTCACTATTCTACGCGAACGGAGTCGCGGGCAAAAGCTAGTTATATGAATAAGTACAAGATTGCAGATTTGGTTTAGGCCTCTCGAAAAAGCCTTGATATTTATATTTTACTAGCTTCAGCCCGCGGCTTCGCCCGCGTGGTATGTTGATAAAAAGTTGCCTATGTCATATTCCAAAGTGTATCCTATGCCTGTGCCAAATGTCATCCAGATCCGTTTTGGCGTGATTGAAAACAACAAACATCCAAACATCGTAACTTTTGCATTAACAATATTAGTAGGAAGTAAGATGTAAAACTAGCTGATCTGGCAAAATTCTAACCGCCTCAAATGTAATTTTGTTTAATTTAGTAATATTATCGAACCTTTCAAACCTGGAAATATCCAAGGGAATATATAGGGAATATCCAAGAGTATTTTAAGACCCCAATAAGCCATTTCCATCCATCCTTTTCGTGTTTTAGCGAGACTAACAAACAGCAATTCATTTTTATATATACAATCGTATTATACATCAATCATCATCAATATATACGTTACAATATGAGAAGATTTAAATGGTACTTAAAACGCAGCGCATCCACGACACAGAAGATCATTCATGTGCCAACGAATTTTATTAAGAAAAATGCAAGAAAATATCCTTTCTTCTTTTTTTTCTAATTCAGTTGAACAAAATGTGATATTTTGTTTACAAAACACGTTGCCCCACACTAGGATTTCCCCTGTGTCGTTGATGCGTTTACAAACATACGACTTGACATTCACACCACACCCAGACCCGGAACAACAATTTGTGAAGACTGGGATTATAATATAAGCGTGGAAAAAAGGTTGGTTACGTGTCTGACCAGAGCAAGAATATGGCGAAGGTGAGTATCTGTAGCTGCGTGTATGGCTCGGGCTGGGCGCAGCAGGAGCCGTCGCTGTAGTTCATGTGGTCGTTGCAGAACATGTTCAGCAGCAGCTGCGAGCAGTGCGCCAGCGCGCGCGCCGCCAGCGCCGCGCCGCCTCCCTCCGTAGCCGGGCCCGCGCCGCCCGCGCCGCCCGCGCCGGCCCCGTCCGCCACCAGCGCCGCAGACTTCCATATCTTCGCCGCGCTGTGCGTCAGGATCTGGGCACAGTATAGTAGTATACTGTAACCGCTCAACCTACTTATTTCTCATTTATTGTACTCAATAAAAGAAGAGTCTTATACTTTTGGACCTCCGAGGAACTTCCTGATGAGTGGAACAAAGGTGTCTTGATCACAGTGCCTAAGAAAGGTGACCTTAGTGAATGTGGCAACTGGACGGGTATCACTCTTCTTTCGGTTCCATCTAAAGTGCTTAGTAGAATACTATTCGGCAGGATCGCAAAAGTGGTTGAGCCACTTTTGCGGCAGGAACAGGCTGGATTCCGCCCCAACCGCTCATGTACGGACCAAATAAATACGCTTCGGATCATACTCGAAGAGTCCACCGAGTGGCAACGTGACATCTATATTACGTTTGTCGACTTTAAACAAGCCTTCGACACACTGCATTGGTCCAGTATTTGGCACCGACTTGACGAAATTGGAGTCCCACCCAAGATCAGAGACCTGCTCAAAGCCATGTACAAAAAGTACTCCTGCAGGGTTCAAGCGGGAGTCAAGCAAGGCTGTCTTCTCTCACCTCTGCTTTTTCTTATCGTCCTGGATGGTGTAATGCAGAAAGTAAACGACGGCAAGAGACGCGGTATAGAATGGGGGTTGTACAATCAGCTGGATGACCTAGACTATGCTGATGATCTGTGTCTGCTTAGCCATAAACATGCTGATATGCAAGCCAAACTGGACGACCTTCGGCTAGAGGCGGCAAAGGTTGGCCTTAAAATCAACTCAAGGAAGACCCACGAGATGCGCACCGGGAAAAACCAACAGTCCCTCACTCTAGATATGGAGCCAATCCAGTGTGCACAACAGTTTGCTTACCTGGGAAGCATTGTGTCGAAGGAGGGAGGAGCGGAAGAGGACTCTGCCGCTAGAGTGACCAAAGCACGGGCGACCTTTGCACAACTTCGACCCATATGGCGATCAAAGAAGCTGACTCGTAGAGTCAAGCTTAAAATCTTCCGATGTAACGTCAAGTCCGTCTTACTCTATGGGTGCGAAACGTGGAAGGTAACAAAGGATATCACTCACTCAATCCAGGTCTTCGTCAACCGCTGCCTTCGGCAGATACTTTTCGGCATTTTCTGGCCAGAGAAGATCTCGAACGAACGCTTGTGGGAGGCGTGCCGGGAAATGCCAATAGATAAGCAAATTACACGCCGAAAGTGGTCATGGATAGGGCACACTCTCAGGAGAGGTCCCACACACATACCGAGACAAGCTCTAGAGTGGACACCACAAGGCAGGCGAAAAGTTGGCCGTCCTAAGCAAACGTGGCGGCGCACAGTGGCGGCGGAAATAAGGAGGATAGGACTGTCCTGGTCCGAAATTAAGCATAGCCCAAGATAGGTCCAAATGGAAAAATACTGTGGAAGCCCTCTGCCCCACCTAGGGGATATAGGAACTTAATATATTATATATATATATACTTTTGTAGTTGTACTCAACTGAAGGAGCGTTTACTAATTAAGCGTGGGAGAACCAAACTTTGGCACGAATCGAATTTGTCGGATCGACCGGACTGCTACAAAGGCCTCACAGAGAACCAGGGTGAAACAACACTTACAATAACTAAGCCATGTGATTGAGGCTGTCGGAGACCCAATCCATATCCGCATCCGTAAAGTCTCACACAGAATACTAATTAACAAATTAGAAGTTTATGGTATCACGATAATGTTGTTGTCATGGTTGAGTTCATATCAACAACAAAGAAAGACCGACCCTGAAGGTCGGTCTTTCTTTGTTGTTGTGAACGGTTTTCAATCGGATTTGCGAAATATCTCCTCTGGGGTGCCACAGGGATCTCATCTGGGTCCAGTTTTATTTAATTTCTTAATTAACGACATACCTAACTGTTTCCATGTATTCGTCTTTATGTATGCGAATGATTGAAAATTTGTTAAGATAGAAATCTGCAGACGATGCTTCAGCGTTACAATGTGATCTAGAACGGCTTGTTGATTGGTGGCAAATTAACCAAATGCATTTAAATACTAACAAGTGTTACCATTTAGTATACTCTCGGAAAAATAATTTCATTAAGCAGGATTACTATACATAGTCTGGCCATAAATACTGTTACAATTAAAAATAAACAAAATATTACATTTGAATTTGGAATCTGTCATTTTTATATAATTTTTCATTGTGTTTTCTTATTTTGGCACCAATAAATTGTTCAATATTTTGAGAGATTAAAATGGAGTGGGGTGATAAAGAGAACCGAATCGCTTGATTGCATTACACAAAGTGGGTATGGAGCCAAATGCAATTTTTAAAACTCTCCACACGCTTGGCATTCGTCAAATGTTTGTGTTCGGGCTATTAATAGGTACAATGAGACCTCCTCTGTTTGTGACAGAAAAAGATCTGGCCGTCCACGTAGTGTTCGTACGAAAAAGGTGGTCAAAGCAGTAAGGGAAAGAATTCGAAGAAATCCTGTCCGAAAACAAAAGATTTTATCTCGGGAGATGAAGATAGCACCTAGAACCATGTCGCGTATTTTAAAAGACGACTTAGGACTTGCAGCCTATAAGAGACGCACTGGACATTTTTTAAATGATAATTTAAAAAAGCATAGGGTGATAAAATCTAAACAACTACTGAAGCGGTACGCAAAGGGAGGTCACAGAAAAATTTTGTTTACGGATGAGAAAATTTTTACAATCGAGCAACATTTTAACAAACAGTATGACCGTATTTATGCTCAAAGCTCTAAGGAAGCTTCTCAATTAGTCGACAAAGTGCAACGTGGGCATTTTCCGACTTCAGTGATGGTTTGGTGGGGTGTGTTAGCTATGAAGGAGTGACTGAGCCATACTTTTGCGAAAAAGGTATCAAAACATCGGCACAAGTGTATCAAAATACCATTCTTGAGAAGGTAGTTAAGCCCCTTAACAACACCATGTTCAATAACCAACAATGGTCCTTCCAGCTAGACTCGGCGCCGGGTCATAAACCTCGGTCCACGCAGTCTTGGTTGGAAACGAACGTTTCCGCCTTCATCAGAGCTGAAGACTGGCCGTCGTCTAGTCCCGATCTTAATCCGCTGGATTACGATTTATGGTCAGTTTTAGAGAGTAAGGCTTGCTCTAAACGTCATGGACTATTATATATAAGGCTATGGACTATTATATTATAAGGCTATTGATAACTGGCCTCAACGTTTAAAGGACTGTATTGCAGCCAATGGAGACCACTTCGTATAAGCTTTTTATGTTTTAAATTGTTTTATATTTATGTATTAAACTTACATACTGTAAAAGTAATAACTGTTATTTGCATTAGAAAAATTTTTTTTTTATTTGTTACAGTATTGAATCGAACTTCTGCCGCCCCTCACTACCGCCATTGCTGAGGCCCGACGGTTCGCTGGCCCACACCGCTGAGGAGAAAGCAAATCTGTTTGCCTCCCTCTGTCTAGATCCCGGTGACGTGCGGCCCCCTGCTTATCCTGATGGTTGTGAGACGAGTATGTCAGACATTCGCATCCATCAGAAGGACATCCGTAGGGTGCTACGTAACCTAGACGTGAACAAGGCTAGCGGTCCTGACGGGATACCGGCAATCGTGCTGAAAACGTGTGCGCCAGAATTGACTCCAATCCTGACACGCCTATTTAGGCTTTCATTTGAGGCTGGAAAAGTGCCGAATGCATGGAAGCAAGCTAACGTACAGCCCGTGCCCAAAAAGGGTAGTCGGGCTGACCCAGCTAACTACAGGCCCATCTCAGTAACGTCCATTCTCTGTAAGACAATGGAACGTGTGCTGAACACAAAACTCCTGGCATACCTAGAAGCCAATGACATCTTAAGTGACCGACAATACGGATTTCGCCGAAATCGGTCCACAGGTGATCTTCTAGGGTATGCCATCCACATCTGGAGTGAGGCCATCGAGAAACACGGGGAAGCGCTTGCCGTCTCCCTTGACATCTCGAAGGCTTTCGATAGGGTATGGCACGAAAGCCTTATTAGTAAGCTTCCTTCATTCGGTTTACCCACTGGATTGTGTGTTTGGATCGCAGACTTTCTGAGGGACCGGTCCATTCGTGTGGTCATCGATGGTTGCTCGTCGAGTCAAATGACCATCAATGCTGAGGTTCCTCAGGGGTCAGTGCTCTCGGCAACATTGTTCTTGTTGCACATACACGACCTGCTTAAGCCCGGTACCTTTGGGTATGCAGACGACAGCACTGTTGTTGAGAGTTACACGTCCGGCGCACGAGCTAGTGGGTCACAGATCCAGACTCTTCGAGAGGCTATGGTTGAGCGCTTGAACTTGTCCTTGGAGGCTGTCTCTAAATAGGGCGATGGCAACATGGTCAGGTTCAATGCAGCTGAAACTCAGGCGTGTCTATTTTCCAGTAAAAGGAGTCAATTTAGCCCTGCTCCAACTTTCCGGGGTGTATCCGTGCCGATAACTGACCATCTTGATCTTCTTGGTATAACGCTGACGTCTACTCTCAATTTTGGGCCATACATCGAAGCAAAAGCTCAACTGGCTGCAAAAAAGTTGGGAATCCTCGCAAGGGTTAGACAATACTTCACGCCGGAACAGCTGCTTAAACTTTATCAGGCGCAAGTTCGATCGGTTATGGAGTACTGCTCTCATCTTTGGGACGAATCTGCCCGATACCAACTTGATGCGCTTGAGTCTATTGAGAGGCGAGCCAAGAGGATCATTGGCGATGATGCACTTGTCGAGTCGAGACTTCAAAGTCTTGAGCATCGACGCCGAGTTGCTAGCCTGTCGGTTTTCTACCGGTTGCATTTCGGGGAATGTGCGTTGGAATTACATAATTTAATTCCGCCTAGCCCGTTCCATCATCGGACCACCAGACGTACGGCATTGCGCCACCGGTACATGGTGGATGTCTCACATATACGTACAAAACGTTTTGGGAGCACATTTATTATGCGTACAGCCAAGGAGTGGAATTCCTTGCCGGAGTCGGTGTTTCCTGTTAGTGTTAGTTACAATCTGGGTATCTTTAAGTCAAGAGTGAATAGGTTACTTCTAGGTAAGCGCGCTCCATCGTCGACCGCATCGTCGCTTTCCATCAGGTGAGATAGCGGTCAAGCGCGAGCCTATAACCAATAAAAAAAAAGTATTTATGGCTAGACTAGGTATTAATGAAGTCAAAGTGGAAGAAAGGGAGACAATAAGAGATCTTGAGGTAATTATTGATCAAAAATTTACTTTTATCCCACATATAGATGATATAATAAAAAAAGACTCCTCAATGCTCGGGTTTGTCCTCAGAATACAGAACAAACCAGAAGGCGTCATCGCGCTTCAAACTGAAGCAACTAAAACCATTCTCAACTAGAATAGTATGAAATTTCTACGATTAGTCAATTTTGGCACGTGGCATGTCGTGACGTATTTACGAGTATCAATTTTAATTTCATTATGCCGTCTTGTGTTATTACAACGAGTAAAAATGCGACTGGAATTACGAAAAAACTGGATAAGATTACATTTCATCTGCAAGCATCGACTGCAATAGTATATTTAATTAGTTATTGAATTTTTTTTATCGATTTATTTTTCTATGAAAATGATGCGGCCATTTTGTGAGTGTTGTCATTTTTGGTGAAAATTTTACCCACTTATTTATTTGTTGTGGGTTATATTTTTGTCCATTATGGAGCCTATGTCATATTAGTTTCCCTGACAAAAAAAAATAAATACAAATCATACAAAGGGACGGTTAGATTAATTTTGGAAACCATCTAGCCAGAGCATAGTTTGCTCAATTCACTTTGAAGAGATATATTTATGACAAAGGTGGTTTGAAAACAGCATATCCTACTAAGATATATCTATACTAATTATAATGCTGAAGAGTTTGTTTGTTTGTTTGCTAGAATGCGCTAATCTCAGGAACTAAGTAAAGTAAGTAGACTTCTAATCTTTAGTTCCGAGTCTAAAGACAATACATATAAAAAACTAAACCAGCAAAAGGGAACGCAATAAAACCTCTGTACTTATTGAAGCTTTATTTTATTAGTTGCGTATAGTAGGTGTAACAAAAAATTAACAAATCCAGAAATCGTCAACTTTTATGATACCTCTATGAAATGTGTGAACAACTAGTCTGTTGCATTTATCGTAAGTTTACCTATTTTGTTGGGTTTACTCGTATCTTACCCTCCTGTTGTAAAATTACCCCAAACCAAAGGAATTGTTCCACTGTCGGCAACACTACGCGGGTGGGAAGTGCGGCTGGCGGGGGGATTGACGTATTGTTTTTGGACACATTTGACGATATGTAATTATGAGTGAACGCGGCTTCTGGTTTGTTCTGTATTCTGAGGGTTTGTCCTAAGGAATGCCAGACAGTTTAAGGACAATAAGACAAAGATCATACTATACAACTACAACAGTCTGATTTGTACCATGCTAGAATATTGCTGCGTTATATGGTGCATCGCATGCCGCATTATGCCACGCATGCCTTGCGCCTAGAGCGCATTCAAAAACGTTTCGTTTCATGTGGCATCTATCGCTTTCTTGCGGTATTGGTAAGAAAGTACGATCATACATTTCAAGACTAACACCCGGTTTCTGAAAGGCTTGTCAACGCTAAAATTACCTAATCTCCTGTTAAATCTCTTGTCAAGTCATCTGATGGTTGTTGATAATTCAGTCAACCAATCAGATGACTTGACAAGAGATTAAATTGATTTTAACATTGATTGGCCTTTCGGAAACTGTGTGTGAGACACTTTAAAATAACTTCGCTAGACAAACGCCGTCGTCTCAACGATGCAATGTTTTTATGCAAAGTCATAAAACATAAAATTGATTGTCCCCAATTGTTATATTATTTAAATTTCCGTGCACCCTCAAGGATTCCTCGCAATCCAACTACACCGCTTTACCCCGCACTTAGGAAAACTGTGTTGGGTGCAAATTCTTCTATCGCCAGATTGTGCAAAGTAGTGAATAGTTGTAGTGACAGTATCGACTTAAACTTTGATGGGATGGGAAAGCCAGTCTCCTTAAATATTTGCCCGATTAGCTTGACTCTGTGTGTTATGTTCAGTGTCTCTGTTTAGTACAGTTATAGTTTTCTACTTCTTTAATTTTTTTTTTCCCATTTCTCCATTTTCATTTGCTTAGTTAGGTTTTAACCTTAGTATATTGTGTACAACTTTTTTTTTTATTCATGATGTGTTTACTAGGGGCTGTTACACTAATATTAGGTTGCATTACATGTTTTGTGTTGTTTGTACAGTGTAAACAATCGTTGGTAAACCAAATAAATATTAAATAAATAAATAAAATTAGTAGAAATAACTAATTGACCACAAACCATACTTGCGCAAAAAAATACTTGCGCAAAAAAAATACTTGCGCAATAAAGTCATACTTGCGCAAACTACCACTAGTTACAAGTTATATGAACAGGTTACTCACCTCTACAGCAGCTCTGTTGTACGAGTCAATATCATTGTTGTTGATCCTTTTATATTCATTCTGTAATTTATTCACATCCACACCTTCAATCAACTTCCACAAAACCTGCGTTTTACGTGCTGCAAGCGAATCTATAGCTTGCACCAAATGCGTAAGGTTCCTTTTGTATTCCTCTAAAACTAAATCTGTAGTATTTCGAGTTTTGAGCAGTTGAAGGCCAGTTGAGGCTATGATCACGGAGGGCGGTTGGTCTGAACGCTGCCTGTTGAAATTTGAAATTTAAGTTTAGAATGACAAGGTTTACAATAAGTTGATAAAATGCTGACGATTTCACACTCGCCTTAATTTTGTATCTAAAATAACTATCGTGAGACACACAAAATTAAATGAAGTAATGTTAATGCAGCTTACTCATGTCAATGTACATTACAATGATTCCCGAATAGATGTCATGACGTCAACGTGTACTGAGATCATAGATAAGATAAGGTTCCGGTTGGCCTCGAAATCAATCGAGTATCTCCGTAATACATTGACGCAAGTGAAATAAAAAATATTTAATACACGCGTACTTTTAAGACCAATAATATCATGAAAAGACAGAATATCGTAACACACACTATCAATGTGATTATCTGTGTGAGTTCGGTTACCGGAGACCCAATACCTCCACCCTCTCCCCATATCTCTAATACTCACAAGATGCCAGAAACACACTCATAGTAACTCCTTTGGTACAACGAGTGTCCATGGCATTGCTTACCAACAGGTCAAGGACAATCCATCTGATCGTTAGCAAATGGATACCCGAAACACGGTTACAATAGCGTTGAGGGCCTTTTAGAAGTTTTCAGGGTATTGCAGTTTGGGAACGGCTGAGGTAGGATTGAATGTATATCAAATAGTAACCATGTGCGGAACTGGTCGACCATGGTCTTGGAGACATCGTCGCTGTATACGAAGGTGACGGAGAGCCGGAGCTTGTTGTCCACGTACGTGTAGTTGGGCATGCGGTGCTCCACCGTCGAGTACGGGGAGTCCAGGTCCAGTCGAGTACGGACCACGCCTGCGGGAATAGTAGGTTATAATAACTTATTAGAGAAACATTAAGCATCTACATACCCAGTTTAAGAAATGAAATCTTACTAATGTTATAAATGCGAACGTTACGATGTTCGGATGTTTGTTACTCAATCACGCCAAAACAACTGGACGGATCTGGATGAAATTTGGCACAGGCATAGGATACACTCCGGAATAGGACATAGGCTACTTTTCTTCTACATACCACGCGGGCCGAAACCGCAGGAAGCGGAAGCCAGTATACATATTATGAAAATTCGGCTGCATGGTTGGCGCGGTGGCTGGGAACAAGTCTTTGTGTGATCCACAAAGAAAAAGGAAAATCATTTGTGCCATGACCCATGACAACAAAACTGTTTTTTGTGAGGGTCATCATCTCCATCATCAAATGCGAGTCAAGAAGGACTCTCACTGACTAAAATCCCTCCTTTCGTTTTTCTGGTCTAGGCCGAGGCCGCGGTACCTTATTGTGCTTGCCGTGCAACCGTCTACGGTGGTCTATTGGAACTTTCGAGGCGCGAAACGCCGTACGTTAGGAATAACATTGATATAATATTATTGAAGGCAAACCCTTCGGTAACTTCGGTGAACAGTAGCCGATACTGCGGTCAATGAGGGACGACTCTATTGCCACATAACGGGCAACTCAAAGATCAGTGTTACTAGCGTCAAATAATAATCTCAATAATATATTTGTAGTCCAACGACTCTTTGGCAGTTGCCAACAATAACAACTAAATTTTTCTTGCTAACTAAAATTTAATATTAAACTTACTTATAAAATATTCATAAAGTTGTTCGAGCCGGGAGTCGCCAATGAACGCAAAGCTGTTGTACTTGCCCCAAAAGGCAAGGTATCGGAAACATCGTCTCGCGTCCCTGCAACATTATAAAAAAACATATAAGATTATGATTATAAACTACCACAACATATTAAGTCTTGTTATTGCTAAATATTTTATTTATTTGTGTAACTTTTACAATAAGAATTGGGGCTAGAACAAGTATCAGAATGTTAAGTATTGACTAAAACCAGCCCTTCTTCTACTCCAGGTCGGGGCCGCAGTACTACATCATTGCGCTTGCTCAGCAACTCCAGCTACTGCATCAGCCCTATAGGGCCTGTCTGTGGTGGTATACTGAGTCTTGGAGGCGCAAAACGCTACACGCCGCACCCTTGGGTCTGGTTTTGGTTGGCCGGAGAGTTGCTCTTGCTCACCGTCCGCAGACCTACGCTTACGGTCTTCTACTGCGGCGGCTGGGGCGTGATAAGGACAGTTCCCTCAAGCGCTCCACCTCCTTCTTTGCGAGAGGCCACCGCCGACAATAAGGGGGATTAAATTTTAAATTACGTAATAGGCGCATCAAAAACTTAACAACTGATCAATCTATTTACTTCTCCCGATGTTATGTATTCCATAGAGCGATTGGCGACTGCCACGTTAGGAACATTCGGCCAACAGCTTAGTCAGACGAATTATTCACAGTCTAATTTATGAAGGTTGTTCAATGTTCATTGTTTCAGATACTTCATACAACATACCTATTGTTAAAATTAAGAAGGTAATTACTACAAGTTATTAGACCACGATAACAGGCGATAACTGTAATACTATTATTTTGTTTGAGGTTGTAGCATATTTTGTTTTATGTACATATGCTTACAAGCTATAAAAATTGAAAAAATAAATATAACAATATATTCTGAGAATTTATTTTGCGTGGTTTGTATGATTATTCGGTCCATGATACAATGATACATAAGCTATCTATGCAGGCGGCTATGCAGGTGATCGCCCAGTCTATCTACTGGAGCAAATTTGGCTACACTTTAAAATTTTCTTTCTTTAACTGCGTATCATTCATCCTGTCATATATAACATATGACAGCTGACCCTTTTAACATCGTAATTAGTGACATTGGGTCACTAATTACTTGTAATTAAGAACATTGCAACAACCGCATGCTTGTGTGATTAATTATAAGATGTAATTATGCAGTTAGTATTGTTCTTTCCTGACACAATGCTACATATGTATGCTAAACTAATGCAGTAAATAATTTACATGCCATCCTTATCACATCATTTACTGATAGTAGAGTGATATTAAATGAATGAAAACAAATAATAGTGCTGATTGGTGCAGCCAGGTTTACTAGTATTCTTATATTTGCAGGTTTTTAAACATTTTTCACACTCATTCTTTTTGACCAAAGTGTAGACCAAAAGTGGCCATAAAGTTTTATTATAAACAGTTAGCCTAAAGCCTTTTATTTATAATTTTTAAATATTGCCCTACACTTGAATGTTATCCTATGTTGTGGATGTGTTTACAAACACATTACACCCAGACCCAGAAAAACAATTTGTCGGTCACACAAACAGTTGATCCATTCAGATATGAAACTCACATTTTATGCAGCAGCATTTTGTTTCTGTGTATAGGGTATATTTATACATATATACTACTTAGATTCTACCTATTTCACAAACTATATTGACCTACATTATCTACTTCAGATACTAGTTATCATGCATTTCGATCAAAATGATTTAATATGTACACTATCTTCAATATATTTTATAGTATGAATCATTGAAGTGGTTATCATTATAATCAGTAATTTCAAAAAGGATTAAAATAATGAAAGTTTGTACAAAATAGAAACAAGTTTGTATTAATTTTCCTGTGAGTATTATTTGTAAGTTCGTTTCCGTTCCTGGGATCACAGGACCCCGGACCTTTGGAAGGCGTACAAGGGGCCGAAGCCAACTTGCAGAGGCCCGTTGAACAACTTTAATTTAAGTGAAATGGGACATCAGCCGGCAGTTATCCCTGTATGCACTATGAAAGTACACCCAAGGATAATCCCCGGTTGATGTAGGACTATTGCAAAATGTGGTAATAATTGAAAGGGTTATGGGTATGGGTTGCTATTGAGTATTATTATTATTATTTTTCATAATATCAATCACAAATCTGTAAACTGTAACAATCATAACTTTATGTTACACATATTATTTATAATGTTTGCAATAACTGCATAATAATATGTGAAACAAAAAGAAGAAGAAAATCTGTTTATTTATACTGTTATCAGTAAAATACAAATAACATATACACATAAAACACCATAATATCCATCATAACAGAGCAAATTGATTAACTCTCAGCATAATGCACACTAGTATATGTTTACTTATACACTACAAATGTATACCCACACATAAATAATGATAAACTGCTAACTAAATTAAATAAATTACAGTTTTAAGTTTTCAACACTAATAATATGTAGGTACTTACGTTTTGGAGTACTTGTGTAACATACAGCCATAAGGTTGCCACTCATGATCACCTTTGTATCTTCCTGCTGTCAGAAGCCAAGTGCAGGAGTCTGACCCTGAAGAGAAGAGTTAAGAATGAGAAAATAAAGTTAAATAAACTATCACTGATATTGTAATATTGTACATACTATAATGTATAAACTGTGTAAAATGAATTGGACATACATTCAAATATGAACCCAATATTTATGAAACAAAAAGAAAGATATTACTCACCATATTTCAAATGCAAAACCCCATGATAACCAATAAAACCAATGACCAAGAAAAATGCTAAAAGCTTTGCATTTTCCACATTGAGCTGGTCTATTATCCACTCAGCGGATGATTTTTTGCTGTAAGAACCCATAGCGCCCGCTCAAATTCCAGCAAAATTCCACTTGAAGTAGAATACAACTAAACTAAAGCAAAACAATAGCGTTTCACATTTATATCACTGTAAGTATATTGCTTCAGTCAACGGATATAATATAAACTATTTTCGTTTAGCTGCAGCACGATAGTATGCAGTTGTATTTTCCATTTCACGAATGCATATTTTGCAAACAACAAACTATTTTACACTGCTGAATGCCGAATGAAATGAATAACAGGTAAAAAGCATTTGACAGTTTGATTCACTTGACATAAGACACAACTGACAGATTCATCCCTGATATTATTTTAGAGGTGTATACATTTATCCTATTTAGTCGATTTTAGTGGATATTGTAATTTGCAACTGTATCCGAACGAACAATAAGAGGGTTTTTTACTATGTTGCAACCTATAATAAAAATTTAATCAACCTGTCGTAACTTTGAATTTCTTTCAATCACAATTGTTTTAATGTTACATTCAGATAAATAATTATATGATTTTTGGTCTTAAGAAATAACTCCGAAACAACTAAAATTAATTTCAAAAGAAATAAAATTTTGGTGAGATTAATATGTAGTTCAAATTTTCAACTAGTAACATCAAACGTCTAATTGGATTACAATGGCGGCTATGTCCCCGTCTGAGGTAAGTAAAAAATAATTAAAATATTACCCCTAACGAAACATATTTAATGTTCATATTTTATGTAATTTAAGTCTTTCTTATCTTAGTATCAAAACTGCCTTATAAACAACAAGTATATTGTAATTCTTATAAGTACCGTATTGTGACAGTTTTGGTATTAGATTTTTTTGTCAGAATTATTATTGTATTGAAGAAAATTAAAGATAATCGTTGAAACTTCAAGAAATAATTTATTATCCTTATAATTGAAGCCCAGGCATCTCTAATAATTATACTAACTCTAGTGTTTATATGGTATTAAATTAAAATGTAAATATCGCTTTTTAGCGGAGATTACAGAAAGAACTTATGTCCCTGATGAAGGAACCACCACCAGGAGTCACCGTAGACGGAGATCAGGCCAGCCAAAATCTAACACTGTGAGTAGAACAGCTGATTACTTGTAAATACATAAATGAGTAGGTATATGTAGGTAATCATTGTTGTCAGATCTAGCCATTTATTAATAATACGTTCATTAAACGCAGGTACTTCCATATCGATCGATTTAAAGTCATTCTGTCACATTTTGTTGATTATTTTTCTAATTATGGCTTTGACATTAGCTTCTATATGCCTTTGTTTGAACACCTAATGTGGAAAATTAGTGATGCCAAAACATTATTGATGTAAACATTGATATAAATAGCACCTCCCTATTTATTCTAATAAATATTTATTTATAGATGATTTCAATTGATGAAGACAAACAAAGAAATATAAATCCGGCTATTAAGTAAAATTATAATAAAGAATGCATAAGTCACATTATGAAATGTATGAATATATGTTTTTTTTGCTATTGTGCTAACAGCTGAGTAAACAGAAGCTATTATTTATTATGTAACCCACACTAGTGTAAAGCCTTGGCACTCTGCTGATGTTATTTTTCTTCTATGTTTATGTTAAATGATGTGATCATTCATTCATGATCATGTGTATGCCATCATGCATGCCATATGCTGCATATAAATAACAGCTTAATAATCTTATTAGAACTTTACCTCTGGTCTGTGATTATGTATGTAAAATTCTTTAATATTATGGAAGAATGTGTTCATTACAGCTGTAAAACCTGCTAGCGTTCATATAAAAAAGTATTCTGCATTAGATTTTCCTTAAAATAGTATTTAAACAATATACATCAATGTTCTATCTTGATGATATATTATCCTTCTAGATATTAATCAAACAAGTCTCAAACCTAGTTTGACCTTAAGAAGTTATAATAAAAAAATGTCTTTAGTTTTTCAAGCTATTTATCCAGAGAATAAATAATAATTTATGTTAATTAGCAGACATATTAAATCTTAACCTTTTATCATTTAAAAGACACTAACATGCAGATAATATCTAATATAATTCTTGCAGTTTTAGAGTTCATTGTTAATATTTAATTAACATACATAGAATAAGTAGGTTATATTTGTTTATGATTCTAAAATTTGTAGTAGTAGTAAATTCTTATGTAGTATGTCAATATTATGTCTGTATCACTTATGTTAAGGAAAAAAGAAAAAAAAACAATACTTTAATAATGAAGGTGAAGAATCTGTACCCTTTCAATGCCAAACTATTGTTTTAAATAAGGAAAGTGAGATATTAAAACAGAGACAAGATTCAAGAGTAGTCTTGATATGATCTTTAAAAAAAAGGTTTTATATTTATATATATTTAAACTTTCAACACTGATTCTCTGGAAGAAAATGTTTTAATAGTGAAAAAAAAATCTATTATATCCTTTGTGCTTGTTTGTTTGTCAGGTGGACAGTACACATGGAAGGTGTTCCCGGCACTCTATATGAAGGCGAAAAATTTGTATTGCAGTTTAAATTCACAAACAAGTACCCATTCGACTCTCCTGAAGTAAGTGTTTTTTGATTCTAACTTTCTAATGTTACATTACATACATAGTTTCAATCATTCCTAGTCTAGGCCAGGATCTTTTTTTATTTATTACTGTTTCACTAATTAATGTCACTGGTTATTAGATGCAATGCTATGTATTTTCAAATCTAAGAAAGCCATTCTCCACATAAAGAATAATTTGGAACATGATTATTATTATTATTTGTTACATTTTTATAGGACATTTAGTTTCTGGGCACTTTTAAAGTCATTAACATTTAGGATTACACTTGATACTTAAGCGTCTGTTCTAAAGAATGGGTAGAACCTCAAAATTACCTTTATAGTGTGGGCCACACATCAGCCTCCAACAATGCTTAATTTAGCTAAGCATGTAAACTAAAGATCTGTAATTCAACTCCTAAACACTGCACATTACAACCTGGTCATTATTTGCACCAAAATTTTGCATACAAAATAGGGAGCTATACAACTGAAACTTTAATCGTGAACTTTTGTTGTCATACACAATGCTAGATTTCCCTTACATATTGTTCTTACAGTGTCTACATATTCGATTTTTTACAATTTGAATAAATACTTGAATAATTCACACTAATCTAATTTTATGCGCAAGGATTTTCCTTATTATTGGTTGATTCATGAATTGAAGAGCTAAGTTTTGATTATTGCATCAACTCAATAGAATTATTTTATTAATGCATTTTAGTTTATTTTATGATGGAGATTAATAAAATCATTTACAATTTTTACAAGGAAAAATAGAACTAATTACTGACCATGATGTAAAAATATCTTAGGTTTTTTATCTTTCTTTTGTACTATAAAAAGGTGTGTATTGGGAGAGAAATTTATCAATACTAGAAAGAAAGAAAGAAAAAGTATTTATTCGCGTCTAGGGCGCCTATAAAACACAGAACAAAGAAGTGAATAAACACAAGAACAAAAAAAAATATAGAAAGAAAGAAAGAAAGAAAAACATTTATTTGAGACTCGCACAGAAAATAAATACAATTACATTTTATATATACAAAAAGAAAAAACAAACAAAAATAATAAACAGAACAACAACAAAAAAATATTAAAATAAAATAAAAGACCTGTGCGAGGTCAAAAAGGCCACTATCTCAGCATATGCTGCGATAATTCACCAGTAGGTAAAAATACCGCAGCGCTGGTATTCTGATAGGGCCTGGTGATATACATATAATACTCTTTATTTGTCACATACATTTCTTAAAAAGCCTTAGAATTTAGGAATACCATAGTAGGTTCTCTTATGCCATATTGTTATATTATTCAAGTGAGTGATTTTGAGTAACAAAAAAGCTAAAAACCATGACTAAAAGCTGGTCTTTATCCAACATTGTTCAAAATTAGCCCAAAATTTCTTCTGTTCTCTGTCTAACTTTAATTTTCATGCACTGTTGCCTCCATATAGCACCTTACACAATACCATGCAATATAGAACATGTTTCCACAGTATAAATAAAATATTAGATAAATTTATAGCAATGTCATTACTGTTAGATAAATATAACGGCCAGTCACGTAACACCTTTGTTCTCTAAGTAATAAGGTTGAGAAATGCTCGCATCGATTGCAGACGATCAATCAACATTGTGACTCATTTAAGCCAATTGTTTACAGTTTTGATTTGTCAGAAAAGCTGTATGTGGGTTCGAAAGGGAATCTCATCGTCGAATTAATATTATAAGGTTCCTAAAACCAGCTGACGAACCCGACTTCCTGCTTCTGTGGTTACTTCCCGCCTTTTACTTTTGTTACGAACTATTTTTATTTTCATAGATCTAGCTCAGCCTAATGATAAAATATACCAGGATTTGCCTAAATAATAATATCTAATTATAATATGGTAGTTTTCAACTAATCAAATTCATTACTTTTATTAAAATGTCACGATTAGCCAATTGTATGTCACAATTAGTGTGAATACTATTCTATGAAGGTTCGATAAAGTTGCAACACATCATATGAGGTCATTACATTTTTACGGCAGATAGCATACTTATTTGTGAAGAATTGGCTTAAGCGAATCCAAAAAAAAAGTATTTCGTTAAATCAATGAATGAAATTATTATAAATGTTTCTTATGGAATGTAATTATGATAAATTATACTTCATGAGTATGAAGTGAAAATAATTTATATTGCAGCTATGAAACTACCCAATTCACTCAGATTGTAACAAATATACTTAAATTAGATACTGGCGAAATGCACCTGTAATTAATTTCCTAACGATTTACGTTGTCAATAATTTAATAAGTATCTAATTAATTCAGCAATCAAATCAAAATCCCTATCTAATATGGTAGTCGTAATATTATAATTATAATATATCATATTTTATTTTAATTATATCCAAAATGAGTAATAGAGTATGCTGCCTGGTTTCCATAAAATTGGAGATTATAGAAATTTATTTGCCCACTGGAATTAGGTTAATAGTTGTTATCTCCGGCTTTAATTCTGCTTACACATAATTCTCGTGCCTATTGCTAGCTTTACGTTTGCGTCACCGACCATTAATACGTAGGTACCTATATAATTTCTACTCAGATATTTATTACTAACTAGCTGACCGTACTCAGTACCACCTCAAATATCTATAACTAAGTAAATGTTCTGGCCTTTTAAACCTTCCCTGGACTCCCAACGAATATTTTAAAACTTATATTATCCAAAGCGGTCCAGCCGTTCTCCAGTTTGAATCAGACTAACGAACAACAATTCATTTTTATTTATATATATTTTCATTTCAAAACCTTAATACCAATTTAAGTAAAAACTTAATAACATTTATTCAGATTTTAAAGACTCTACCACCAGTGTGCGAATTGGCTTTACGTTACCGCGATCGAAAGCTCTCTTGATTGGTCAGTTAACTTTAAGCAGACCAATCACAGAGCGTAACGTCATAAACGTGTCCATCGCACTGACGTAAAGAAATCTCTCACTAGGCAGCGAGACTGGGCCTAACGCGGTAACATTTCCCTCCGTTTTATTTCACTTTCAATGCTTCTAAACGACTATTAATGACACAAATTAAAATTCTTCGGTAAACCGCCAAGTAATAATTACTGTAGTTTGTAACCTTTTATCGAGTTCTATCTAAACCTTGGGGTTATTATCTCATTTTCAAACTGACTTTGTTGTGGTAATGATAGTCTTCATTAATATTAACTCGATAATTGATCTTAAAGCACAAATACCCTTCGAAACGAACGGTTGGAACGCTATCTCCTCTTTTTGCGAAGCGGTGATGCTCGCAATGAATATTTCGGAGCGTGTGTGGGAAATATCCTCTTCACGCCCGCAGTTGAAAACACTCCGAGCGTTGGGATCACACGACAATCTCTAGCTACTGTAAGCGCCGATCTGTGGACGACGAACAAGGGTAGTTCACCGTCGGACCAAGCCAACAGGTCACACAAGACCTGATACACAGATTTGGCTCACTAAGGCTGATTATGCACCCGGGTTGCGGTTCCAACTCTATAATTTACCGGGGACTTGTTCTGGAGTAAGAGAAGGAAGGGCGAGAGCGAGAAATCATTTGATAAATTCCACTCCCAAAAAAAGTCTTATATGATAGTAAAAGTTCCGATTTTCAAGGTCAATCGAGCTATTCCTTTAGTTGTGGTCTTAGCACTTTTGAGCATATTATTTTCCAATAGTGGCAAGGTGTTTAATGTTCAAAGCACGCCGGTATTATGCATGACATCACAATCTTAGTGCAATGTGCTTAAATAATGTCTATACTGTAACAAAGAATAATACGTAGTTCCACCGTGTGGGTAATTAGCCCACTAAGTGAAATAAAAAATCTATGAAGCTGTAGGGGCCGGCAACGCACTCGTAACTGCTCCGGTGTTGCCTGTGTCCATGGACAGCGGCTATAGGCTTACCATCAGGCAATCGCTCAGTTCGTTTGCTGACCCATTCCTTAAAATAAATAATAAAAAGGGCGTTATTATCAAGATTACCTCATAGATATACCTAAACTTGTGCTTATTTTATGCTTTTTTTTTTCAATAATAAATAATTTGGGTTCCATAAATTGTCTACAATTTAAAGCAATCTAATTTATGAATAACTTAACTGCGCTCCTGTATGCGGTGCGCCATTTCCTTACCGTGTCAAGGAATTCGATTTAAACTATTTTCAATCGAGTGTTACATTTTTAACGATCCGTACGAAATCGATTACTTTCCAAAGCAAAACTTTTACACATTTACACTTTATCAAATTAAAATAAATAGTTTTTAATATAATGTACATAGAATCTAAAAAATGTGCAATACTAGAATTGTGTTTATTTATTCATTCTCCGAATTAAATTGTTGGTACATATCTGGACTTAATGCTTTAGGCATTTTCTACCAATTACGCCAATAGTTGGTGCAAGAATTGTAATTGTAAAGCAATACGTTTGCACAATAATTTTATGATAATGAAAGAAAAAAAAACTATCAACTTCTCGTTACTACATCTTTGTCTTGTCTCTCGAAAAATATTAAACGAAGTCTAGATCATGTGTTCCGATAACAAGAATTCTGCAACGTAAACTATGTTCAATAGATTTTGCAATAGAAATATACATACAGTAATTGCTGTTCATATGAAACTTTCTCTAACATGCAAACCTCGATATCACGGTAGTGTACCTACTGCGTACACACACACTACGACAATACCAGGAAGTACACATGTCCTTAGAATATCGTCACGGCATTAGCATATTGAGCTCATAATACTAGGTATTTATAGACGACATTAAAATCCGCCGTACATCATATCACTTATGTTAATAAAACTTATTTAGGTAATGTTCTCGTATAAAAAGCCAATATTTAGTTCTCAAACAAGTTTTTGCGAAAAAATATAGCTAATTTTGTTTCCGTAACACGCGTTCATTGTTACGGCGCAACATATATTTTCGCTTATATTTTATACTAAGTATTAAGGATAAGATCGTCTATCGACCAGTTCTAAACTTATTTCCTTCCAACTTAGCCATCCTCGGATTTCTGCGAAATGTGTAATTTCGCCATAGCACAACAGTAAGATTAAATTAGCTACCGTACCCGTAGCTCATTAATTTCTAGGAGACTATCTAGAAGTTTATTCTACGTAGGTAGTTAATCCCCGGCTCCCCAGCCTCGTAACTAAAGTTAAATCCTTTATTTAAGTGCTGTAGATTCTGGAGCCCGTACCTAATAAGATAGTGGACCATCTTCCATAAATGCGACAGTAATCTTCTCTGTAGAAGGTATACTTCTGAGTCAAACGAAAATCACAGTAGTAAAATTCCACGATGAACTTGAATTAAATATAAGAGAGTATCCTCAGAGGGTGGAGTTTGAAAATAAATAAAGAGATGTACGTCAGCTCGTCCGGATTGATACCACATCCTCTCAGAAAGCCAACGTAAAAACAACCAAAGCATTAATTCGCGGTGTAATTGAGGTTATTGGACGCCAACATCTTAAATCCCTACCCCAAAAAGATCTTACAAAATTGGTACTTGTAAATTGGTCTGTCGTATGCAACGACAGACCAATTACTCATCATCAGTCATCGGCTGTTTGCCGCAAAGTTACATAAAAAACGAAGTACTAACTGTAGTTATATGCGTTCCAGGTAACGTTCATAGGCAACAACATACCGATCCACCCGCACGTGTACTCCAACGGACACATTTGCCTGTCGATACTGACGGACGACTGGTCGCCGGCGCTGTCCGTGCAGTCTGTCTGTCTGTCCATCGTGTCCATGCTCAGTAGCTGTAAGGAGAAGGTATGTGGAATCCCCTATAAATAGCTGACAATTACATCACACATATCTTTAACTTCTCCGGCTGGGATAGGCTCAATAGAACCCCAAATGACACAGTAATGATGTACCTCTTTGGCTGCTTCTCCTTCTCGGTAACAAAAGCCTTTAATTTTTGACCCTTTATCGCCTGATTGTTTGGTCAATGTACGTCTTTCAATATGAACAAACCATTTTGAGATTCCGATTTCAATTCTTGTTCTACATAATCTTTTAACCTATCTTGATCTCCGCCGTATTAAATCATATACACAAGGAAGAAGGAAAGGGCTTGATTGAAAGTCTAGAGGCCTTTTGATTTCTTTATAGCCCAAATGTGGCTCTTTGGTGTAATTATAACTAATTAATTTTAATGCACATTTACGTCTTTAAACTTATTGTAGAGTTCAAACTAACTGGTTATTTAAACATTTCAGAAACGGCCACCGGATAACTCATTTTACGTTAAGACCTGCAACAAAAATCCTAAGAAAACGAAATGGTGGTATCACGGTAAGTGCACTTACATTGTTCTTAAGTACTTTGAAAGATGTGTCGGAGAGCCATACTTCAGAGACCACAAAAATTACACAATCTCACAAAAAACCGAAGTAAAACTAGGCTTGCTGTGCTTCGTAGTGTGTGCCCAATCCTCTCCCGGTCCCTAAAAAGCCGGTAACGCACTTGTAACTCTTCTCAAGTTGCTTACCATCTGCTCTTGCCGTCCTATTTTATAATGTCCTTTGAAGCAATACTGGGGGAGGCCAGAAGAATCTAAGTTTAAGTTGACCCAAATCCGCAATCGAAGTGACAAACCTACTCTTAAAAAAAATCAGGCGTTTTTCAGCGGTGGACGAATTTTGGTCTGAATTTAGCAAAATGATGATTTTGCTAGTGGGTATCGTAGGTAGCTTCACCTGTCTTAGCTCAATTGCTTATATTCGCGCTAGGCGCCATCTTGTGGTGAATTGGTCAAATTTATCTTCAATGTAGTTCGCCACAATGGTCTCAACTGTCACTTAGGTATTCCAAGAAGATTCGCCACGAGCCACAGATTGACAGTAAAAAATTGATTTATAATACTACTCTGTCAAGAAAGTACCGGGAAAAAGTCAATAATACACAAAATGTTTGTTATTCATCTAAATTTATTTTATCACCTTCAAAGTAGGTATGCTCCTTCAGAAACGATACACTTACGCCAACGAATAATCCAATCATCGAAACTTTTTTTAAACGCTGTTTCCGGAATTGAGTTCAGTGCTCGCCGCGAATTCTCCTTTGTCTTCTAACGATTGAAAACGGGTGCCACGAAGGGGTAATTTGAGTGTGGGAAAAAGAAAGAAGTCGGCTGGAGCCATATCTGGTAAATATGGTGGCTGCTCGATGGTGTTTGTTGAGTGTTTGGACAAAAAATCGTTTACGATGATGGCCTTGTGCGAAGGCGCATTATCGTGATGCAAAATCCAAGAATTTTCTTTCGACATTTCTGACCTTTTTCGTCGAATTTGTTCTCTTAAACGCCGCATAACGCTCAAATAATATTCTTTATTTACCGTTTGACCTTCGGGCAACAATTCTGAGTGCACAACACCGCGATAGTCAAAGAAAACAGTCAACATGACTTTGACTTTTGATCGACTTTGACGTGTTTTTTTCGGTTTTGGTTCAGTGGGAAGGCGCCATTCCGAAGCTTGTTGACTAGTTTGCATGTCAAACTCGTAAACCCACGTCTCGTCACCAGTAACAATGCGTTTCATGAATGTTGGGTCGGTATTGACTCGTTCTAGCATGTCCTCAGCGACTTTCATGCGATTTAGTTTTTGAAGAAAATTCAGGTCTTTTGGAACTAGCCGAGCGGCAACACGTTTCATACCCAAATTATTTGTTGACCCAAATGGTACGGATCGACTCGTGAGATACAGAAAGTTCGGCGGCCATCTCTCTCAAACTTGAATGAGGATTTTCAGTCACTATTTCCTTCACTTTTGCGATGTTAACTTCGGTTGCAGACGTTGATGGCCTACTAGAACGAGGCAAATCTTCCATCACATCTCGACCGCTTTTGAACGCTTTGTACCACTCATAAGCACGTGTTTTTGATAAAGTCGATTGACCGTAAGCCTTCTGTAACATTTTGAGTGCCTCCGAACACGAAATTTCATTGGCGATGCAAAATTTAAGACAAACTCTTTGTTCGATGTTTTTGTCCATTATGAAATTCGCAATACACACTAGATATTATAAAACTAAAAACAGCACTGTTTTTAATATAAATAACAGATGCAACTCAAATTCCGCACCAAAATGGAAAACAGTTATGCCAATCTAACAACAAAAAAAATTAAAATTCGAATTTGGAACCATAAAAAAAACATTCATTCCCGATACTTTGTTGACTGAATGTATAATATTATTATAATTCATTCAAAATAAACTGACAGACATTCACAGTCAACTGTTCTTTAGATTTGATGTTACTATTACAAGTTACTAAGAACTCGTTAAAAATGACGACAAGAATTATTAGGTGTAGAATATGTAATGTGTACCTATAATACGGTTGATATGCGTTTGCAAATATTACAATAATCAACAAATCGTCATCAACGCGTCATGCTCATACATTACTTAGTTGGCAGACATAAGATCGGAAACGATGATATTGTATTTAAACACAAAGCAATATGAAACATATGATGTGGTCGTAATGTGTGCGTTATCTGGAAGATAGTATATCAGGTACAATCAATACACATCGCACTTTCAATGTTTAGATAACGCTATCACTCGCCCGGTGCAACTAGCGCCTCAATTATTTATTCGTCTGCTATGCTAAAACGAGTGTGCGTATGATAATTTCACTGGTTTTGTACGAGAAAGAGGGAGTTCTTTCTCCTGCTTTAGGGCAAGGCCGCAGTTCTTTATTACCCTTGCCCCAGTTCCTTATTACTTGCTCTTTCAGGCCCACGCAAAACGCTTCGAGCCATAAGCTCAGGTCTGATTCTGGTCTTGGTCGCCGTCCCCAGAACCGTAGGCTAAACTCATTAGTGCCAAATTCCTTAAAATAATGTAAGTTAAGGATTATGGCGAAAAATCATGATCCCAACAATAATCTAGATTTGGTTCCTTTAATAATAGTGCCTTCTATAATTTACTTAGCGTCAGGCTTTTTTATGGGAGTTTATATCGAATGACTGAGTCGGCCAAACTCCCAGACCCAGACCCAGGAGTCCTTGCTGACTAAAAACCACCCCGCTCCTTCTAGTGCTCTTAGCTGGGACCGCGGTACAGTATTATGCTTGCACCTGCAACGCCAGAACCCTTTGTGATAGATCAAATGAATAAAACTCCTATTCAAGGAGTCAAATTCAAGTTTTGTTGTAGATCATGAGTTTACTGATTTGTGTACTTAGCGCATTGGTATAATATGTTTTTGTGATGTTCCAGATGACTCCGTCTAACAAAACACCGCGTCGCTGTATCGAGCATGGACGATAAATCTCAGTATGTGTTAAGTGTTATACTATACGGTATGTTATTGTAAAATGTTATGTACATACGACGCGACACGCTCGACACCGGCCGGGACGCGCGGGGCGCGCCGCGGCTTGCAGTGAGGCGGCGAGCTGGCGAGCTCGCTTACCTGGCGACTCTAAATTACCGAGTAACATGAAGCTGGGACATATTGAACAAACTGATTTGGGTAAATACATACATAGTACAATTTACTATCAGCTCAACTACAACTAGCTGGCTACTCGTGTCTAACGAACTTGTGTATATGTTTGTGTCACATTAATTACATGTCCGGCCTCTCGGAGTATGATGCCATCTGATTATTTTTGTAAAACAAATTAGTACATTGTGACGGCTAATGATTTGTAACACTCGCTGTTGTTATACTCAGTTTACCCAGATTGTTCAATGACGCGGGCGTAAGACTGCGACAGCTCCCTGCATGGGAAGCATACACTTGGTTGTCCAAATCACGTTATAATGGTGTATGGCATCAATCTTATGAATAATATGAATTGTGAACGAATTGGGAGTGAGGAGTGCGTGCGCACTAGACCAAGGCAAGGCACGCGGCGAGCGGACCTACGTCACTACCGGATAGTTCGTCAGTGCTAAATTAACGATATACTGTAAGTAGAGTAATAGGGTATCAAATGATTATGTACCGCATACCGGAGTCTTGTTCACGCATCACTCATCCTTTGTTTACTTGTATATAAATTTGTATTTTTACTATTGTGATTTACGAAGCTGATTGCAGGCTACTCCGTACTCACGCTATGCCACTTTATCGGTTTGGACGGCATTTTCATGTCCCTGAGGCTTCACAAGCATTTACTTTAATTAACCAAAAGCGTTCAACACCATTTTTAGCTTTTTAACTTACATTTCTGCAAATGCTTCGGGAATTTTAGTCAAAAACATCTGTTCATATTATGTAGTTGACTATTTAGCCAGTCGTATAATTTTCATAGGGTATTTTGTGAGCATAATGGAATGCAATAAACTTCAATAATTAATAATTATGTTTTTATATTTGTAGATAAATATTCTATGTGATGATGAATGTAATTTTGTATGAAATTTTATTTACGAATGTCAATAAATAAAATGCATTGTTCCATATCTGTTGAGTAAGGTGATTCTAAACGAGTCCTAGTTTTCTGCAACAGTAACTGGCAACATTGCGGTTATATCCAACCATTTATTTTATTCAAACATTATTGATTGACCATGCATGGCCATGTGGCTTGTGCGCAGACACATATAGCAGAAAAAACAGACTCATTTAGAATCAGCTCTCCATCATCCTAATGGTTGCTGGGCACCGCGTCCGACTAGTCTACTACAAAGTATTGTCAAATGTTTCACTGCACGGATACTCAAACTATACTGTATCTATAAATTGGTGATTGCGATATATTTTCTAATATTTTGCCGGTGCTAATGAGATCTCGATAGATTCACAAAATTTATATTCATTTATTAAGGATGGCAACATTTCGCATTAGGTTAGCAACACATTCCTGTATTATTAGATGAAAAATTGCTGGGTCATGTCTACCTTATGATTTACGGAAATGCATTATAATTGTGTATTATGAAACAACCCGCTTAATTTATTGAAATAAAAATATAGTTAAACATGTCATCGCATTTTATTTTACTTATACCTATTAATAGATTGCACATTCAACTTGTATTAAATATTTATTTATTTTAACCAATCTTACACTTTTTAGTCTTATGCACTAAGTTGTGTTAATTTTCAATTCTACTATATAAAAAAACAATCATAATTGCTTTCCCACAAGTTCGCTGTTTATCGTGCTGTCTTCTGGAAAGAAGCAGTCGTAAAGCCATTTAAAATCATTCCAATCAAGCATTGTGTCCTACAGTCCTTCTCCATACATGTATGGTAAATAAATATTTTATAATTATATATTTGCCTATAAGGCACTTCCAATAATTGTTTGCGTACCTACACACATTACCTATAGAGGCTACACTATTTCGTTGCTGTACTTAAAATATTTTCATAATTAAATTAAGAACTTATTTATGTACTTAATATAAATTATCCAGCACAGCAGCAAATAGTTGCCTCATATTATTAATACCTAGACCCAGAAAATCCTTTAAACCTGATTCAAACTAAGCTCCAAATGCCCAAAAACGCTAAAATAAAACATTGCCTATATTTAATTCCGAAGTATTTCTTCTATAAGCTAGTAAATAATAATTAATACATTTTTAAGTACCCTAGCTCATTGCGTTTACCTAAAACCTCAATTTAGTAGTGTCAATACTGAAATATGTATTTGCAATTCAGATCAGTGCTAGGAAAAGTTTTAGTAAAAAGCAAGAAATCATGATGCCATATTACAACATTAGGCCAGTCATTTGGTGGCTTCGTCTATTAACTTTTCTAGGAGTTTTAGATTTATAGATTTCGCTCTTTCTTCAAATGGTGTGGAAATATTTTCTTTAATACGCTCACTGCAATGAACATGGCAGAGTTCTGCTTCCAAAAAGTTTGATGTTACAAAAAGCTTGTCTAGTTCTTAGTCGTCTAATAAAATGGGAGATATTGTATAAAAGCTTGTTAATCATATTAGTAATTTTTTTAAGATCCGTCTCACATTTTCCAGCAAAATGGAAATTCAAAAAGAGCACATCAAAATTTATAACAGAGCCTAAACCTATAGTATATTTCATGCAACCCCCACTCTCGGACTAACTGACTGCTGTGTTGTATTTAATATTTACATAATTTTGTTTACAAAGACTAAATTTTGTCATTAGATTACAGATTTATTTAAACGTAATATTTGACGATTATATGAATTCGAGACATTTTTCCATTGATTTTATTACATATTATAATTTAAATTCACAGCCCAAAACCTCACATGAAGACTTGATAAGATTAATTACATTTGAGATGGATGATAATAAATAAATTTGTACAGCTGCACTAAAGTTTTACATTAGATCAAAAAACAACTACTGGTTATGAAATGAGAATTTTGCGCTATTAGACTAGAAATATATATATATAACAAACAAACAAAACCTTGATAAATACTACAACTACTCTATACCTAGCACATTCTGCACTTACTCAAGTACAAATTAAATATGTACAATATTGTACATAACAGTAACACTTTCAACTTATTTCACAATCATATTATTCTCCTGTTAACTGACACATAGGTACATCAAAACAAGAACTATAATCTGATTTTGTGAAACAGCCCCTAAAAATATATGAGTATAACAACATATTAAAGTCAGTCACACCACATGCTAACGCGCTCCACCTAGTTCCAGGGGCAGCTTGTCCTGGTAGTATTCGTGGTCATACCTGGTCACCAGAATCCCACCTGAGACCTTCACATTACTGTTTGCTGAGTAGTCAATGGTATCACCTTTTATCGTGGTCATTTTACCATGCACTGACTTAATAATAGCGTCGCCGGCGCACAAGTCCCACTTCTTTATCGCAGTGGCATGTAAGTAGACGTCGTAAGTTCCGTTCACCACTTCCATCACCTTGTAACCGGCGCCTGCCGCCGTGGAAACTGTTGTTTTCGGTCCAAAAGCTGCTTTTGCAATTTCCTCCACTTTACCAGGATGTGAACGAGAGATCACCACTCTTGGGTGCTCCTTATTTTCCAGTTTCTGTAAGTATTGGGATTTTATCAGTTAAATCTACGAATTTGCAAATATAATAAATATTCACATATGGCGAATGTGTAGCTTGAACCAGAAACGAGGTCAAAAGCCGGCCGCGCATATTTCACAAGATTGCTTACAATGCTCCAGATTAAGAGATATGTACACATTTCCAAATACTACATAAGGTAACAGAAACATCTTACATGAGGCACCATAGGCATGTTGGCAGATGGTTTCTTAGTATACCAGCCCCAGTAAGTGCGCGGTAGAAAGGGGTAGTGGATCACTCCTATGATGGGCACTCCTTTGATGGCTACACACACCATTGTCGTCACATACTGGTACAGGCCCTCTGAAATTTAAACATACAGGTACAGAAATTGAATCATTAAACGAATTCAATATTTTTTCTGAAATAACAAAAAAACTATTTATTAATTTACTATTTATTCCGAGAGATGTTTGCGATGTCTGCGCTCGCAGCCCGTCCAGATCCAGACCCGAGCGGACGGCGCGTAGCGTTCCGCGCGTGCCTCTAAGAGGCAATAGACCACCACAGACGGGGCCCTATAGAGCTGGGGTTGCGGGTTAAGCGCAATGACTCATCGGCCTCGGCCTTGAGCAGGAGCAGGAACGGGAGGGGTTTTTAGTCAGTAAGAGTCTGACACTCTCTCTCGCCTTACACTGGGCGGGAGAGGTCATTTGATGACTTTCCCCTAACAAAAAAGGTACTATTTATTCAGCTAGGGTTGCGGGGCAAGCGCAATAAAATACCGCGACATCGACCTGGAGCAGGACAAGGAACAAAGCGGGGTGGGGTGTTAGTTTGTTTAGATTCTTCATCGATTTTTTGGATGTTAAAATTATTTTAATGTGTAATGCCAAGGTATTGAAATGTGAAAGTTAAAAAGTTATTATGTTAAAAGAAGTCATTCAAATCACAAAATATTGAAAACTAGAAATTAGCCCTTAGCAATAACATTTCAAATTGTATACTTACTGTTAATTAAAAACTTTTTTAAATAATGCTATAATTATATTTTCCATAGTTCAAATACTGCTAATCTTATCTAAATTGGCTTAACAAATGTTATCAGGTGAATGAAATAAAATGTTCAAAATAATATTTTAATATGCATATACTTTTCCTTATAGTATTAAAAATAATATTGCCAAGTGACATCAAGTAATCGGCAGGGACAGTTTGGGCGCCAAAACCACAAAAAAGGGAAAAAAAATGACAAGTACCTGCAGTTTTTACTGAGACGGGATGCATTATTATTTCTTTCACCACATAAAACTGTTTTCAGGACCAAAGCTGATATTTAATATTATACAAATTATTCAAGAACGCTTAAGCTTGTGTTCAAACGAGGCAGACAAAAGTAATATTTTATGAGTATATTTTTTTCATAATAACCATGTAGTTTCTTGCTTGATTTTCTCCATCAGAATCTACAGTTTCAAACAAACAAATAGCTACACTAGAGGACTGACTTACATATTCCATCCGCAATTTTTGGTTGCCATTCTAAAGTGCTGGTAATAGTGTAATTAAAATAAATGATGTGAATGCATTTATAAAACTTGCAAAAACATGGCCTCCACAAACATACATTGTAGTAGATGTATAAACATACTGAAATATCCCATAAAATTAAAACTGGCAGTGTAGTCATCAACTAAGCAGTGGCAACTCAATTGCCATAACAGAAGAAAAAACATAGGTTTTTTTTTTATAAAAAATGTTAATGAAAAATTCTTTTTTATCTCAATAAACCAAGAATGCACCACCAACCATCATAAAAAAATCAAATCTAATAAGTAAATTCACTATTATGACACTAAAATCTCTGTTATGTTATTAAAGAACACATAAAGTATACCAATAAACCCATACAAGTAATAAACCAGTTGTATTTTAATATAATTCAGTTAATTCTCCTTATCAGCAGTCATACTAGTGTTCTGGCTAACATAATCAATAAGTAAACTTCATTAACACTAATTTTGCAGGTGTATGAGTAAATAAATTACCTAATTAATACCTGCCATGCATTTTAGACGCACCTGTGCGTTCAATACATTAATGTATAGAACGCACAGGTGCGTCGAGGGCACACAGAGTAGCGTAAGGAAACGCACATACGCGTCGGGGGCACTGAATGTGTTAATGGCTTATGTTTTTATTACCATTATCATAAAATTATATTAGGATTTTTATTTTCAGAATTGGTTACAAAGCTGTATAGTTTACCTGTATATTCTTTCGTCGCATCCAATGGGTCGATCCAAACTGTAACATCCTTCATATAGACTAATTCATCATACATGTTGTCTATCATTTTGTTATCTGGCAATGCCTTGTCTACATCTATCACTTGCTGGTTTTCACAACCCGAGTCACTCTTTGAATGCTCCTCAGATATCACTGTCAACTTCTCAAACGTCTTCTTCAAGCTGTAGTACATAGCGCAGTGAGAAGCATAATCTGCATCGGTTACCGGGTCATTTACACCTTCCAACGTTTTACCTTTACTCTTAATATTCAGCTCGTGGCTATTTCCCTCCAAAACCTTCTTACCACCCATTTCAGCGGCTTGAATTGCCGCTTTTAATAAGCTTTTCAAATTAATTAGATCACTTTTCTCCAAGGGAAAACCAGCATTCCCGCTTCGCCAATAGATTATTAAAAACAAAATAAAACCCAACGTGAAACACGCAAATTTGTTTACTCGTAACGTTCCACCAAAATTCATCGTTTACTTCTTTATTTACAAGAAATTACAGAATTCTGAATTTGTTTTGAGACGAGGTGTGGACACTGGACACTTTTCAAAACACAACAATGTGACAGCTCAGCACTCGACAATCATACGGCAATTTTGACAACAACAGTGGACATTTGACATAGAAAAAAACGTTCGGATACATGCAACAAACTGAAAAATCGTCTAAATTGTTTGTTAGGTACATTGAAGTTTAGTTGCACCTCTACTTTGTGTCACAGACAACTTTTTTCTGTAGGCTTTCAATTTTTTTCTGTAGCTGTCAGTCTGTCATTTTTTTATCAGTCTGTGACCGGCACTGAACACGAGAGAGGAAGTAAACCTCGAATTATTTTTTTTACAATTATTTTTGAAATTTAAACAGTTTCTGTGTTGGATAAGTAATAAGTTGAGTTCACAATATGATTTTAATTGGTGTATTTGACATCGTAAGTTGAGTTTCATTAATATTTAAATAAATCATGAATGTCGTCATTAGAGGGGATTTTTAAGCAAATTATTACTTTCAGGCGAGCTGGTGGGCTATAGTCATCGCTTTCCAAGTAGTCGTAATATCTACTTATTACTTCTGGAACAAAAAGAAGTCTAAAACATACGATCCTCTATGCAATGGGAAGGCGATAGAATGGAACCCAATTCCAATAGTGGAGCATGATGTTACGGTAGAGGAACCTCCCGTAATGGGTAGAATTGATGAAAATGTGTTGAACGTAGGAAGCTCGAGTTTCCTCGCCCTTGACAAAGAGGAGTCTATTATGGATGATGCTTTAAAATCTTTAGAGAAGTATGGGGTGGGTTCCTGTGGGCCTCGTGGGTTTTATGGGACTATTGATGTCCACTTGGAGTTGGAGGAACGCTTGGCGAAGTTCCTGGAGGTGGAAGAGACCTGTGTTTACTCATATGGCTTCTCAACAATAGCTAGTGCTATACCATCCTACTCTAAGAAGAAGGACATTATTTTTGCGTAAGTTATATTTATATTTTGTTACTGAGCACCCTCTATTTCTATAAACTGTCGCATAAGTTGCAAACATCATGACTCAGTTTTCAGTGTAGATAAGAACTTCCTAGTACTGGTTGAGGAATGCACTCATTCTGAAGTGTATTCCACTGCCCAGTGCATCATGACTGTAGTATTTGAATAATTTAATTGTTATTTTAATAAAATTGTGAAGAAGATATTTTATTTGTGCCAAGTTATTTCTTATTAGAAAAAAACAGTATTGACCTGAGGTACTGAGATTTTTATCAATGCTGAATCAGTACTGCTCTACACGAATATTAAGTTTTAGCATCACATTATTTTATTTCATCATTATTTTTGGCTATGATTAATCAATTTTTTTTCTTGATATATTTTTTGTCCCATTGCAATGTCTTTGTTGTACAAGAGACTTGATAACAACAATGAACAATAATGATAAATTATGAGACATAATAATACTGTACCTACTGTATGTATTGAAGTCATCAAAATATTGATCTTTTAAAGATTATTTTTTTCTTAATTTACTACTGTGTACAGAATTATGATTCCTATTTATAGTATGCATAAATTGTAATCTGATTGTTGTTACTCAAATAACCATTTATCAACTTCATTGTATTTAAATAAAAGAAACATTATGGTTTTGTAGTTAGGCAGTTGGCAATACATCTTAGATGTTCTTTACCTGTTGAATAATTTATTTATTTTTTGCTTAACATAACACATATAATTATAATACATATGTATACCCTTAAAATTGCAAAAAAACTAATTCAATATCTCACCACTACCTACAATTTACCAAAAACTATTCATTAATTAAAATCATTTTGTCATGAAGAAAGAAAGAAGAAGAAACTATAAAACAAAATTAAAACTATCCAAAATAGAGTCCACTTTTTTAGTCAGTTAAAAATACATACCATAAAAAGTCCTAACAAGATCTAACATTTCAGTGATGAGTGTGTCTGGTTTGCAATCCAGAAGGGCTTGGATGCGTCCCGCAGTACCATCCGCTTCTTCAAGCACAATGACATGGACCACCTTGAAAAGCTGCTGGAAGAAGCTCAAAAGAAAAAGGAGCTGAACCCTAGGAGAAGGGCTTTCATTGTCGCTGAAGGCATATACTTTAACACCGGAGAAATGTGCCCGCTGAAGAGATTGGTGCAGCTCGCCAGGAAATACAAATTGAGAATTATATTGGATGAAAGTCTTACTATTGGGGTAAGTTTTATCTGTTTATATATATAAAAGAAAGTCTTTTAAGTTACACTGTATAATTATATAACTAAACCAATTTCATAAAAGGAAGCCATGGGTAAAAGCTAGTTATTTTTACAAAAATTAATTTCTCTGCATCTTTGGTACTTTTACTCAAATTTTGTTTTTCTATTCTGTGCAGTTCTTATTATATAAACATTGTAACTTTAGCTCTATTACCTATGAAAAAATAAAATTATAGTCAATAATCATTAGAATTAATAAAAACATCGCCAAAAGGTACCTACGTACGAACGGAACTTCGAAATGTCTGCATTAAATTAGGGATATACTGGCTTATGCCCGCGACTCCGTTCGCGTGGAATAGTAACTTCCTGCATATTTAAAATAAAAACTTACCTATGTCCTTTCTCGAGTTCTAAACTATGTCTGTACCAAATTTCACTGAAATCGGTTCAGTAGTTTAGGTGTGAAGAAAAGACAGACAGAGTTACATTAGCATTTATAATATTAGTTTGGATTTTGTCCTACTCTTATTGTCTTATGTCTAAACAATACTATATGTATAAGAAAAGTTCAATTGATACACCTGGAAGGTAAAGTGCGCTGCTAATGAAGTAATATAATAGCACATTATGCATGGCTATGAACACAATACAGACATCATAATCGTAAATGGACATGGTTCTGCCAATTATTTATGGCAGTGAATAAGCCAACTATTTTAGGTCCCAACTAAAACTTACAGAACTTTTAATGTGCTATTTTAAGACATTGTCCTCAACCGTGTTTATTTCGTTGTAAAATAAATAATGTGCTCATTCCTGCCATAGAGAATTTTGTTGAAGAAACTCAATAAAATTTTTGCAATGCCAGTTTACGTCCTCACATTCATATGAAGTCTTTGTGCTCGATATTCACGTCTGTAAACAGACATTACAGACAAAGATACAAAAATATCAACATTATGATACAGTTTTTTTTCTTATTTCGGAAGAATCAAGCGTTTTGTACAACCAACCAGACTTCTTAAGTTGGCTTGGTGGAATCTATCTATTATGTAGCACCTACATAGTAAACATCAGCCTTGTAAAATAGCAATTTAATAGCAATATACCTATTCTTATAAACAGAGACAGAGTTACTTGTAGATGGCGGCATCTCTTTCTATGCTGGACAGTGGGCAGTATTGCGTAACTCTATTCTACCTACCCACGTATAAAGATTTGAGTTTATCACAAACAATCTGTTTCATTCATTTATTTATTTGTTAGCCAAGAGAGTACTGCTACATCACAAATATATTTATTAGGTGCGGTCTAGGGTCAAAAGTGCAATTGCACTCTGCCAATGCGAAAACGAGTAAAAATACGGTAGTTTCCAACTAGTCAAATTCAATACTTTTATTAACCAAATGTCAAAAACGATACTTTTCTATTACGATACTGAGTTATGACGTCATAGTATTTTGGCGTCAAATAGCGTACTTTTTTCTTAAGAATTTGATAAAAAATATCTAAAATTTAATGGATCTATCGATCGATGAATAAAAGTATAGTTATTTTATTGTATTAAATCGTCGAATTAATTTATTTTTGACCTAGGAAACTACGAGGGCGGGTCAATAAGTCCGTGACTTATTAAATGAAACACAATTTTTTTGATAAAATGTTATTTTATTTTTCAACGTAGGCTCCTTTGAGCTCTATATACTAAGCTCAACGTTTCTCCAATTTTTTTATCCCTTCCGAAAAGTATGATTTGTCAAGGTCTTCAAAATAGGTATTTGTTTGTAAGATGACTTCGTCGTTGGACGCAAATCTCTTTCCACCGAGCCATTTCTTTAAGTTTGGGAACAAGAAGTAATCACACGGGGCTAGATCGGGAGAATAGGCCAGAGGAGGGAGCAATTCGTAGCCCAATTCATGGTTTTTTGCCATAGAAACTGCACATGTGTGCACCCGTGCATTGTCCTGATGGAAAATGACTTTTTTCTTGGCCAAGTGTGGTCGCTTTCCTTTTAATGCCTCATCGAATCGACCCAATAAGTTGCTGTAATATTCACCATTGATTGTTTTTCCTTTTTGAAGGTAGTCAATGTGGATAATACAGCGTGCATCTCAAAAAACAGTCGCCATGACTTTATTGGCTGAAAAACCCACCTTTGCCTTCTTTGGCGCCGATTCACCCCGAGAAACCTACTGTTTTGACTGCTGTTTGGTCTCTGGTGTACTGTGGTGGATTCACGTTTCGTCCAAGGTTACGAAACGGCGCAAAAACTCGTTCATATTGAGATTGAACAACCCCAAACATCCTGCGAAATTGTCACACGCTTGCGTTTGTCGTCGATTGTGAGCAAACGCGGCACCCATCTTGCGGAAAGCTTTCTCATACCCAAATGAACGTTTAAAATTTAAACCACTGAGCCATGCGAGATGCCCATGGCTTCCACAATCTGTTTCACTTTTAATCGCCGATCGGCTAAAACCATATCGTGGATTTTTTCAACGGTTTCGGATGTGGAGACCTCAAATGGGCGTCCAGAACGTTCGGCATCTTCTGTGCTGGTACGGCCACATCGGAATTCAGTAAACCACTTTTTTACCATGGAAATGGATGGTGTAGAGTCCCCATAATATTTTTCAAGCTTAGCCTTCGTTTGCGTAATGGATTTTTTCCGCAAAAAATAATGCTTAATGAATGCACGAAATTCACTTTTTTCCATTTTCTTCTCAATCAACGCGGTAGTCTGATATTAACGGCTGTAAAAAACTAACTAAATGTCACAGCTTGTTGAATTTTCGTCAGGAGTCATCTGATAGATGACTGTTGTAGCAGTGTTGCCATTTCAATTAAGAGGCGGAAAAATAAAAAAGTCACGGACTTATTGACCCGCCCTGGTACCCAATTATTTGTAGGTAATACAATTTCAAGAATCGAAAATAGCCTGTCGTTAATTACTTTAGAATCTATAAAAAAAAACAAATAAAAAAACAAACATGCGACAACAATGGCGTACATAAGACGCCATGTTGGCAATTCATCGGCTCCTCTCCAAAAATAAATGTATGTATAATAAATAATATGCTGATCAGACTAATAATATAAAGCCAAATCAACATTTAAAACTACCAAATGAACAATATCAAAAATACTCAATTAATTGTAATGAATTTCTTCTATAGTGTGTAGTAATAATGTGAAACTACCGACCGGATATTTTTCTAGTTTGTACGTAAGAATGCCGGTACAGCTGCACTCATAATAGCCCGAGGTAACGGTGATAACGCGGTTATCATACAAACTTTATACGACCTGCTAATTGCATTGCCAATGTACACAATGAAATGTGAAAGTATGTATCAACATTACAGAAATTCTATCACAAATCTGGTCTCTTTTACAAATGATGATCAAATAGTGTGGGAGAGCCAAGCTTCGGCACGAATGGGTCGGACCGGAGTGATACCACGGCATCACAGACAACCAGCGTGATAAAGTCTTGAGTCGTGTCTGCGTAAGTGAGGGTACTGGAGGCCCAATCCGTTAGGGATGGGGAATCCTCTGTTATTGCGAGTGTTCATGAGTGGCGCTGATTGCTTACCATTAGGTAATCCGTTAGCTCGTTTGAAGTCCTAACACATACCGCTAAAAAAATATTATTTCAAAATTGTTTTTAATATTTTTTAACAGATTAATGAAAGTACGTTGGTACCATGCATGAATACTTTGTGTAAATAAAAAAAACAAAATACTAGGTAATAAATACCACCTATAAAACGTTAGTGGGTATTATTCGGATATGACGTAGCTTAGTATACTAGTGTAACTATATAAAACTCCGCAACTTCGTAATAAATGTTAGAAAAAGAAACTTCATTAAATCTTAGAGGATGCTTACTTACTACCTTTTCAAGGCTTGTAATTAATAATTTTATTAAGAGTTTTAGCCTAATTAAGTTCAAAAAGGTATTCGTAATTAATGAAAATATTAAAAAATTCATAAAAATAATTACCTTTATTTGTAATACTTGTATGTGTTTGTTGATGAATTTGTGTCAATTCAACCTTTATGTGCGGTTTGATCGGCTTATATATATTTAAATTTAAATATTTAAAGTACGTACGTACTTACCTTCCATATAGGTATAACCTTAACAAGATTTATGGACATTATTTATTATGGTCTTTTTTGGCTTGTGTTTAAAACAAATATCTTTGTTTTATAAAAAAAACTAGCCACTCGCCCCTGCTTCGAATTGGTTGCAATCTCCCGATTTCCTCGTCTACTTTCCAAAATTATTTTTCATAAAAACCTTCTCCTGTCAATAAAAAACTCAACAAAAAAAGAATTACCTCCAATTTTGCGTCCAGGCGTTTTTGAGATATGAGATATTCTCTATTCAAAAGTACCTTATTGTTTTATTCATTATTTGACTTGGGGCTGATTTTTCAATAGTCATATAAATGTTATCTGAGGAATAAAATTGTTGCTGTCACTGTCTTATACAAACATTCTGACGCGACAGCATCATAATTATTCCCCTGATAACTTTTATCTAACCATTCAAAAATCTATGGTCTATCAAACATCGCTAGCATCAGTGTGGCAGACGAAGTTCAATAGTAAAAAACCGGAATGCGGGCATCAATGAAGGAAATGATTTAATAAACATTTATTAGATGTATTAACTCCTGTTGGCTACTCGCTCGGATGGAAATCTCGGCCAGTGCGAGTGCACTCGGTGCAAACTAATTATAGCCAGTCGAGTTATTTGCACTTAACGTACTCAACTAACATAGATACGGCAAGTACAAACGCGGTGCAGACAAAACATATGATTACAGTTTTAAAGCTAAAGTCTGTATGACGTCACTGTATAGCACATGCTTGCTAGTACTTAAATACAAACTGTAATGAATATTTTTGCCTTGAGATTTGTCTTGCGTTTTTGTTATATTGGTTGCAGGTAACTATATTCCCTCCGCGTTGTATGTTGATAAAAATGCAGCCTATAGGTTAATCCAGGGTAGATAGATATTAACCAAATCAGTCCAGCCGGTTTTGCGTGAAAAAAGACATACCTTAATTCATTCATTGTTACATATTTGATATTTATAATATTAGTACTTACCTAGGATTTGGGGAGTTATTTTTTAGTATATCGACTATTAAACTCCTCGTATTTGGTGGAAATCGCAGCAATTAAGGGTTGTTTTAACTAGTTAGGGTAAATTAAAAAAAATATACCAAAAGGCCTGTTTCCCAAAATATGTTCGAATAGACTCAACGTGTCAGATATATTTGAATATAGAATATAATATTGTATGAACCATGTGGCTCGTGAGTTTATCGTCAACTTATACCTACGTATAAAAGTGGTGAAACCTGAAATCGGCGCTTAATATATGTAGATATGTTTTTTAACGCTAAACTCGCGTGCTCGGGCCTTATGAAGAAATAAAAATATAAAACAACGGAATGACAAAGTTGTTGTTTTTGCTTATAAAGCTGACAGTGCATAGAAACCTTCTCGAATTACGTCTCTTGTTATTGACGATTTCGAAACTTGTAAAAAGTTGGTACTTCGGTACTTACTCACTAAAAACTTCGCCTTGACCTCGTGTGCAGCTGAATGGTTACGATTACTTTATTGTCGATGCACTCAAATTGTTTATAACTTTATTTAAGGTATTTTATTTCATAGATCATAAAGTCCTATGTAGACTTCGCACTTAACGGATTGTCTGAATCTGGTATACTAGGAGGATCCCTCTCTTTCCTTCTTTCATTTTGTTGAAATACTCATAAGAAGGCACAATACCCATTTGTTTTTTAATTAACTAGAGGTGCAAATAAAAAATACATACCCAATAAAAAATTTACTACGGTACTTTAAATCCCATAATCCAATACCATCCCAATTAGGTAAGAATCCGATTTTTAAATGCACTGCCCTATTGCTACAACATTGCAGCTGCAATGTACATAATAACCAAGTAGGTACTTTCCATTTCGACAAACCCACTATCAGCTGGTTCAACTTTGAACTCATTCTCAGGAAATACGTATTGAAATGACAATCTTACTCTGTCATTTTACGTAAACTCAGATACTTGTAAGTAACAAAAACCGTTTAGCCATTTTTACAATATTTGTGTAGGTATTCACAGGTTTCCTATTTAATTTATTGTGTACGAAAACTAAAAACAAAACATTTGGAGTTGCTTGCTCGTTCTTCTCCATACGAATCTATACTACAGTATTCTAAAGTCTAAAGATTTTTACGGTATTTGAAAAAAAATGATGTTGATTGATTTCAAACTTCAGTCGAGAATCGAATCTGAAACCTCGCTTTGCACGCTTTCACTATACTTAGATAACCAGATAGAAACAAAGGTTTATGAATATTAGCCGACTTCAAAAGAAAGAGGATGATAATTTAAATAATTGTTGACAGGTATTAGGTAAGAATGGGCGTGGCTTGACAGAACACTTGGGCGTGCCTCGCGAAGAGATCGACCTGATCGTCGGTTCCTTGGAGCACTCGTTCGCGACTATCGGCGGGTTCTGTGCCGGCACACACTTTATTGTGGAACACCAGAGGCTGTCAGGACTTGGTATGTGGTATTTTTTTACAGTATAGCTTAAATGACTAAAATGTAAAGAGTCTTATGTGTGTATTATTTCTGTTTACTCGGTTAGCAATTAAACAACACAATGTTACCTATAACTAATATTATAAAGAGGTAAAATTTGTGAGTATCTAGATATCTACATACAAACTCACAAATTTTTAATCTAGTAATCTTTGGAACCACTGGTCGGATTCCCAAAATTCTTTCACTTATTGATAGCTACAATGTTTCCGAATGCTATAGGCTATAAACATCAAGTTTAGTGATTGTTTCATAAATGCCCTGGATTACAGGATACTGCTTCAGCGCGTCTCTCCCACCGATGCTGACACAGGCCGCCATCTCAGCTCTCAACGTGATCGAAGGCAAACCGTCCATCTTCCAAGAACTGAGTGATAACTCTAAAAAACTTAACAGGTTAGTAATATTCATTATCAGCATATAAGCGACCACTGAGGGCCATAACATGTGTTAAATCGTGAATCTTTCGGCCGAGAAAGAGGGATGGAGCTATAAAAAGCTGTATATCCCTCTTTTTCCCACTGGTTAGTGAAGGCCTCTTCTCACACGGAGAAGGTTTCAGTATTCATCATCAAGGTGGAAATGCGATTGCAATTTATAAACGGAAATTGTGTCCTGGTTTTACTCACGTATGTACGTTTTCCTTCAAGGCATGTCAGTGTATCCGATCTCTATCTAGATAATCTTACCCTGTGTCAATTTGCATGAAAATACATTCATTCGATTTAACTAGAGAAAAAACAGAACCGTTGAAATAATGAGTTTTAAAGCACACCAATATTTGTAACTAGCTACTCTCACACGGTTTCACCCGCTGCTCAGCTCCTACAGATCATAGCTTGATGTTTTATAGCCTACACCGTTCTTTGATAAATATACTAACAAACACAAAAGATTCAATTTTGCACGAACCAGTAGTTTTGGAGATTAGCCCCCTTCAAACAAACTATTCAGCTTTATTAATATTATAGTGTAGATCAAGCCGTGAATATTGAATGTAGGTATGCAGTTTGGTTAACATAGTAACTATTGTGTCATCCAACGATCGTTGCACTTTTGTTATTAATTATTAATTATCTATCTGTAAATAAATTTATCGCGCAACGTGTTACTAAGCGCAAGTCGAGAACGACTGAATGTAATTGGGTCATAACTTTTTTGTTGATAATTATATTTTATCAAGAAAATCTTTCTTTCCGTTATAATATAACTTACTAGCTTCCGCTAGCGGTTTTGCCCGCGTTTCCCGGATGAAAAGTAGCCTATGTGTTGTGTACTTTCAACAAAATTCTTGCCGTCTTTTATACGTAAAAGAGAAACAGACCATAATCTATCGATATTTATAAAGATACTAGCGGCCCGCCCCCGCTTCGCACGGGTCCAACTATCTCGCCATCAAAGAGTCGCTTTTTCCTCATCTTCCCCTCTGCTTTTCTAATATTTTACCTTCTCCTGACAATAACAGACACAACAAAAAAAGAATTAGCAAAATTGGTCCAGGCGTTGTTGAGTTATGCGCTTACCAACACATTTTGCGATCCATTTTTATATTATAGATTTATGCCTACTTAGTTTTATGTTGATGCTCATTTTTATTTAAAAATTAAGTTTTGTTATATCAATAGGGTTATTTAATCAAGGAAATACAATAGAGGACCAACGTGTGCTATCGTACTGCCTTGATCAGTTTAAAGTTTTAATTACTTAAACACTCATCTAATAAAAAAGTGATAGTGTAATCATATGCAAATGCATCACAGTGACGCATCCCGTGAATCCCTTAGTAGATTTAATTATGCTCCATTCCACAATTCAAAGCCAATTGGGCGTAGCTAGAGAGTACTAGATAGCGGATCTTGCATCGTGTGTAAGCTTATAATATTGACTTACGCCCGGTTCCTATAATTGAGAAACGATCCGTTTTAATTACGAATAGTAGTTTTATATACGACTCGTAAGCTAAAACCGTTCCTATAATAAACATCTCGTCGTGCAACTTACTGACGGTTTGCAACGAACAGATATCGGTAAGCGAATTGTATGGAGATCTATGGTGTCTGTGGTTTTCCTACAAATATTTTAACCGTCAGTAGACGGTCAAGATAACTATTCGTAATGTCATTTGGTCGTAATGCGTATACAACGACGATTCGTTAAATATAGGAACCGGGCATTAGTAGTTATCAGGGGACTCTGTGAGCTACAGTACATACGTACTCAATGCACTTATTTGCCTTGTAAATAAAATACTTGGCGTATTTCCGTATAGACGAGGAAAATTATTTTATAACGAGTATAAAACATACATATTTTTTGTCCCCTAAATAGGTAATCTAAACGATATTAAAACGCGCTTTCGAAAACTCAATTTGAAATGTTTGTATTATCTATCCAGTGTGTTGCAGTAATATTTGAACAATTTATCGATTAAAGCAGTCTGCCTGCAGCTTATAAAACACCACGCTACGACCAATAGAAGACGAGCAACGAGTGAAACTGCACGGAATATCTATATAGTCTATTATACTTAAAATCCAAACTAGTATTATAAATGCGAAACTACCTAAAGGTGCTCCCACACAGCAGTTATATAACGTTATACAACATTATGACATTTATAACAGCGTGTAACAATACTCTACAACATGTTAAGAAATGTTATATGTTATAAACGCTCATAAGCTCGCGCAAACATCGTATAACATTATGTTCAATCAGTTCGGGTTTGTCTTTCGAGGAAGGTGGTAGTGAACCAATAATGGAGGAAGTGCTGATAGGTTCGCCGTTTATTTTTTGTTTGAAAAAAAAAAGAAGAAAAGGCGCTCTTACTGGATGCGTCGAACTCTGAAAGCGAGAGAACAATACAGTGCTACAGGAGAATATTCTAATCAGTTGTAAAACATTTTGTTAAATGAAGTTGTATAACATCAATAACAATTTATTATAATTTGTAACAATTTACAACTTGTTATAATTTGTTTAAAAAAGTCAGTCTCTAACGTTATATAACTGCTGTGTGGGAGCACCTTTACTCTTTCCGTCTGTCTTTTCTACACGCCTAAATCACTGAACCGATTTCTGTGAAATTTGGTACAGACATAGTTTAGAAACTCGAAAAAGGGCATAGGTAAGTTTTTAACCAAAAATCTGCAGGAACTCACTATACCACGCGAACGGAGTCACGGGCAAAAGCTATTTAATTAATTATAATTGATACTGATAATATGATTTATAACCCTAACTAACGAATGAGGTTCAATAATTCATTAAATACAATAATATTATGAAGTAACTAAATCAAGCAAAGAAATTAATGAAAATCAAATGTAAACAAAGTAACTATTCGTGCACGTAAATTAATATTGGCGTTTTGATAACAATTCAAGTATTGGAGTTGAGTTTTGATAAGCATCGCGCGGTATGTTACCGTTGATAAAGCTGGTGTCAAGGGTGGGTGACTCAACTATACGATTGCTTGATATATCTATACTAATATTATAAAGAGGTAAAATTTGTAAGTTTGTATGTAAGGGGTAATCTTTGGAACCGCTGGTCGGATTGCCAAAATTCACTGATAGAAAGCTATTATGTTTCTCAGTGTTATAGGCTATAAAACATAACGCTACGATCAAATGGAGCCGAGCAGCGAGTGAAACCGCGCGAAAGTAGCTAGTTATTTCCATTATAACATAAAATGTATGACATTTGGTAATAGTGATATGTCAATAAATGCATGTATTTAATGTGAACCGTACAAAGTAATGATGTATCTTTAATGTATTGTTATGATTCCAAGAAGAGAGAAAAGCAAGAATTCCTAAAATAAAAGGGGTAGAGTTTTTCAAATCGAAAAAATAATTTTCATGCAGTTAATTTGTTGAAGTTTATAAAAAATCAATATTAATTTAATTTTGTAGGGGCTAATTTTTTAAAAATAAGATAAATGTTATCTGAGAATAAAATTGTTGCTGTCACTGTCTTATACAAACATTCTGACACGACAGCATCATAATTATTCCCCAGATAACTTTTATCTAACCATTGAAAAATCAGCCCTAAAGAAATGTATTAAAAATGTAGGTACTTTATTAATAAACAAAAGTGTCCGACCGAAACTGGTTTCCTGGCCGAAACCTAAACCGAATGTTCGGCCGTGGCTTCAGATTCGGCCGAAACCGAAACCGAAACTAACGTGATGGTACCTATAAATGTCTTAAAATACTGAAATTTGGTGCATTGTACCTATTATTTTGCCTTAATTAGGGCATGAAAGGGAAACACGTTATCTATACTTATAATAAATCTGTACAGAGGTCAATTCTGTACATTAAATATACTTTCAAAATAACTACCAGGGGATGATAAGTGATTGATACCGATACCAAAAATGCAATCAGTAAAATTTTTGTCTGTCTGTATGTTCCTTATAATAAAATAGGAGCAGAGCAGTGAAGGGAAATGTTGGGAAAATGGGAGAAGTTACTCCCTTTTGTAAGTTTCCGTCGCTTGTGTAACCACCTTAATGGTTAAAGTTACATTGAAATTATGTATGACGAAAATATTCTACATAAAATTTAAAAAAATATCTAAAATAAAAAATTGTTATACAGCTATATCTATCTTTTATGGTTAACTCACAATAGCACGTGTAACTCCTAATAGCAGTTCTGATAATAAGCCATCGCGCCGTCGCATGTGAACAATGAATCGTGCTATAAGGACTATTTTTGTGTAACGGTTGCCGTGCTCGACGCGACGCGGTGTAAAATATAAAATAATAGGTTTTGTGAAATTTTTGTAATACTTACGTCTTGGTTAGATCCGTATCATTCTATCTATGTTATTTACCCATAAAAATGAGACGAAAAAAAATTATGTATACTTCGATTTTGTTCTATTTCTATAGGCTGCTTTTTACTAACACACCACGCGGGCGATGCCGCTGGCGAAAACTAGTTTAATTTAAAATTAAAAATAGGTATACTTAACAATTTTATTATTTTTCCAAATGAGTTCTCGGTCAAATCAGTCATCTAAATCAAATCAGTAATTGTCACTGTTGCATTAAGTACTAAGTATTGGCATTTTGAGATCTTTTCACTTTGGATTTAATTTGTACTTAGAAGAATAATCAACCTCTTTTAGGTACCTCTTATACAAAAATAATAATTACTATCACACCCAGTTCCAGTCTCAACATAGATAATCAAAAATCACATATTTAGAATTAACAAAGTTACCTAGATCACAATTAGTATGACAGTTATACATCTTGCAAAATTAGTAGGACAGTTATGCTTGCGTGAACTTGCCAAACAAGTTTCGGTTTCGGCAAAAGTTTCGGCCGATTTAGGCCGAAACCGAAACTGCGGCCGAAACTTGATTTTTAGCCGAAACTCGGCCGAAATCGAAACCGAAATTTCGGTCGGACACTATATTTTGTGTTAAGAATTTTCTTTAATAATGGATATTGATAATTTTTTATAGCCATCTTCACTTACATGATCTATTAGTAGGTAATTGTATTGTAATCAGCTGTGTTTAAGATTATAATAGATAAGCCAGCGAAATATGTCAGGCGATTATTAATTTTATTGCTCAATAAAATTATATTTCTCTTAAACAATGTATGCCAATGAAACATTGGTTTTCCGTGAGGCAATGTCATTTAAAACTGAATAAGTCCGTGATGTATCCGTGAATAAATCCGCAGGGCCCTTAACTACGTTAATTTACACATTCATACATCTGACATACAAGAATGGACTCCTCCCCTTAAGTCAGATTTTTTTTTATATATTTATGAAACATTATTTTTTTTATTTTCAGAGCCCTCTCCCAGCTGAAGCACTACAAATTCCGAGGTGACGAAGCCTCACCGATAAAGCATATTTACCTCAAAAAGGACGACTTAACAGACAGACTGAAACACTCCTACCTTCGTAATATTACCAACTACTGCCTCGAGAAAGGTGTCGCCATGACACTTGCCGCGTACATCCGCGACGTAGAAATTAATTGTCCAGAACCCTCCATCCGCTTAACAAGCAGCAGAAAACTGACAGATGACACTATCAGCTTAATATGTTCCTTACTAGATGAAGCTTATGAGAAAGTAGGTCCGAAACCTGAACTACAGCCTGTGTAGAGCAATACCTTTGCCTCAGCATTATAGTCTATGGCGATTTAGGCGGGAAGTACAATTTTTTTCTTTTTTCTATGTTTTTTGTTGTAACAGTAATTGTTTTTTTTTTGTGTAAATGTGTAAGAATTAATACAAAGTTATTACACATATCAGAGTAATGTTTTTGCACTGCATTTAAGAAGCGAATATAGGTAAGAATAACATTATTATTTTTTTAAATTAAGTTGGTAGTTTTTTAATGCTTAGTAATAATAACGGAATAGCACTATCAATGAAATTATATTTATTTTATATTTAGTGTGTTCATGGAACAGGTGAACCTGCATTTTTAGGGTCTCTAATAAAAACCTCAAGCTATTTTATTTATTTAATTTAAGGATACACTGATATCATGAAGCAAGGATTGCCTTTTACTTAGAGGATTTATTTCATATATGTTTTTATTTTAAACTTTGAATTTTACTGATAAACTTGACCCACTCAAAAATAAAATTAAAAGATTTAAAGTTAGAGAAACAAAACATTTATTTGATATTTTATTATAGTTAACTCCATATCGCTTAAACACTACTCTTAAACCAACGACTACACGGGTATCGTGGGTATAAAATTCCAAATAATAATTGTTGTTAGATAAATAACATGTTACGCGTAATACTGCAGTTTAATAATATTTGCTTGAAGGCCACGGCAAGGGAACTTAAACCTTAAAGTGTTCTGTATTGGATACAAATCCAATAAATAACGTAGGTCTAGAAGAATTGTCAAACTTTAAAAAAAAAGAACATCAATAAATGTGTCAAATATGTCGTACTTGTGTGAGTGACAAATAATTCTACTACTAGTGTATTTTTTTTTTGGAGTTTATGGCCTGTGTACAAATCCTTTAAGCCATACTACTAGTGTATGTTTTTTTTTTTTAATTAGAGCACTTGGCTTTGGATGCAAGTCCATTGGCCGAAATCCTCTATCCTAGTGTATGTGTGTGCATAATGATACCAGTTGAAAAATACTCCCAATTCATAGGGAGAAATTCACCTGCTAAAAAATATTTTGCTGGATGATAGACGCAAGTAGAAACTTTGCGGTGAATAGTTTAGAAATATCTACGCATTTAATTATTATTATTTTTCATTTTGGGATACTATTATAAAGATATTAGTTAAACAGAGGTAATTTCACTCTTTAATAATTAGGTAGCATACAGAACATTTAACTCATGTTAGTTATTCCAATGCACGAAATAATTATTTCTTTGTAACAGAATCAATGCACCAATTTTTTTTTTCGTTAGGTCAAAAAAAAATACCTTTCTAATATAAATATTTTCGTTATGGTAACTGAAACGGACTAAATTTGTTTTTTTTCCTCCCTATTATGTAGATACAGATTATACAAGATCACTCAAGTATTACAAATAAAACCTCATTTTTCATAGCATCAGTAGTTTTAATATAGGTAATACTTACTTAAAGTTAGTGCATTACTTGAAACGTAACTACTTCAATATATTTCCTTTATTTAGTATTATGTAAAGTAAGAACAATATGTTTTGTGATGTCAATTCGTGTATTTGAAAAGGAATTAAATCATTTAAAACTATACTTCAAATAACTTTTCCAGTTGTTCAACTGATTATTTAGATCTTGAAATTAGCCAATTATGAAAATAATCGCGATGGTTTTGAGCTTCATACATGTCACCATTTAATAATGACTTAAATGAAAATATGTTATTATTAAAAGAAACAAGAAATTTTAAGTTATTTTTTTTTATTTTCAATATATATTTCAATGATTTTTACACTTCCTCAGCAAATGTGTATCCGTGACCAGTTAATCATTATCCTAGCCATATTAATACTACTTATAATTGCAGCTGTGAACATTTACATGGTGAATCGAATGTTCATTTTCCGTTCTCGATTAATAAATTGATTAAATTGTTAAAATGTTGATATTTCCTATCTGATGCACGAAATTGACTCACCATACTTGATCAGTGCCTTGAATCTCATTTGATGTAAAAATGTTAAATAGTTAAAACACACATTCCAAGCAGAGTATTATAATTGTTACGGTGCTTAGACAATATAATATAGTACATAATATGTATATTATTTATTACAAACTGCCATATTGGTCACCAGAGTAAGTTGTATATAGGATTAATTCCTTAAACTCTGATGGCTAAATATAGAGGCTACCCTACAAGTCACTACTGCCCACCATTTTTGAGCAATGAAAGCGTGATAATATTTTAAATATAATAAATGTGTGTTTTTACATCAAATGCTTGTTATGTTACAAGGTATTGTCACAAAGATCATGACGTGCTTATATTTATAATAATTTATTATTATAATATAGAATTAATATTATATTACAGCACAGTTCTTGTTATGTTATTACATGAATAAATATGAGTATTTTTAAAATGTTTTTTACTTATTTGTACTGAACACGACCGCTGATGGTGACAGCCTTTGATTTTCTTAAACTTAATTCATATATTTGAATATTTAACGTTTTTACTTACATCTCTCTCTAGTTTCAAGCTATTACTCCACTAGAAATCTAATTCGATATGTTCTAAAATTCCATTTCCCCTTTAACTATTGTGAAATGCTATGATAGTGTAAATAGCTAAGTTTAACAATAAATATCTAGCTGTGCTTCCTTACAGCTTCCTTGCATTCCTTACTAAATAACAGTTCAACATAAATTAAATTCAACACTAACAACAGTGTAGCCAGCATTAATAATTTGAACAAGGTGTTGCCATTAATCAGTGACTAATTCGTCGCTCATATGACAGTATCCGACGTTTCTCTTGAACTCTGTATCATCAGCGGAATGGAGAGGTTTTCTGATCTCAATGAGCCGCCTGTCGGTCTCCAAAGCTTGGTTTTTGTATTGCAGGTCTTTGGTTACACGTTGGTGGTGATTGTACATGCCGTGGTAAGTTGTGCTGTAAAATAAGTTAATTGAAAAGTATTTCAAGTTTCCAAGAAAGTGGGAACTTCTATTACATTACCTAAGCTTTTACTCGCCAAAAATATATACACTGTTGGCACATATATGTATAAATGAAACTACCTGTTTTGGGGTTGTTTTTTATTTGTGTGAAAGTAAGTACCTATGTTTACTTCGGGAATGTTTTGCTACGTCTGGATAGGATTTATGTACCGTATTTAATTTAAAAAGAACGTAGTTGGTTTCAGCTAGTTATGTTTAGCGATACTTATGCAGATGAAGACAGTGCAACAAGCCATTATTATAGGTACCTATTGTCTGTTGTATACTTACATAGCTTCTTCGAGTTTCTTCTCCAGCATATTATGACTGGTGTGTACTCTCTCAAACTCTTCAATCAGGCCTCGCATGGGTTTGTCCTGTACTCGCTCGAGTACTGGCCGTCTCGTCCTGGTCTCCAACCTTGTCTCCACTAACTTGGTCGGGTTTATTTTGTCGGCTACTGCCGCTCGCAGCGTTTCTATCTCACTGTCAACTTTTTGTAGATTCTGTTCCAACTATAAAAATAGAAAATTGCAATTGGGGTGAATGTTTCTGCGAGTGGGATAGCTATGCTTCGGCACAATATAACAAGAATAATTAAGGCCGACTTGATCGGAGTGATGGGCTTCACAGAAAAGCAGCGTGAAACCGGTACCGGGGCCCAATCCGATTTAGGAATTAGGGAAGGGTAGGGTGAGGGGAATCTCCCTACCCTTCCCTAATTCCTAAATCCTCAAATCTCTTAACCCCAAATGGCTAGCAACGTATATTGACCGGCTTATCATCAGACAGACCTCTTTTGTCGCCCTATCACATAAAAATAATTTATTGCTGATCATTGGGGATCAAATTTTTACTAACACACGGCCTCAAAAAATTTGTCAAACAAGTCCATGAACTCTTAGCAGATAGAGGGTAGGAATCTGCCCATCATCATAAATTAAGTAGGTAGGTATGAACTCACTTTATACTTCTGCCACTCCATCTCATTCCTGGCCCTCTGTATGTCATACACCCTCCTCCGCATGATCAGCTCGACCTGCTGGCTCTGTGCGTACATCTGGTTCCTGGCTTGCTCCCGACTCTTGAACATTGTCGCCCGAAGGTCCTTCGATTCCGACATCAGCTGCTCAGCTATCTTTATCGTGTTTTCTATGCAGTGCACGTAACTCTCTTCGGTCATTGATCTAGGAAATAGATCAGCATTAGAATATAAGTGCTATATTTGAGGGGGGGCAATCATGAAATGGCTTCTCTAGGTGGCGCGAGAGTGACTAAAAACTAACCCATTTCTTCTCTTCGGTGTGAGGCATTTAGACTTATAGACTTATAGTATATTGGTACTTGTGTCAGTTGGGAGTTGTCATGCTCACTCAGGAGTCTCATTGGCGGTGGCACGGGCACTGGACCGCTCGGTTCCCTATAATATGGTTGAGTTGGGCGGTGCTGGTGTACGTGTCATGTTCGTGAACGGACGCCGCCTATTGGGACTGGTCAACTCGAGACTGTCTAAAGTTGCTGTCCCTGAGGGTTATTTCTTTTTCGGATACTTTGGTTAAACACTAGTGTTACACTGTTCTCACATAATGGAGCTATCTAAATTATGTAACAATGTATTGTAAAAAGTGATTGAAAAAGAGTAACCATGGAGTTTCTTGCTCGTTCTTCTCTACACTTTGGAACGAGCAAATAGCTTCACTAGAGGACAGACGGACAGACTGACACATAAAGTTAAACCTTATGATATCTTTTTTGCTTGACGTTCAAAAGTGCCTTTTTTGGTCTATTTGAAATAAAGAATTTGATTTGATTTGATTTGATTTGATTTATTTGACGAAAGGTTGTGCAGAAATGAGACAACGGTAAGTTACTGGGAAACCTGCTAACCGCAGCATTCGGTGCCAAAAAACTCTAGCTACGTAGTAATATTATCTGAGGTATTCACAAGGTCATCCACGCTACTTACTCAGTGGGCACTCTTGTAGGGTCCAATTTGAAGCTGATATCGCTGCTGTCTCGAGTGAGGTCCTTAACGTGGTACTCCAAGTCGAGGGTTTCGTCCTTATTCTTGATCTCGCGCTCCAGGCGACACAGCACGTTGGTCAGCTCTTTGATTTTCTCCCAGCCCATATGGCAGACGTCCATTAAGACACGCTTGCTATTCTCAGTGATATGAAGTTCCTGCAAAATATTGATCAGATTTATTCGAATATTTGTCACTGTGTAATTGTGACTGCTATCCAAAATTCTATATAATTCTATTCTATAAGATATCTAGCTAATTTTATTTTGGGGTCTATAACGTGAGAAAATTTACTAAGTATTTATTCCCATAACATAAATAATGTCGATGAATACTTAATTCCCCATTTTTTTGTTAGGGGTAAATCATCAAATGACTTCTCTCCCCAGGGAGAAGCGAGAGGAAGTGTCAGAATCTTACTGACTAAAAACCCCTGGTTCCTTTTCCTGCTCCAGAATGAGGCCGTAACCCCGACACACCGTACAGCAAACATTTTATCCACTTTACCTTTTTTAATTCCTCCCCTAGTTGGTCTCTAGTCAGTTCGGGTGGGACTCTCTGATCTCTATTAGACAGACACTGCGATATCACCATCAATGGCACTTGTAAAGACTCCAAATGCAGTTCTGTTGCGTGTTTCTCTTCTTTCAGAGCCCTTATCTCGTCCTTGACGCAATCTCTTGTGAACCTTTGCTTTTCCCTCCATGCTTGAACTTCGAAGATTCTGTAAGAAACAAAATTATTTTCTTGTAGGTACTTAGCGCTGTAAATATATCGTTAGTTCGTAACGTATTCAATAGGTACCGTAGCCCTTTCTTAGCTTAGTTTTGCCTGCCTTCATTCTTAGTTTACCTGTCTCTCAACAATTCATTGTTACAATAATTATCCCATCTCGTAGTAACCGAAGTCTCATTTCGTAATTGATTTGCCCTCTGTCTAAGTTCGTATGACTCAAATCTACGGAGTCTGGCTTCATTTTGAAGTCTCTGTATGTTTCTCGTCCAGTCTAATACGCTCAATTGACGATGTGGCTTCTCGAAAACAGGTATAGAAGCGTCCATTATTAAAAAAATAAAAGCAAATTTAAGATGAGCAGCTATTAAGGCTGGAAAATCTTGAAGTGTTTGATCAATAATGATGGAGTACCTACATAGGTTCCCAGAGAATAGGACATAGCTATGAATTTGATACTTGCTATTCTAAAAAAACAGGTTAGACGATAAGTTTACAAAATAGATCATAAACATACAAACAAAAGGGGGTCTTTACAGTTAAAAGTAAACACTATCTACTGCTGAGCTTGAATAATTTCTTTAATAATTTAAAATTTGTGAAGTTATCTGTACCGGAAGTAGCTGAATGTGTATAAATTATTTGTTAAAAAAAATATCATAGTGGTTTTTTCTGAAATTAGTTTGATTTTTTAATTGTTTCATAATTTTTAAACATTGTTAATGTAACTTATTTAAATTTAATGCTTAAATATAATTAAAAGGTATTTTCATTGAAATCATTAACGGAAACAGATTGTCAAAACGTAGACCAATGACGTGCCATTGAGTAAAATGGAATTAAATATGGCTGACACTAAGTAAAGTGGCATTAACATTACCAACAAAAAGTCGGTCAATATTTTGTTACGCTAGATAGATAATGGATAAATATTAATTAAAATAAAATCACGTAACTAATAGCAATTCAAGTGCTTTGCTCAGAAGTTCAGTATTTATTAGTGTTTTGTTGTTGTTATATTGTAATTAAGCAAATATGTAAGTTGAAGTTGACTAATCTTGTTAGAATTGGCTTGCTTCATTGGATGGTTTTGATAACAGTTTTTTGCATTAGGTACGACGATAGACGTGGCGGTCGTGGTGGAGGTCGTGGAGGTAGCCGGGGAAGCCGCGGTGGAGGTAGAGGTGGTTCTCGAGGAGGAAGATCGAGTGATCGGTCCCAGGAGAGAGGAAGCAGTCGCTTCGGTAGCAGCAGCCGTGGCAGGGACAGCAGCCGAGGAGGACGAGATAGCAGTCGAGGTTTTGGAGGACGCGGCGGCAGAGATGATTTCCGCGGAAGTTTTAATAAGAATGACCAACCTGGTGGTAACCTTAGGAAAATTCGCTGGGACACAATTACGCTAACTCCGTTCCAGAAAAACTTCTATGTGCCTCACCAGAACGTCCAGTCGCGCAGTCAAGCGGAAATAGAAGCATATCGTAGCCAAAACCAGATTACAGTGAAAGGACGTGATGTTCCCGCCCCAAGCATGTATTTTGAAGAGGGTGGCTTCCCAGACTATGCTATGAAAGAAATATTGAAACAAGGGTTTCCCCACCCAACTCCTATTCAAGCTCAAGGTTGGCCTATTGCATTATCGGGAAGAGATTTAGTAGGAATTGCTCAAACAGGTTCTGGAAAAACCTTGGCTTACATATTGCCTGCTATTGTACATATCATAAATCAGCCTCGCCTACTAAGGGATGAAGGCCCCATTGTTTTGGTTTTGGCTCCAACTAGAGAACTGGCTCAACAGATTCAACAGGTATGTTAGTCTCTTGTATTATAATCAATGCTATGATATTTAGCCCTGTTATTGGACACAAGACCTTCTTTCTGACTCTCATATAATTGTGAGCTTCAGAAAGTATAATTTATTTTATTGAAAATACTTTTACAACAAAAATATAAGATGAGTATTTGTTTTTCATTGTGCTACTCCAGGCGTTGATCTCAATGAATGGAATCGCTGCGGAGATGACGGACAATCCGAGCGAACTGGAACTAGTAAATTAATTCAGTTACCTATAAGTAGAACTAGCTTATTGCAGGCAGGCTATGTTCGAAAACCTAATGACACATTAGCATGTCTTTTGGTTTATTTCTCTATTGGAATCTCAGATTATAAATTTGGTATTTACTAGGTGAGGTTTCTGAACGTAACCTTATTTATTTTTTAGTTTGGGCACTATTGTTTTTGTTCTTTCTCTAGAACTTGCAGCTATCTGTGGAATGCTTTCTTTACCATGTAGTTTCAATATAAAAGCAGTTAGCTTTATCACCATGCCACTTACACTTATTTAAACAGTAGAAAATAGGTTACATGGAAGGCTTGCCACAGAAATGTTTGGTATGAAATAATAATAGTGGCCCTGCTCCTGCACATATTTAATTTTTCATATTTCTTATGTGATGGGGTCAACTGTCTGGTGAACACAAAACAAATGTACTCTGGGACTAAATTACATAATGTCAGCTCAACATGTAGTTTCAATACAATTGATCACCATGTCCAGTAGATTGTTATATTATGGCTAATTTACTATGTATTACTTTCTATTAATTATTTCATTAGATATTACTACAGTACATAGTTCTATTGTCATGCTTACATTTTTCATGTTCTATTAATTATTGAATATTTATGTAAAAGCAGATTTTTATATATGTATCAATGAGATTGAATAGAGTTTGTATTACATTATTCATTAATTACAATAGAATCAAAACATTCAAAGCTACAACAGAAACTACCAATGAATCAATACAAAGTGGCCTTCAAATCATTGCAAACTAAACAGTCTTTATTAGTAATAATAAATGCATTTTCTGTTCAGACAAGAATAGATGGTTATGCCCACAGCCAAGTCTTGACCTTATCAACTTGAGATAACTACACAAAAATGATTTTATTAAAATTAAGGCTCTGGATTAACTTATTTCTTGCAAGTTGTTCAACCATGAAAGATCTGCTCTTGCATTTACATTATTATTATAATGGTTTTCGTTTTTATTATCTATTCAAGTACTGGTAACTTTGATATAAATGGTATAGTCTTTTTTTCTGTTTCCAGGTGGCTAATGATTTCGGCCAGAGCGTCCAAGTCCGCAACACTTGCATATTCGGTGGTGCGCCTAAGGGCCCGCAGGGTCGGTGCCTCGAGCGTGGGGTTGAGATTGTCATCGCGACACCAGGACGACTAATTGATTTCTTGGAGAGAGGTAAAATAAAACCTTATTTTCTATTCGATATTCGCCAGGATGTAGAATTGATTAAAAAATTTAAGCATAGCGTAATATTCAAATACGTAATTAATTTTAATAGAAACAACAAATCTCCGTCGGTGCACATATCTGGTGCTCGATGAGGCTGACCGGATGCTGGACATGGGTTTTGAGCCTCAGATTCGTAAGATTATCGAGCAGATTCGACCGGACAGACAGGTGAGTCCTATTAACAATTATAAGCGAAGCTTTTCAAAAATACTATTCAATGCAATTATTGCTAGCAACATGACATGTAATGTTTTGTTTACTATATCACAGGTTCTTATGTGGTCAGCTACCTGGCCTAAAGAAGTGCAAAACCTAGCTGAGGAGTTCCTCCATGACTACATCCAGATTAACATTGGTTCTCTGAGCCTGTCTGCTAACCACAACATCCTGCAGATTGTGGACGTGTGTGAGGAGTGGGAGAAGAACGACAAACTCATCACATTGCTGACTGAGATATCCTCTGAGGAAGAGACAAAAACCATCATATTTGCTGAGACTAAAAGAAGGGTGAGTTTTCAAAACACACATGAAACCTACTAAAAGCACACTGTAAAGTGTTTAGTACTTAGTAGGTTTCATATCATTAGAAAAGCACTCTTCTTGAGCAAAACTTCTTATATATTTTAGCTTGTTTGTCTGACTACTTACCAACTTTGTATAAAACTGACCCTTGTACATTTTGTTCATGCTAATTTTTGTGAAGGTTGATGAAATAACGAAAGCAATCAACCGCGCTGGATGGCGCGCACTTGCCATTCACGGCGACAAGAACCAGCAAGACAGGGACTATGTCCTCAACCAGTTCCGTATGTCAAACGGAGGCATTCTCGTCGCCACCGACGTGGCAGCCCGCGGCCTTGGTAAGTACTTCTACGCTACTTCTGCGCCACATGTACGTTTATTAGGGTGTCCCCAGCTGTCTACGTATTGTAAATTGAAAATGCTTAGGGCTTTTATATCTGAACAAGAAACCGAATGCAGTTGAGCACTATTACGTCAGATGCAGATGTTACTAGCACTATTCGCTTTCCGAAACAACGCAAACTATCGAACGAAATATTCACTGTAAGTTGCCCAGAAGTTACTATCTTATGTTTGTGCCACCAATCAAGTTTATTTGTGATATTATAAAAGTATGGTGGTGATAACTCCCGCCGAATGATAAAGGGCATCAAACAAAAGATGAAATGACACAGTTGCGAGGACTAAGAGATTATGTATGAGTAAGACGGCGGTGTCTCGCACTGTACCACCGGGGTGTTGTAATGGTCTAAGAGATGTCAGGGGCGTAGAGGAGGTATATTGAATTTGATGCCATTGCTAAATACATGCTGAAGAACAGTTGTCATGCGACACAACTGAAAATAGGTTCCAGTATTCACGTTTTGCACAAGATACACAAGAAAAGAAGAACTTGAAACATAACTGCAAGATCCTATAAAGCAAAGGCTTCTTAGTGATTGTTGTGGAATATATTGTCTTGTAGATTTAGATCATTAGACTTAAATACCTAGTGCATATAAGGTGGTTAAAAGTGAATATTGGAACAAGACCACCAAGTATTTGTAAACACAGCAATGGTACAGCGATACTAGTATATTCTCGGGCCACGATATCATTATATTGTAGTGGTAGATCTTTATACCTAGTTATAAGTAATTATTGTTGATTTTATTTTTATTTTTAAGTACAGCTGGTCTATAATTTCCTAACCTTTTATTCATTTTGGTAAGCTTGGGATAATGTAAACATCTACCACAAACGCAAACATCTTAGCCCGATAATAAAATAATAAATTTCCATGACTGACTTGGCATTATTCTCGATTGTTTTTCATTTCAGAGGCGCATGCGTGCAGTGTTAACGGCTAGACTATCGGTGTGTTGCTGACCTGACCAAACCTTGTTACCGTATTGTAACGATCTAACGCCAGTACTCTGTCAGCGCACACTGTTTCAATATGAGCATGCTGCCTCTAATGTTTATCTGGGAGTTGAGCACATTCAACCTTAAGGCTCTTAGGAGTTTGTCATTCCTAAAAATTTTGGGGTTCCAATTTTGCTCTATCCAAATATTTCATAAACTTCTTTGAAAATGGGGAATAATTACAGAGTAAGACCGTATTAGAGCAATACATGCTTGGTTATTTGTCATGAGAGATTTAAGCGAAAGCCTTTTGGCCTGCCCTACGCAACTGACAGTCGCGCGGTTAGAGGGCGCTAATATAAGTCAGCACACCGACTCTTGGCCTGCACACTCCGGACTGACGGGCATAATACAGTTATTTCCAGTTTAGCGGTGTCGGACGTGCCGGCCTCATGCACAAGGTAAATATTCTCAGTCTTTACTGTTGACATGTGCGTTCTGGACATACACTTGCATAGATCTATGGTTAGATATACATCTAATTATTGTTACCAAGATGAAACTCAGTTAAATTTTTCTATTGTTTGCATTGAGTTAAACTAAAAAAGTAGGGTTGAATTGTATATCCAACCATTTACTTATTCAAGTTCTCTCTCAGAAACATACTGACATGTAAAACTAAGAGTGGTGGTATACTTACATGATTTGATTTAAATATGAACGCACATCTCAAACGTGGCTTCTTCTTGTCCAATACATAAATTGATTGTATGAGAGTAAATATTTCGTGAAGTAACACTGTCACTTCAACACAGATGTGGAAGACGTGAAGTTTGTGATAAACTATGATTATCCAAACAACTCTGAGGACTATGTGCATCGTATCGGTCGCACGGGCCGCTCCCACAACACCGGTACTGCTTATACCCTCTTCACACCCAATAACTCTGCTAAGGTAAATCATTCTTCTATTTTCATAAACACTAATAATATGCGGCAATAATACAAAAGGTAATTAAATAATAAATGTTAACAGGCTAAGGATCTGATGTGTGTCTTACAAGAAGCTAATCAAGTGGTCAACCCCAAACTCATGGAAATGGCGCAGTGCGGTATGGGCTTCAAGGGCAAATTTGGTACGTGGTTGGAGTCATTAAGGCGATACAAGTACATATTTTGTTGATTCATTAATTTGAAAATTGACTCTTTGGTTTTTCTAGGACGTAACCGTTACCGTGACAGAGACGATAGCCAGGGTCGGTTCGGCGGCAGGGGGCGCGGCCGCGGTGGACGAGACGGAGGCCGAGGCGGGAGGGGACGCTTCGGAGGGGAGAGGAGTTAGTACTAATTGTGTGTCTATTATATAATGATTATGTGTGTGTGTGTAAACTGAGAACCCCTTTGTTGTTTTATTATTTATTCACCTACAAGCTTTTGTTTCAAGGTGCATGATTGCATGTGTGTATGTGTCTTTTAAGTTATTTTATAGAACAAGTAGTCATTCCAAGGTCATTTATTTGGTTTCTAAGTTATTTAGTTGTAATAAATCTTACTTAAATTTCATATATACTGCAGCTACATAACCAAATGTCTAACATCTCACTTTCCTTCAGACTCCAGATGGGACGACTCGAATAACGATTACGACAACAACCAGGGATCGTACAACACTCGTTCAAACTACAGCCGAGATAGTAGTAGAGACAACTTTAGACAGGATAACGGGTTCCGCGGCAGAGGGCGCGGCCGCGGCGGCAGTGACGCGCAGTCGTTCCAGAGCCAGTCCGGCGGCGGGTACAACAACTTCAACCAGTCGCAACAATCCTTCAACGTGCCGCCGCCCACCAGCTACTACAACATGTACGCGCAGCCCCCGCCGCCGCCCGCCACCAAGTTCCCCGCGAAATAGATACTTTAGTTAGACTAAGATCGACTGGATGTGATGTGAAATGATGTTCATAGGGTTACTTGTGGGTGTTCCACATTTTTTCATTGATTTATGTAATGTGATGTCTGATGATTATAGAAAACATTATAGTTACATTGTATAAATCATTGATATGCACCCTTAGCTTGTAGGTTTGAAATGATAACACCAAATGGTCCCTCCTAATTGCTAACTTATGAGAACGACTAGCTTCGTTTCACTTGCGTCTAGTTGTAATATTGAAATAGGTTTATTTAAGTTTTTGTGAAAGTGATGGCTTGGAATCAAACCTATAAGGTTATTACTTTATTAGAGTCAGATCATATCGTATTTTATAGCAGGCAACTGATTGTATACGTTTTCAAGTGTTACATAAGCAAAGGCCTTATTTACATGTATTATATTTTTATTTTGAATGCAAATAATTAAGTTACGATTTTCTAGATCTTCAAAATTGCAATGTTTTCCCTTGTTGCATGTTATTCTCGTTATAAACCAATAGGTACAGGAATTTATGCAGTTTGAAACATGTGTGCCACTTTATAGTGTCTTAAATATATAGAAAGTAAAATCTTATCTAGTTGCACTAATTACAATTTCCAAATATGTAACATTCCTATCTTGTTTTTCAACTCTCACCAGCATTGTGCCGATGATTTATTTACTATTTGCAGAGAATTAAAGTTTACATTCAAATTATTGCAGTTGTCTTTTTATTTTGCAAAAAATGTTACTCTACCATAGGAATTTTTCGTGTCATGGTTATACTTACTGACACAAATTAACACGCACATTACACCCAGACCCGCAAATGTAATTGTGGATTACAAAGAATTGTTGTATAGGGGACAGCAGCCAGTTGCAGCTACTGCATCAACTGTGTAGTTGACTAAGTGAGGGCAAAGTGCTAGTTTTTTATACTGATTATGGTCAACCCATATGAATCATGTTAATGTTGTTTGATCTCACTTGGAAGAATAAAACAACTATGTATCAATAAAGATTTCGTTTATTCCTACATAAATAGAACATGATTGCAACTGCTAAGAACCTCTTAACAGAACTTCACAAAACTGTCAGCTATCACTTTACACTGATATATGATGAACAATTTATCTGCAAAGCTGTGTGAGGGCATTTAGAATTCATTTGTTTAGTGGCCGGAATGTGCTGGCTTGTCAGGGTCAACATAGTCAAGTTGCTCATCAGGAGTGTGTGGCCAGAAGGTAGGCTTGTTGATGGGGTCGAGCGCCTCTTCTGGGTAAGCATCACGGAAGTCTTCCATGGTCATCTGCTCATACGGCAAGAGTGCCTTAATCTCACTCACTTGTTTCTGGTAGCTGAAATTAAATAAGGTCATTTTTTACATTTATTATTATGAAACTGAAAAGGATCCAATAAGCAGACCTAATAAACAAGAATTTAAATTACCTACTCTCTAAGAGACCAAAAGACATTACTTATTGGATGATTTTAATAAGTGCATTAGAGGGCTAATATCCAATCCAATCATACTGACCTAAAATACCTGCTATAATTTGCTAAAAACTAGGTAATACAACTAAGATAACTTTCCTTTATACTTGATACCTTCACAAATTATTGTTTTAGTAAAATTGTCTACATCATATTTAACTTACTTAGCGATGTTGGCGTTGGATTCTTGGATGAAGGCATCGATAGCTTTTTTGACCTCAGCCCATTGAGCATCAACCTGAGCTGTCTGTGTGTCGGCGGGGTAAGGAACCTTCAACGCTTCGTATTGCTTCTGGAAGGTGTCCACCATACCGGGAATGGGGACGGCATTCTTGTAAGCCGCCCAGTCAATCTTGGGAGGTTCGGGGGGGTTGGCCAAAACTCTAAAACATAAAACTATATAACCAAAACGCACTGACGAAAATTATGTAATCCATCGATCAAAACTAACCTTCGGAGGTAAGTGTCCGACTTAATCTTGAAAGCCGCAAGATGAACTTTCTGTTCGGCTGGGACCCTCTCAGCAAGGGCTGCCCAGTTTACAGCGCTTTGTGAAATCCTTTTCGCCATTTTTTGGCGATTTTTATTTCTATACAAATTCACAGACTGTCAGGAAGTGGTCAACGATGATAGACAATCTGACAATCAATTTCTTATTTTTAAAAGTTGGTTTGACTTCGTGGATTTTTGCTAAATACTAATGAATTTTGTCTATGGCCTCCAGTAACAAAATATGGTTTTCGGAAAATCCTATAGTTTGTATACTATATGTAGTAGCAAATAATCGGTTTAGTAGAAAATTTTTTTTAAAGGGTTTTATTTTTTAAAATTAAGAAGTATGTTTTGATCTGTAGGAGAACCATGATACGGCGCGTAGGTATTGACTGAAACCAGCATGAAACAACTCCGTCGTTGTATTTCGAAATGTGAATGAAGTTAGGAGGCTTAATTCAAGTCCTATCCATCCTCAGTCTATAAATCTCGGATCCCCGAATCCCTAAGCTGCACATATCTACTTTTTGAGCGGTAAAATCATTAACCACCCTATTCCTTACGATCCCCATTCCTTATATGCAAAGAAAATTTTGCGTTGTTAAATAGGGAATTTCAAGAAATACGTCTATGCTAAATTTCTGTTTAGTGATTGGGTAGGTAGGTAATCGTAGGTATTCCTAAGAGCAGAGTGAACACTTTGAACTTTATGGCATGAAACCACAAAATTGCGATCCCCCTTTTCATCATTATGTAAAATTATATTCAAAGACATTGTGATAAGACGGCCTCACAGAATACCGGCGTGAAACAACCACAGCGTTGTGTTTCGCCGTGTGAGTTTACTGGAGGAGAGGGGAGAGAGAGGTCACCGCCGCCGATCACTTCCCCGATGACACGGCAGTGCTCAGCCTAGGCAGGGCAAAAACATATAGTTGAAGTATTCTTTTGGACTGTCAGTGTACATATATGTGAGCTTCATTTTCGAGACGATAAAGTATTTATGATTAAATGATAGATCCCATCATTTGTTTTTTTTTTATAACTTGTCTCTGCATTGGTCTCACATATGGGTATAATAATGTAGGTATATATACTAAATAATGTACCTAATGGTGAAATATAATACAAATATTGTTTTTTTAAAAGTGTAACGATGGGTTTTCTTTCTCGTTCTTCTCGATTCCAATCTACAATTTGGAACGAGCGCCTAGCTTTACTGGCGAACAGACTGACAAACTGCTATTCTATTTTGATGTTTCAAAAGTACCTATTTCGGCTACTCGAGTCTGCGGGCCCAACGCACCCTCTGCCGCGATTCACGCGCAATTTCTTCTATCCAAACGCCACGATGCCCTGCGTCTCTGCCAACGCCACGTTGGCAGAGACGCACGGCATGCGCGTCACTGTGGGCACGCTAGACTCGCCCGCCTGCAGCTGCGTTGGTGTTGGGTTCGAATCCCGGGTCGACGCTAAAACAGTGTTACATACCGCGCTGTGCTCCAGACCCGCAACAGTGCAGTCTGACGCAGATTTCAGACTCGACTTCCAGGCAGGTGGTAATGCCCAGCCACCGTCTCTGTTGAAGTTCGGACGCCGGCTTATTTCGATGGCCTCACGTACTTTCCGCGGTACGAAGTATTTTTCCCTCGCTAGTACTGAGACCTTGTCGAAACGGAGGAAGTGAGCCGTGCCCGTGCTACAAGCATGCTCAGCTACCGCCGATGTATGGGTGTCCCGGTTTTTCACACTGCGTATGTGTTCTTTAAGTCTGGTTGCGATGTTGCGGCGAGTTTCCCCGGTGTAACTCGAGCCACAGTCGCACGGTATCATGTATACTCGGAACTGCCAGCGGGTCTTTGTCCTTAGGCGAGCGCAGAAGATGTCGTAACTGACCGGGTGGGCGGAAGATCGTCCTGATGCTGTATCTCCGGCGTAACAAGTGTCCGATTGTGTCGGTTACTCCTTTCACATATGGTAAAAATGCTGGAGTCCGTTCCGCAACTGCCAATCGTCTTTTACTTGACGAGCTCGACATTCGAGTACATTGGCGCCAGTTGTACCCATTTTTTTCCAGTACCTGTCTCAGGTGATCGAATTCCGCGTCAATGTACTGGGGATCACACAGATTCAGAGCCCGGTTGTTTAGCGTCCTGGGAACGGAGGGATGGTGATGCGAGTCGGCCTGTAAGTACCGGTCCGTGTGTATCGGTTTACGGTAAACCGTGTGCGACAACCGGCCGTCTGTTCCACGACTTACGAGGTTGTCTAAAAACGGCCACATTCCATCTTTTTCCTTCTCAGTGGTGAACTGCATGCTACTGTGCATTGAGTTTAGGTGTGCTATGAATCCCTCTATATGTTCCCGGTTGATGACTGCGAACACGTCATCAAAATATCTCCACTAGTATCGCGGTCGTACCAGGGTAGACGTTAAAGATTGACCCTCAAACCACTCCATGTATGTATATGTTAGCAACCACTGGCGCTAACAGTGAACCTGTGTAACCTGTTGTTAGGCAATGGCTTACACCGTCAATGTATCCAGTAGGTAAATCTGTCCTGTTCAATAAGGTGGTGATAATATTACCTATTTCTGTGACCTATTTGTGGTTTAATTGGAAATTTGGAATAAATGATTTTGACTTTGACCTCCTTTTGCTCCAGGACGAAGCAACGGTACATTAACCATTACATCTGTGGTGCTGATCTCCAGCCACCCGGCTAGAGATCCTCATGCAATCCCCGACGCCCGGATTGTGTCCTACTGTGGTGGCTGGGTCATGTTACGGTACGCGTTCGGCCGGATCAGAAACAGGAACCCACCGAAACTTCCAATGAGTAGCTACGATTACTTTCAGACAATTTGCTTTCGTTTCAATTTTATCTTCATATAGTTCATATCATATCTCATTTCAAGTAGTTAAGATTTTAGAATCCAATAATATTATTGGAGCGTGACAAGCATCTCAGCTTTAAGACTTAAAATCCTCGAAACGTTGCAATCTAGTTTGTTGTTTGAAGTTCATTCGAGGATAAATTTGAAAACAATAAGAAGGTCCGTGGCCACCGCCAGCGTTAGGGCTGTCCCACGTGTCGTGGCGTAGGCGTTTCATCGTGCCATCTTTATGCATTTGTCTTGTGTATCACGTGCATCATTTGGGAATTTAATATTGTCGTCGTGTCGACAAGTCACAAGAGTATAGTATACTAGACGATTTTTTAATGATTTCGATCAGAACATTAGATTTAATCGAGTCCATATTTGATGAGATTTTATCGGTTAATTGCGAATGTCTTTGTGGCCCCATAATAACATGGGTAGTGATGCATTGATACGTGAATCATTTAGGGCAGCAAGGAGGAATATAATGAGTAATAATAAACATTTCATATAAATACATTTATTTATTTTACCTTTGGTTTACTTATTATTACAACAAATCTATGCTAATTACAATACAATAAATTATTTTAAGCAAAACTTTCATTTTTTTTTTGTTAAAATAGATAAATCTTCCAATTGTTCTGGTTCAATAATAAATAGTAACTTTGAAAATGTTCATTTAGACATAACAACGTCAATATAAATGTAACTCCAACGTTATCTATGTTTGAGGGACTATTTATTCTAATTGACTTTTACGTATCAGTCTTCAAAAGAACTATTATAATTATAATATTTTGCTACTAGAAAATATGACAATTATTTGGTAGGATCGCCGTTATACTAGACTATTAGTATAGACTGGTAATACAAACTATGGTGCCAGCTATCCTGGGACAGTTACCATCAAAATACATTTAGTTGATTTAACGTGAAAACGTTACAAACGTTCATCCTATGCGCTATAATCTTATAAACTTTCGCTTTTAGAATTTAAGTTGTTAGACAATATAAATCAATGTTTGCTAATAGGTATAGCGTGTTGATATATAAAAATCTACAATCAAAGCAGAACTTCTATAATGTTGATTTAATAAGCACCTTGGCACCTAGTAACATTTGTTAAAATAAATGAATGATCGCATCAAATAAATGTCATATCTTGAGGCGGATGCAGACAAACCAAATTACAATCAAACATTTAGCGCCTGGACCCAATCTTACAGAACTGAACGTACAAAATTAAACATAAGTTTAAACCTAAAGGAATGCATTCTTATTATTATATAATATTATTTATATCTATTCTCTTATCGTACAAAACATTATATTATAATCAAGGTAATATTTTACTTTGGTTAAGTTAAATGGTAAGCATCATTACAAGCTAGTAAATAGTAGTCGCCATTGGTTGATAATATATACAATTATTTATAATTAATATTTACAAAAATATTTTTAAAGTGTCGTCTGCGGATTTGTGTATTTCCCAATTACATATTATTTAGTAATTTTGTGTTTATAATTTGGTATGAAGATCCGGTAAGGTGAACAGCTTTATTTTAATTATAATGAACTAGTATGGAGGCGCACTGTTAATGAGATTCATAAAAAATGTAAATGCAGAATCGGGTTAACGAAACCTAGCGGACAATTAATGCAAATAAATGTCGCTGCTTAAATTATTGAACCCTTAAAACGTACAGGAAATTAGATACAAAGTTCCCATTCATAATAGAAAAACTGATAAAAATACAACAATATAAGTATTCTGGATGTAAATGGATTTACAACGATTTTTCGATTTTTTACTGGGCAACATTGACATGTCGATTTGAAATCTAAAGCGCAGTTTCCGCCAGCGGCCGGCAGATGACATTGGTGAATTCATAAGTTGGCGGGTTTATCCTTCATGTGGTTTCTCTTGTCTGCGTAATGTGGTGAGTTGGAGGAGTTGGCCATTGTCCTGCTGCCCCAAGTAGTCCGCCTGTTGCCGGTGCTGTTCTTGCAAAATTTTAGTAAATTAGCGTAAGCTGCGCGGTACTGTCTGTTAGTGGCTGCGTAGATGAGTGGGTTGATGACACTGGAAGCCCAGGCGAGGATCGACGCGATGATGTGCAGCCAGGGGTAGGTGATGCCGTCGTCCGCTACGTTCATGATCATCAGCGGCAGGAAGCACGCCAGGAAGCACAGGAAGATGGTCAGCATCAGCGTAGTCAGACGAGAGTCCTCTTCTTTCTCTTTGGCAGTTTGACCGGACAGTTTGCTGTGGAAAATAAAACATTCGAATAAATTAACAGTCCCAATATTTCGCACTAAGTAGTCAGTTACATGTTTACAAAACAGGGAGTCAATTTTCAGCCAAAATAACCCCGTGTGTCGGAAAGCTGTCTTCTTTCCTTCGTGTCGGTTTAGCGTACTATCGAGTGTAAGAATAGAAGGTGCACCTGTGCGAATACACATATTTGTGCACTATAATATCTTGTGCGCAGTTGGCCAGTCTAGATGACAAACTGGCGACCATGATCAAAATTTACCTTTTTCATAACTTTGTTTAGTACAAAATAAATATAACTAACTTATATAAAAACACAAACACCATCACCACCCTAAAATATTACTTGTCGAGCAGAGCCTGATGTTATTCCAAATTGTTAAATAGGAAACGAAATTTTCACGTATCCTCGACATACCTGAGACCCTGAGACTGTATCATAGGAGTAGACGAAGTACTTGAACGTTAAATTGTGACTTATGTGCAGTACTGCTTCATCTTCAGTTAGTATCGGGTGCAACAAATTTCAAAAGGCTTTGGAATTTATAAAAAAACTAAGTTGCGTTTATCGTCCATCGAGTCTGAGTTCAAGTATACGCTATACGTGAACTCTTGATCTGATCTCTGATGGCAATAAATGAGAATGGGAGCGCAACAAAACTAAAGCTAAGCCCCAAAAACCATCACCTGATTAGCCACACATAGTGACGTGTAGATTCTCACCCACATACACACCTGCGTCCCTCCAGCTTCCGCTTGCTCTGCCGCACCCGCCAGTAGATGCATGAGTATGACACGATGATCACGACGCACGGGAGCGCGAACCCAAACACGAACAGATACTTCTTCGGGGACTTGCCGTCTTTGGGGAGGATCGTGCACGAGAACGTGCTGGGGTCCAGCCCTAGTTGACCCCAAACGCCGAGGAGGGGCGGTACCTGCAGACAATTACGAATTCTTAATTAATTGTCTTAACACCCATTAAAAGTATAAAATCTTAATACAACAATATGTCCTTGGTTGAAGGTCAAGCGCCCAATCGCGATAATGTACTGCAAATAATGACCTGGAAAAAAAAGGAAGTGGTCTATAGTCAGTAAGAGTGAAACTTCATATCGGGAAACTCCATACCCACCCAGAGCGGGATAAGCCATGTGAAGAATTTCCACTCTCAAACAAAACCCATAGGACGACATAGGTTTTAAAATACCCAAACAAAATAATAAGTTGAACATTTAATTGTATGCGGGTTCATATATTGTGTTGAATAATTCAGAGGGTGTTAATTTATAGTCGAGCAACACTTGCAGTCATCGTCCCGCGTCCCGAACTGTTTGTGATTGGACTAAACTGCCGCTTCACGACCTGTTTCCAAATTACTAGCAACATACACATAAACGGGTCATCATTTTCAATTTTAAATGGTTTAATTTGAGGCAAATGATATGACTTTAGAAATTTTGTTTTTATTGTTCTGTCGGTTGGGGTTGCATCTAATAGAGGAAGTGCGTTTGAGGATCTCAATAACTTGTGGATTTAGTTGAAATTGCAGGAACTTAGAATGTATTAATTAAAGGCGAATACAAAAAAAATAAAGGTACAGAGGCACTGACAGCCCTACGTTCGATAATAATTTTTGCTAGCAAAATCTTAAGTTTTATACTTTGACAGCTACTTGGTTCAACATCTTTTTTTATCGGTCCAAGTTATAAAAGAAGAGAGATACGCGATAGTATAGGACCATATTTAAAGTTATGTTCGGTCCATAAAAGTTTAAAAAGTTTGTATTACACAATACTTTTGAATTTTTTGGAACACATTCCAGTAGTTACATCACACGAACTATTAATGACAACTACATTACATAATGCAGAGGATAAACTAATTCAGGACAATCAACGATGTGGAAGTGCAACGAACTAATCTAGCTTTCTACCATTGCTCTCAGTTTATTTATTTGGCTGGCAACATTACACTACATAGTTGTAGTACAAGAACAAACCTTAAATCGTAGGCGATAAAGACGTTTATAATTTTGCAATATGCAATGCATCTGTACCTAAATGGTAGCGTTGTGTGTGTTCCACGAAACGGATAAATTATTATCTTTTTTGATTCCGGTAATAATTTAATTTTGTTATTGTAGTCATGTAATAAAATGTTTGTAGTTTTTTGTTCCGGGTCCCTTAGTTTTTTATTACTTTTAACAGATGCCACGTACCTAAGTTGTTTATTTTATGTATTTTGTTAGTTTCACGCGTTTCGTTTGTGGTTTCAATCATAGCGCTTCTGTGTACATTATCAATGTTTGCGTGTATATTTACATTAGTTAGTATTGCCAAATATTGAAATACAACGGTAAAACGTTGACAGCGAATTATTTGAAAATTGACCTCTTCCAAATCCTACGTCAAAAATATGAATGATCAGGGCGACTGACTTCTTTTACATCCGCGTTAATAAAATATTGACATTTTATTATTTATTCGTACATTTCCTCTTTGCTTTAGTAAAATGTTAGATGGAACAAAACGCGAAAAGTTGATGAAAGCTCGCGTCGACTGATAGACTGATTTCTGTTTTGATTCCAATGTGATGCAATTGTTTTTGTTATAAAAATACCCAGAAATTCTGTTTAAACGCCCGCTAATGATTGATAGGAACCATTTGTTACAATATTCTTGTATATTTATTCGTTTGAGAGCGTAATGAGAGTAAAATCGCTTGTAATTTTAAGATAAAATCTCATTACCAGCATTCGACGATGTAATGCTTATTGAACGCAAACTGCTAACATATTTTCTACTTATTTTCTTTTTTATTGAACTAGAATTTATCGGGGCGAAAACTAGCTTGTTACATCTGAAATACAGCATACAATTTTAGATCTTGTCTTCTCTTTAAAATATTTGCATGACCATTGGATATATTTGAGTGTACCTACCTATCACAGAAAGTTTAAAATACGATGTTAAACATTTTTTAATTCTTAATGAACCTTATTCTTTTATTTGGCCTCTTACTCGCCTGGTGGAAAAAGTTGATGCGACCTACGATAGAGCACGGCTACCAACGAGCAACTTATTCATCGGGCTTTGAAGACACTCTTTGGGGAACACAGACTCGGGCAAATAATCTCACTTCTTATCGGTTCTGATTTAGAGGATATTGGAACAAGTATGTACCTAATAATCCTAAAGAAGTTAGACAGTTAATTAAGACTCACCATCAATCCAAAAGACACCAGCCATATGAGCAGCAGCTGTACCCAGATCTTTGTACTCGTGTATATCTGCGAGTACATGTCGTAGTACGCGATCAAAGTGTATCTGAAACAGAATAGGAATTACTTCAGATGTGGAACACAACTTTATGGCTAAACAATAAAGCTGAAAGTGGAATAAACGTACGTTGGAGTAGTATGGATACGCCGCCTGTTCCGTAGAAGTATTCAAATCTAAGACAGTTTACACAGTACACCGGCAAACTAATCTAGGTTATATTTACGAACACGGTTCAACTATTTTTAGATATAAAAAGGTAAACAAACTACAAGAGGAAGTAAAAGTAACCTTTCGACACGTGGATTTTACGAAAACATTTGGAACGTTCCAATTTTAGTGAATTTGCGAGTAAATTTACAAAGAGGTAAATTACGGTAACAAAGGGAGGGTGAATGAATCGCTTGTTATTTTACTGTTATATGGAAACTGTAGCTTGATGATAAGTCTTCGTTGATTAATGATTATCTTCTTTAATAGTTTTTATAGTTTTATGCAAATATATTCTTTCCTTACCCCATATTTACGACATCGGCGTAGGACGATGAATAGTATATTTGTCAAGGTATTCATAAGTTTCCTTTACAATGGTTTAAGTTAATAAAAAGAAGAGGATAATAAGTAAGTATGGGAGAAATATAAGTGTGGTAGAGCCAAGCTTTTGTACGAATGGGTCCACTCGACCGGATGAATAGTACAGAAAACCGGCGTGAAACAACCACAGCGTTGTGTTTCGCCGTGTGAGTAAGCACAATCTCTGCCCCACCCCCCATCCTTTTAAATCTGAAACACTTATCCCTAAAATGCCAGCAACGCACTCCGAACTCCTTTGATGTTGCGGGTGTCCATGGAAGGCGCTAATTGCTTACCATCAAGTAATACGTCTGCTCGTTTGCCGACTTATTAAATACAAGTAAAAAAGGATAACATCAAAAATAACAAATGTTGACGAAAAAAGGGTGAAGTGAAGACTGTCTTTATATTAAATTGCATCCAAAGAAATGAATGTATACATTTTAAATCCATACATAGTCATACGGATAACTTTAAAAGCAGTGAACATTAATACAAGTCAAAATCCTTTCAGCTTCATGTCAGACCCACAGCACCACACCCACGACGCGATGGAACAAAGTGTCTCCACTTAAGTTGATAACATTTACTTTTCGCTTTCATAATGTAATCACCACTTCACAGCACTCTGGTTATCTGTCGTGGGAAAGCAGTTTGTTTACCAGCGCAGCTCGGATTAGATAACAATTTGTGGCTTAACTTGTTATTATACTGTTTATGGTGGGATGGATTGATAAATCGTAAAACTATGAAGGACGGTGCGGAAGCTTTAGCGGTCCGTTTGAACTCATTTGATTACTCGCCCTTGAGACTTCGTTTAGACTACGATAGCCTTTCAATTTAAAAATCATTATAACACCAGTGTCTGTATCTCTATTAACATTTAAAACTACATTAAGTTTACTTTCATGTGATCCTTTTGAACTTTTGACATGAAGGCCGTTCTAAATGGAGTTCCGATGTGAAATCTCTGCTATAGTTGTATTCGATTAACTAGTGGAATAATGACGAGCCTATTGAAGCTAATCTTACATTTGTAACAGAATAATTAGTGATACAGAGAGATCAATTTACACAATTACTTGAACCAGTTAGTGCACATGAAAAGGTTATTTACAAAGCCTTTACTGAAGTCTAATAAACAAAAATGAAGTGGGCCAGGCACAACCGCTCATTGTGCACAGTGGGCCCTTTGTGAGTCGGCTACTGACCCATCGTGAATGGGTTTATTTTTGTTTGGCTCGGGCCCTTTGCCCAGTGCGCAGGACAGATGCACACACAGATGGAGGGGCCGATGGATTAAATCTGTGACGCCAGATGCAAGTGATCCGTGTCATGTCGGGACGCTCAGCAAATATTGATGTTTTGTTTTCATAGGAAAGTTTAATATAGGTTGATATAGGATTCTATAGACGGTGATGTAAGATTTGATGATAGCTATAGCTGCATAATTTATTAAGGTACACTCTCTATACAAAGCGTCTTTTAGTGTTACTTATCACACACTCCGAATTAAAATAAACATGTCTGAATTTATCTAATAATATTTACAAATAGGTACAGCATACTATGAACTCGGAGAGTATTGCAAAAGTTTAACAGAAATCGCTACCGCCTGTTACCTACACAGTGGCCTAAGGTTAAGACTTTTCATCTCTAACATGTGGTCAGATAATAAATGAAACTTTAAAATTGTGCGTGCGAGTGTTATGAATTAAATGTAGGTCGGATGGATGGATGACGCACGTGGCTACGTCAGGTGGACATTGATACCCGCCTACATATAGGTATAGATAGATAAGTACTCCATTGACGGCATATTAACCTTTGCAGGATTTCCGAAGGTAAATAATAACGCGTTGTACATAACCAATGTTCTTTTCAGTACAAGAAGGAGTCTTCCAACAAACAGTTCATAAATGTGAACCAAAAATATCATAAATATATTGTAAGTCAATCATTCAGGATAAACATGTTAAGAAAGTTTGAATAGTCTGGATAATGTTAATTTGGAAGCGGAAAAAGTTGTCCATCTGCTTACAACGTTGTTTCCGGTGTGAGAGGGAGATAGATGCAATTAATGAGGATGGAGTTCATTACGAGTTAATTACTCCCTTGTTTTCTTCGAGAGACAAATATTTTGATCTTTAATATGAAAACATTTCTTGAGAAGAAACATCCCAAGTTATGGATAAAATGTATGAAGATTTCTGAAGGTTTTTTTATCGATAAGTCACGTGGTCAACAAATCAATTCTCGTGTAACATTTCTAAAGCGATAACGATTATCGATATTTAGTACGGCTAGAGAGCAGGTAAGTAGCTTAAAATTTTCACTGTTAATTGTCGACCGAAAAATCTCCCATTAAAGACAGTTTAATCGGTATCGCCATGGAATTTGACATTATATTTGACTCACTACACCACAAACCTCTTATGACCATTAAGCTTTTTTTTTGAGGGGGGAGATCATTATATGACTCTCATTTTGGGAGGGGCAATATCTTACTGACTACAAACACCCCGCTACATCTTCTGTTCTAGGCCGGCGCTACGGTACTATTGCGCTTGACGCGTATAACCCCGGCTATATCCTTCATTTTTATTACACTTTTTTTAAGTAAAACGTTAACCCACACTTCCATTTTCTCCTGTGTCGTGGGTGCGTTTACAAACATACAAATTCACATGCACATCACACCCAGACCCGGAACAACAATCTGTAGATCACACAAAGAGTTGTTCAGTGCGGCGTGCCAAGCCACCACCCAAACCGTGCAGTAAAACTTACGAGGACTTTTGGACTAAGAACAAATTCCAATCTCACCCGTAATCCCCAATACAAGTTACGTAACGGATTCCGAAAAGCCACACCTCCACACCTTTTCTATTTAGTTACTAGTTATTGGCTTTATAAATAGCTACACCTGCGTTGTTTAAGAGCTGGTAAGTGGTGATTCTGTATGATTTACCGCATCAGCAACTATCCTAGCTCTCAGCTATTCCGTAACGATGTTAATGTTTCTCTTTAGCACAGGATATTGAGATAATCATGAGCGCTATTTTGTGCCAGAACATTAGTTCGTTTGTACACAGATATTGCTTTGAGAATTATGGTTTTATTGATAGTTGAAATGTAACTTCGTTCGTCACTATACACTTGTATACATAATGTGTATGTTCTGAAAGTAGAACAAGTGATTGATCCCGGGTTATAGATAGTTTTGTTCTTCTAAATACAAATATAGCTGATGCAAATATGAATTGGAGTGTCTGTTTGTTACATTGAAACAATCGTCTTTTATAATATAGAGGGTTCACACACAAAATTAATATTTTTTTTTCTGTATTAAATAACTATAATAAGTCAAGAACCGAACTTCTTAGTACCTATAATGAAATATTCAAATTACTTACAAACTCATTTAAATACATATATACAACAAGGTTTACTGACTTTAAAAAACTGTAATTAGTTAAAACATTGCCGTAGGTATTTAATCTTAAAGACTCATTAATTAGTGTAAATGTAATTACAAATACGATTGTTTATTATTATAAATTAAACATTTACATGTAATTACGTCTGCACGCGTGTAAACAGAAGTTCTGGCAGAATTATTTGCAAGCACATGGTACATAAGTATTTTTATCTTGGATGTTTTGGAAAAAGGAGTTGTTTGTAAACGATTCCGACGATCAATAACGCTCATACAGTATAGAGTACGTACTGAAATGGAGTACGTTTTCCCCCTCCCTCCATCCCTTCCGAAACCCATATCCCTAAAACGCCGGCAACGCACACACACACCTTTGGTGTTGCGGGTGTCCATAACATAATGATGGTTTACCACCAGGTAATCCATCTGCTCATTTGCCGAAGTATACCATAAAAAAATTATAATAATGCGAATCCAGGGTTATGTAATAGGTATAGGTATGTATAATGATGTAATGGGTTTTATTCGGCACTATGACGATATAACATGTAACGTTGCACGTTATTTTCTGTATTAATAAATAGTCGAAATCGCCGAAAGCCTATTTAAATCAAAAAATATTCATTTCAACGTAATGAGCCGTGAGCCGCGCGCCGCGTAGCTAACCGCGCCACGGAAACCGGTTTGGCGAACGATCCCTTCCACCTAGACTGCGACTCGCCGCCGCTGGTGAGAATATATACACTTCAGAGAGATCATACTGGCTACTACGCAACCGCGGACAGACGCTTACAGTCATCACAACAGTTTTTTAAATTCACATATTTTATTTAATTTTTTTTCAAAAATCTATTTTAATAAGTATTTTAATTTATACAAATTAAATTAAATTCAGTGTTTACCCCAGATCGGGTGAGTGTTGCAAAACAAATCTTTACTACAATTATAGCTAGCTAATCGTTGCTTGCATGATTTGCTATTTTCATTGTTCGTAAATATAACTCATAATGTTTTAGATCTGTCCTTAGTGTTCAAA